ACAGCAGATGCATTGGACACTTAAGATAGATGGTTTGTCCATGTTTAATGATTACCATATGTTTCTTCCTTGTTTAAAGAGATGCTTTTAAGACTAATAGGCAGTATTTGTTCTTTTTTTTTTTTTTACAGAGCTGGATAGCAACCATGCCATATCTGTTTTGCTTTTGAGACTGTGAATGGGTTGGTTGAGTACATGGGAATGGAGGCTCCTGTCTGCTCTAGATCAGAGCTTGGTAAAATGTGTTTGGTGGACCACATGATCCAGAACCCCATAGCCAACATAACCAATGGCAATATGGCTATAGTTCTGAGAACTATTTATTTATTTATTTATTTACTTTATTTGTATACCGCTCTTCTCAGCCCTTAGGTGACTCAGAGCGGTTTACAACAGTTTAGATATACAGAATACAAAATCATTATGCATTTAAAAACAATTACTAGTATTATATTGCATTACATTACAATATTATAAATATTATATGTATATACAATATATTATATTATAACATATTATTAGAATAGCACAGGAGACAAGGTGGAACTGTCCCCTGGCCCCTCTTTCTTTGCTCTGGCCCAGTAACTTCTCCAAGTTTTGCTACAGGTAAGACTCCTGATTATAGCCAGGGTAGTTTATTGCTGTCACATCATGACGTGGGGAGTCCAAGGCTCCATCTACCCTGAAACTGCCTTATATGGTCAGTGTAAACTCATATAATGCAGTTCAATGCAGTTAAACTGGATTATATGAATCTACATAGATCATATAAGGCAGTGTAGATAGGGCCCAGGTTTAAACTTCAGTCATACAGGTTACATTCCTCTGGAATGATTCACACTACCTTTCTGCTTTATGCTACAAGACTGGGGGTAGGGAGGGGATGGAGAGAGCTTTATAAAGAAAGGATGCCAGCCACAGATGCAGACAAAAACTTCAGAAGAAAATGCTGCAAGAACACAGCCATACAGCCCGGAAACCAAACAACACCCTGACTACAGGTTTGCTTCTTTGAACTATGGTACAATGACCAAGTCCAAATTGACATATTAAAATCACATATAGAGGTGGAAACATAGCTAATAAAAGTGCACCCCAAGTTTATTATGGGATGCATGCAAGCAACAAGTTATAGACATGCGCAAGTTATAGGATGCCTTAACAATGATATCATGCTACACTTTTGTGATATGTTTCTGTAAGTATAAAACCAAGGCAGCTCTGAAGTTTGTTGTACTCCTTTTTGAGGAATGATCCTCTCTGAACCTCTTGATGCATAGTAATATAAAACATTATTAGATCTCCATCCTAATTTGTTTTTTAAATTGGGTTTAGCCTTTCAGATCTTTTAACTTTTAACACAGCATTTCCCAGCATGATCTGGTTAAAGCTCCAGGGAACTACATTTCAGTGACATTTGGAAGACATCACAATTCCCACTCCTACCTTATAAGCCCCATTGAAGTTTTTTTTTAGCATTCTTGGGAATTTGCTCTTGACTTGTAACCATTGGGTATGTATCTATAAAATAAGAAAAACTATTTTCATGTCATACTATAGATATTTCAAGTTACATTATACGTATCAGTCAAATTATCAAAAGGTTTTTTTTTATTATTCATCTGCCTTCAAATCCTTTGGGAAATCTGGGTGATGTTGTTCATGGTTAGATATAACTGGAATAGAAACAACTGCTCCTCAATTGTGGAATTTTATGAAATATTGTGAATGTATAATGTAGACAATGGTTGATGGTTGTCCTCTTCAGAAAATAGGTTGGACCAGTCTCTGGCTGCTCTTTTCTTTTAAGTCAAATTTAATGAATAACACTTTATTTGGTCTGATACAGACTGAGTATCCATTATCTGAAATGTTTAGGATGAGAAATATTTTGGATATTTTTTTCCAGATTATGGAGTATTTACACATACATAATGAGGCATTTTGGAAATGAACCAAGTGTAAATAAAACATTTGTGAAACATTCATATTCTTTGGAAATAATAATACAAGTACAGAAGGAATTTTCTTTTCGCTTTCAGCAGCAGAGAGAAGTGAAACATGTCCAGAGACTATCAGATTAGTACTTAAAAATAAAAACTCGTACGCTGGATATTTTGCATAAATATCCTGCCTTTGATGATAGTGCCATCATGTGGTGAACTGATGTTCTCCTTGTTGCAATAATCTATAAAAGTAGTAATTCTGATGAATATTTTTGTGTGTTTCTCTATATTTATTATTTAATTATCTCTATATCAAGTATCAATCCCTCCCATGTTTTTTAGATATCATTTAATTTTTTGTCATAGCCTGGTGATAGGTACTTTGAATATGAGGAAATACTATATTTCTTTGACTGTAAGACACAATCGTTTGTAAGACACACACTAACTTCAATATCACCACCAACAAAAAAAAACCTGTGATTCTGGCACATCCCATTTTTAAAGATGTTTATATAAGAAAAAAGTGTTTGTTACAACTTAAGAAATACAGTAATTCATTTAAAAACAAGATGTCACTTCCTAGTGGTTGAAACTGATTGGCAACCAATTTACACTTTTTATTCTTTTTATGGTAGTGTTAAGGTAGCGCTAGTCAACCGCAAGTCACACCGATGGTGTTTTCAAGCTGGTTGCTTTCCCAAATGTGTTGAATGTCACCACTTCGACTTAGTTTAAAGTTACCAGTGTAAAAAATTGAAAGGGTTCTTGGACTAAGGAGGGAATTTCAGGTGTCACAACACAAAACACCAACAAGCAGCACCCTGAAAGGCCTGCTTCTACGTATCACTAAGAGTACAGGACTGGCAAGCCGACCTCAGACCTTGAGACCTGGAAGAACTAGGAATCTTTGGCTTTGGGATGATGTCAAACTGATCTGGCAACAAGTCTTCTGAAAGGGAACAAAAACACATCCAAACACAACAAGTGGTTTTAACATTTATTCCCACTGCTTTGTAAATCCTAGTTGCCTGTTGCTCCCAAATGTAAGTATTTCTCTGCACAGAGCGTGATTTAATATTAACAGATATACACAGTTGTTGGGAAATAGGGTGGGTGGTGAATTGGTGGAGGCAACAGCAAAAGAGGGGAAGAGAGAGAGAGAGAAGCAGCCTTGTAAATAAGAAGTGGGTGGTAATCAGTGGCAGAAGTAGATGAGTATTTTTTGTTAGATGGAGAAGTTTGATTATAAACACGCTACTGGAATTTTAATGTACTTTCCCTTTAACAGTGTTTTTCTCTATATAACGTATAATGCTTAAAAGTACATAGAAACATTTAAATATATACACAAACACACACTTAACATGCACCACGGAGTTATAAATCTTAGTATATAAAATCAAATGTCACCATTAACTCATACACTTCTACCAGTGATGACTCAGGACTGCTTCTTTCTTTTCCAGGTGAAAGATCATGTATTGAATCCCCCAAGGCACACACTCATATTATAAATTTCCCATCTTATTTTATTTCCTTATTTTCCTTTCCTCTTTCTACTACGGTGCATCTACACCAGTGGTTCTCAACCTGTGGGTCCTCAGCTGTTTTGGTCTACAACTCCCAGAATTCCCAGCCAGTCTACCAGCTGTTAGGATTTCTGGGAGTTGAAAGCCAAAACATCTGGGGACCCACAGTTTGACTCCACTTTCGCTGCCAGGGCTCAATGTGATGGAATCATGGGATTTGTAGTTTGGCGAGGTGGCAGCCCTCTTTGACAGAGAGTTCCTGTGTCTAATTTCAATTCCCAGGAATCTGTAGGAGTGAGCCACGGCAGTTAAAGGGGGAGAGGGGGCAGTCAAGCAGCATCAATTCTACAACATAGGTGCATGTACATATATATCAGGTACGGGCAAATGTCGGTCTTCCAGGTGTTTTGGACTCCAACTCCCACAATTCCTGTTAGGAATGTTAGGTAYTGGAGTCCAAACACCTGGAGGGCCGAAGTTTGCCCATGTCTGATATATATATTATATGTGTGTATGAATATATATATATATATATATATATATATATATATATTCGTACACACATATAAAATTAGACACAGGAACTATACACACACATAAAATTAGATGCAGGAACAATATATATATATCAATCAGACATGGGCAAAATTCGGCCCTCCAGGTGTTTATATACACACATATAAAATTAGACSCAGGAACAATATATATATATATATATATATATGTGTGTGTGTGTGTGTGTGTGTGTGTGTTATATTGTTCCTGCATCTAATTTTATATGTGTGTATATAAACACCTGGAGGGTCGAAGTTTGCCCATGTCTGAGATATATATATATATATATAGAKAGAGAGAGAGAGAGAGAGAGAGAGCCGTCCCCTGCCATGTGCTGCTGTGGCCCAGTCTGTGTATATGTGCTTTGTGTGGGTATATGTGTTTGTGTATATATTTGTGTAGATATGTGTTTATATATATATGAGTGTGTGTGTGTGGTTTTGCGCATGTGTTGTATTTTTATTTTTTGGTTTTTAAAGTCTCTTCTGTTGTGTTTTTCAGTGTTTTATGCGTAATGGTCACTCGTTGGCCTAATACGTGTATTGTGTCCAAATTTGGTGTCAATTCGTCCAGTGGTTTTTGAGTTATGTTAATCCAAAAATCAAACATTACATTTTTATTTATATAGAATCATAGAGTTGGAAGAGACCTCATGGGCCATCCAGTCCAACCCCATTCTGCCAAGAAGCAGGAATATTCCCTTCAAATCACCCCTGACAGATGGCCATCCAGCCTCTGTTTAAAAGCTTCCAAAGAAGGAGCCTCCACCACACTCCGGGGCAGAGAGTTCCACTGCTGATATATAGATATATTCATTTTCATATCTAAACAAGTATGTATGTATAAAGAACACATGTGTACTCAAGAGAACAGGAAGCGGAATAAGAGGACATCCCTTCTCGCCTTTGTTGTCTTTCCTTTCCACGCTCTGCGCCTGCGCGGCGTTCTGCGTCTGACGTGTAGACCAGCGGCCACGGGGCGCGCTCCTATGACGTCGCCGTCAAGGCGAAGGGGCTCCTGTTGTCGTAGAGTGGTCTGTGTCTTCCTGAGGGGAGAGAAGGAGAGAGGAGGCCGGGGCGGGATCCTAACGGCTGCCGGGGGCCTGGCCCGGTCATGGCGCTGAGGCCTGGCCCGGGGGGAAGATGAATAAGGGCTGGCTGGAGCTGGAGAGCGACCCCGGTGAGTGAGAGAGGAAGGAAGGAAGGAAGAGGGGCAGGTGGAGGGGGCTTCCGTTGGGTTTAGGCCAGAGGGAGTAGAGGCCCCGAGAGGAGTCAAGGAACCCTTTCAAGGAGATGTTTATATACATCTTAATTAGATCTTATTGTACTACACCAGACATGGGCCAAGTTGGGCCCTCCAGGGGTTTTGGACTCCATCTCCCACCATTCCTAACAGCCTCAGGCCCCTTCCTTTTCCCCCTCGGCCGTTGATGGAACTCATGTTAGTGTAGACTGTACTACATTAGATTAAAATTATGTTTTCAGTTATCATGTTGTTCTTCATTATCCTTGTCTAGTTCTTCTCTGTTGAAGATAATGCCTATTTCCCAGGGCTGTAGAGATTTAAGTACTATTTTAATATACATACTTTTTAGAGAAACAACTTTTCCCAGATGTGGATTTGACTGTCCCAGAAAATATGCCAATCTGCTTCAAAGAGCAGTAAAAAAAGAATCTTAAAACATTATCTGAGCTAATCTGAAATTGTCCACAAAGCAATACAACCCTCCCTCCTTTCCTGGACTGCAGATTTGGTTTGAATTCTTTCTCAAACAGTGATGCTCACTGTCTTTCTTTAGCTAGTTGACCTTTCTTGCTGGATATACCCCAGTGTCATTCTAGCCATATATATTATTATGAGATCTCTGGAGAAAAGACAGACTTCAAATGGGGGAAATGTACTTTAGGCTAATTATTAGACTGAAACAAATGTCAGGATTTTCTTTTTACTAAATATATGTGGTCAGCAAGTAATACTCTTTTATATTCTTTTGCAGGGCTCTTCACACTCTTAGTCGAGGATTTTGGTGAGTATGTTGATACACTAAGGGATAAACTTGTCCTTTCCTCTGATTGTCATATACTAACTGCTGCTGCATCTTCCTGCAGGTGTCAAAGGGGTGCAAGTTGAGGAAATCTATGACCTACAGAGCAAATGCCAAGGGTAGGTTACTATCACTTTTATGTGATATAGAGAACAAATATATTTTTCTGAAGTTGTGACTTGTTACTACATTTGTGAGTGATTGTGCTGTTACTTGATTACTGCCCACATGGGATGCTAGGAACCCTCAGGATGGGATGGTCAATAATGATGAGTGACAAAGCAGAAGTTATAACAGGGAAAGAGATTCTTCAGAAAGATAGATATTAAAATGTGTGGTAAACGTTGAAGATATCACAGTGCTGTTGCATTCAGATTGTGGGTTTTGTTGGATAATACAGCTTTTGTAGAAAGGTCTAGGGTTGCAATAGATTCTGCACTGCCATGCACAAACTGCTGTGACCAACTGTGTTCCAGGCCCATTGCCACAGCATAGCATTGTACAGATTCAGTGGGTGATTAGAAGATAACTCAGAGGGGCAAATATGGATTGGAGACAGATAAATTCACATGTTGTTAGTAGTGTGCTCAGTTGTTGTCTGAATACCCAATTGCCTGTACTTGAAAGCATTTCGAGAATATTGGTGAGGAAGACTGGAATGGGAATACACTATGTACTGTATTGGGTTTGTCCACCTGCGATTGCCACATGCTATTTTAATTGAATATCATTCTCAAGCTGATATGCATGAATGACTATAGAGAACTGTTGACAGTGCTTCAGAAATGATGCAGCTCTACTCTTGCCCTGGTGTTTCCGTTCTTTTTACCAGGCCAGTCTATGGGTTCATCTTCCTTTTCAAATGGATTGAAGAGCGCCGTTCTCGGCGGAAGGTCTCAACTCTGGTAGATGAGACATCAGTGATTGATGAGGACATTGTCAATAATATGTTCTTTGCTCACCAGGTAAGCTGATAAAAATGAAGAGAAAACAGTTTCCCTAGTTAGGAAGAGTAAGAGCTTATTATGAAAATATCTGATCCTTAGCATTGAAAAGACATTTCTAGGATTCCTGTGATCAATCCATACTGTTTATTTGCACATGCGTGCTTATGCATTTTCTCCGCCTCTCTCCTTATACACCCTTTTCATCTATCAATAACATATTTGAAATGGACCTCGGAATGAGGAACATTGGTGCATTGGATACAATGTTTGCGCCTTGTTTAGTCCCTGGTAGGCAAATGAACCTTGTAGCATAAAGTGAACCTCCATGACCTTATTATTTATTGTATTTCCATATATTGTATTTTAATACCGTATTTGTTTTACACTTCACTCTACAGGTGGGTCAGAAAATTTATTTGATGGGCGGGCAGTTTAGCAAATAACGAAATAATACAACACAAGTTTACTTGCACTTCTTGCACATTCTTGTTTGTTGTTGGGTTGTCTTAATTTTCATATTGCATGTAAATGTTCTCTTTTTAAAAAATAGCTGATTCCCAATTCTTGTGCCACACATGCGTTGTTGAGTGTCCTCTTGAACTGCAATAGTGTTGATCTGGGGCCTACTTTGAGCCGAATGAAGGAATTCACCAAAGGATTTAGTCCAGAGGTACGGTGCAACAGTGTGCATGGAAACTGAATCAAGCTGAGATCCTTGTAAACTGCCAATATCTCATTGTACTTGCGTAACCTCTTTCTAGCCCTTTTGTTACCAACTTGATCTATTCTCCAGTTCATGTTCATACTTACCATTTAGGGGAGCTTAGGTATTTAGTGTGATGTTATTAATATGGCTGTGGAGATGGAGGGGTTACATGCATGGGACTAGATAGCATTTACGTCTAAGGTGAGCACCCTTTCCCCCAGAAAACAGAAATAACGTGGAATACATGGGTGTTACAGATGATTGCCCTTATAATTCTCAGTAAGTATTCTAATGATTGCTATAGATAATCTATACGCAAACTTAATGCACATAAGAATTTTGCTTACTTGTAACTTGTAAGCTGTTTGTACTAAGAGATATGTGGGATATTAAATTGATAAATTCATGTATGTATGTATATATGAGATGGAATATATATATGAGAAGTTCTGCAACAGGAGAACTTGTTGCAGGAGGCTTCTTGATCAAAAAAGTTTGGTCAAATCCTGACTGTGGTTTCCCCACAAAATTATTATGCATATCATTTTAAAAGGAGCTCTTAATTATTAGAGAAAACAGGCATCCAGACAACAAAGTAGAACTCTTATCTATGCCTTTTTAAGTTCAAACATGCATATGTTTTCTCTTCTATATGAGATGGAAAATATATTATAAGCAGGTGGAGCAGAGGGGCTTCCTGGGGTAATGGGATGCCCTTGCGAAAATAACACTATATCTGATGGAATTTGTTTTCTCTTCTTCCTTTGTTCCGCCACCATCACCACCTGTTCTCGCAGAGTAAAGGTTATGCCATTGGAAATGCCCCAGAACTGGCCAAGGCCCATAACAGCCATGCACGGTAAGTGGGATCGTAGCAGAACATGAAGTCTTGCCAAGCAAACTACATGTTTTTTGACAGCGCATGTCCTCTGTCTGATCTCATTTTATTGGCAGGTAAAGTTTTCAATTTGAACAACAATTTGGTGACAAAGTGGTTATGTTAAAAGGTCTTTAAAGGGGTTTGTGTACTGCATTTTTCTTTAAATGGTTTTGTCTTGTTTTAAATGCTTTCGTCTTTTTTTTCTTTTTAATGTAATTTTGATGATGTTGTTTGTTGTTTATGTTTTGGTTTTATTTCGATGTAATATGGCTTGGCCCCATGTAAGCCGCTCTGAGTCCCCATTGGGGAGATGGTGGCTGGGTATAAATAAATATTATTATTATTATTATTATTAAAGGTATTGATGTTTTAATAATGATGCTTTTAACTTTTTTTGCTACTAATTTGTAATTTATGTATTTGCTATGACGTGTGAGCTGCCTTGTATTCCATTCAGAAGAAAGATGAGATATAAATAATATAAAACAATCAAATCGGTCTTGGATATTTGTTTTCTTGACAGGCCAGAGCCCCGACATTTACCAGAGAAACAGAATGGAATCAGTGCTGTGCGGACTATGGAGGCTTTTCACTTCGTCAGTTACGTTCCTATTAAGGGACGGCTTTTTGAACTGGATGGGCTGAAGGTTTATCCCATTGACCATGGTAAGGGACCCCACCAGTTGGGCTTGGACTCAGGGGTTTGAAAATGTTTTCCTGTGTTAGAAATTATTTTGAGTAATCAGTGGTTCAACATTTCTTGTCTAGCAATGTTTTTAAATAGTTTAATGTTTTTTGCTTTATATGAGAATATCTTACTCTTTTGACAGTGGATGGTACTAAATAAAATGGAAAAGGACTAGGATATAATGACAATGAGTTTCTGGGTATACGATTTTTCTTTGCTTCATTTTGGGATCCTTTTCTGTAATTTAATTTTTAATTTTAATTTTTAAAAACCTCAAGCCATTCATACGGGTCAGTCTAACCTCTATCTGTGTTGGCTTATCTGGTTAACTCATTCTGTACACTGTGGCCAAGATTCAGTAGAACAATTGGCAGAGTGGAAATCTCCATTGGTGTCTTAACAGTCATGCTTAAAGTGGGCAGTTGGAGACAATGGCAACTTTTCCTGGGATGCAGTAGCAGTCAGAGGCACCCACTGCTATGCAGCTCCATCCCCAGGTACTAATTGGTGACAGGCATATATCTGGACCCTTTCTGGATGTCCTTGCACACCTAGGGAAAATGAAAGCATTTTACATCCTAGACAAGGCGGAGGTGGCTGCCTCTATCCCAGGAAAAAAAGAATGGTGCCCGGGTGCACCTTGCAAGCACTGCAAGTAGATGGGAAGAGGCATTGCTGTAATTGGGAGTCTCCAGCTGTCCTACCCTCACATGGCAAAGGTGATATATAGGGAGGTACTGGATACATCCTTGCATTACATCTCTAAAAGTACTTTCAGTAACGTAGCAAAGGCAACCAACAGATCTCTGGATTGAGGGTCCTGTGATAAATGTTTGGCTTTGCTGGACTGTCTTTATGCTTACTATTGTTTTGCATAAGAAAAAGAACTTGCAGTTAAAAATTGACTGATAAATTAGTATATCAGCAGAGACCTTCACTTGCTGTTTCTTGCTGTTTCAGGGCCCTGGGCAGAAGATGAGGAATGGACAGATAAAGCCAGGAGAGTTATCATGGAGAGAATTGGACTGGCTACAGCAGGGTAAATGTTTAGATCAGTTAATTTTTGTTAGGACTGTTTGATGGTTTGGAGGCGCCACTTTAAAAATCCCTTTCTCTCAGATCTTGCGTTCTGATCCTGTATCCTGGACAGGGCTTGTTCTTGTTCCAAAACTTGCTGCACCTTAATGTCATACCTGAAACTGTTCTTTTCATCTGGCATCATAGTGTCATTAAGATGAATTCTGCTGCAGATACACATTTAATGTCTGATGTCTTTTGCAGGGAACCATATCACGACATTCGGTTTAACTTAATGGCAGTCGTTCCTGACAGGAGGGTGAAATATGAATCCAAGCTGCAGATCTTGAAGATGAACCGGCAAACCGTATTGGAGGCCTTGCAGCAGGTGAGAGGGGAGGCAGGAGTCAAGCCAATAGTATGCCTCTTGTTCTAGTTGTTTTTGGTTTTTGCTTACTATACACACACACACATACACATACAATATATTATATTATTAGCATAGTACAATATCAGTATATATTACTATATTGTTCCTTACGATTATATTTTAATATTATTAGTAAAATTACATGTAATATAAAATATATAATTATAATATTTTATTATTATTATTATTATTATTATTATTATTAGTAGTAGTAGTAGTAGTATATTATATTACATTATAATACAATGTGTAATTGGTCAAAAGAGCCATATATAAACATCCAGACTCTCATGGAGGGCTGATATCGCCCCTTGATTTCTGGAGTACATCCTTATTTTGTATATAGAGCTTGATTACTCTGAGCAGTTAACATCTGCAGTAGTTACCACAGAAGCCTATATTTGGAAGAGACCACAAGGGCAACTCTGTCTAACCCCCTGCCATGCAGGAACACCATAAAATATTTCAGATAGGATTAAAAGATAACTGAACAGATCACGAAGTTAAAACAGCAGAAAAGGCTAAAACCTAGACCAGGGCTTCTTAAACATTTCCACTTGGGCCCCCTTTTGGCCCAATAATTTTTTATGTGACCCCAGGTATATAGATCTATAAAACAGATTTTTTTTAATATTTGCTGATAACAAATCAGTCTTTGCAAGGCTTTCTAAACGGGCTGATTTTTTATTAAGTATAGCTGATGCAGCTTCTGCAGAATCTACTGTAAACTACACAGCAGAGTTTTGTAAATATATAAATGAGCTGCTAGGTGAAGTCCAGAATTTTTTTTCAGGATCCCGACATTGAACTAAGTGGACCCCATTTGGGGTCAGGACCCTCTGTTTAAGAAGCGCTGCCATAGGCTACATTCTGAAGGTCAGACTTTGACTAATCCATGTAAAGAAAGTAGGAAGTTTCCATAGCAATTAACTTAAGAACGATGATGTTTCTGAAATAATAGCTTGAGTGAATGCCTGTAATGTCATAATTTCAGAAAGCTGTAGTATGGGCATGCTACACGAGATCAGATCGTCATATTTTCCCTACCCCCAAGAAATATGCCTGCGCTTTCTCTTTTGTAAAAAGTCACGCAGATGGAAATAAGTTTCATTTTGTAGAGTGTGTCATTGCTTTCCAAATGTGTGTTGTATTTCCATTTTGTGAGTTGCTAATCTCCATTTTGATTTTTTCCTCTGTAAGTTAATCAGAGTAACTCAACCAGAGCTGGTCCATACCCAGAAGGCTCAAGAGTCTCAGGCTTCTGAGGAGCCCAAACCAGTCAACAGCAAGACTTCTTCCACTGCACTGGAAATGGGGAGAGTGCAACTGATTGCAGAGAGCTCACAGGCAGGTATGGCACTGCTAGAAGGAGCAAGTGTCATGTTTCCTACGAGTGCAAAGAGAGTCTGTAGAGCAAAGTGATCAAAGAGCTATGCTCAGAATATAAAGTGCACGTGAATAGCCAGCCAGTGCCCATAAGTCCAAAGTTCTACTACATCCCCATGACCCACCAACTCAAGATTGGTGCAAAATAGATATACCTAAAATTTTGAGCCCCCTCCCTATATATATAGAGAGAGAGAGGGGGGGGGGAGAGAGATAATCTAGAAATCTATTGAAAGAAATAATCTAGTCCAAGCTTCTTCCATTTCTTGAATATAACTTGAGATGTGGAAGTCATTTTGTTTCTGGTCACATTAAACAGTCAGAATTGGGGAGCCTTGTTGATCTATTGCAGATTACTGAGAGATGTTCCAGTGAAATCTTAAACCAGTTTTTGCCATGCCCTCCTCAACCCCCTCCATCACATAACCCCGTTTCTGCAGTTTTTACTGAACGCGGTTGCTCTAGCTTTATTGCTTCTTTTCTGGCTTATTGCGGAGTTCAGCAGATTAAAGCAGTAGCCTCTACGGGAGAGTAGAAAGGCCTTCCTTCTATCTGAAGAGAAGATCTGGGGAGTGGCATGGTTTCGGTCTTGACCCCAATATGATATTAAATTTATGAAAAAGACTTAAGAAGATGCAGATATATTTTTTCATCAGTTCATGATAAGGAAAGGTGTTTAAGGGAATGAGTGGGGAAGGGTGTGTGTGCTGAGGGGAATGGGTAGGGAAGGTTGTGTATTTGTGTGTGCGTGTGAACATGTGTGTGATGGTGATGGGGAGGGTGGGCAGGTTCAGCCAACACATTTGTCCCCTATATCATTGCAATATGCAATTCAACACAATAAGAATTGTTTACCCCACGTTTAAAGCTTTTACTTACTAAGAACCAGTTTTGACAGTGGAGGCTGCTGAAAGACAGTACTTATTTACAATGAAAAAGAATATGCAATCAGACCCTCAGTTTGAAGCACATCAAATTGTATTTTGTAGATTTTTGTAGATATCTTTCCTCTTTCTACTTACAGTATCTTAGTTAGATTTTAGAGAAGGGATGATGTTATGTTCACTGAATATGAATGTACCACATCACTTTCAGAAGTGTGAGCATTTAGTAAGTACCTGTAAAGCTTATGTACTTGCCTCTGAAGATAAAATAGATGTATGTATGCTTTATAGGGACTACAGAGGAGCCTGGGGGCCAGAATCCACCTGCCTCAACCCTGAGTCCTCCCAGCAAGGCAAAGACGGGCAGTAAGACGCCTGTGAACAGTATCAACGGGGCGCTTTCAAACGTAAATCCTATTGTACAGAGACTTCCAGCTTTTTTGGATAATCATAACTATGCCAAGTCGCCCATGCAGGTAAGTGGAGTTTGGGCTGCAGTTGCTGTTCTCCTGTCATGTTTGTGTTTGAAGCTTCTAATAAACCTCAGGGATTCTTTGTCAGGAGACCTTATCATTTTGGTGATGATGATGCAGCCACATCTTATGAGATGGGCTTGGGGTGAAAGCACACTTGGTTCTCCACAATACAATTCCTAGGATGTGTTTTGATGACCATTCTATGAAATGTATTTCAGGAGGAAGAAGATCTTGCAGCAGGAGTGGGCCGGAACCGAGTCCCAGTACGACAACACCAGCAGTACTCTGATGATGAGGATGACTACGATGATGAAGAGGAGGAGGAAGTGTGCAATGCCAGTCCTGCCATGAGGTAATGGCTGTCTCTGATGTTGGCCCGTTCTCTCCTTGATCCTCTGAAACAAGAGTATAGCTCAAGGAAGTACAGACTTTTCAATGCAGGTTGAAGGTTCTCTTTTGAAAGCCAGAATGCGTGGTTTTATAGGGCTGTGCAACACAACAATTTCCCTTTGATACTTGGCTTTGAGCTGATGCGTAACACTGTTGTGGAAAGAAAGGTCCTTAACATAACAAAATAGGGAATCTGTGACTTCTCAGGATGGAGATCTATAAATGTGAATATATAACATTATTCTTCCTTGCCTGCTGTCAGGGTAATCTGCCAAATATCAGTCAAGGGAGCAACTACACAGTCCTTCATATAGCATTTAGTAGGAGATATGGGGAGATATTCAGCTAAAAATAATAAATGAATTGATTTATTGGCCAAGGTTTATGGGTTGCTTTTAGTGGGGATGTTTTATTCCTTCAGGGAATGTTAGAACTAAGATGGGGGTGGCACGGAGACAACATACAGTAAAATATGCAGGGTGTTTCAGAGGAGCCCTCGGTGGCACAGTGGGTTAAACCCCTGTGCCAGCAGGACTGAAGACCGACAGGTTGCAGGTTCGAATCTGGGGAGAGGCGGATGAGCTCCCTCTTATCAGCTCCAGCTCCTCATGCGGAGACATGAGAGAAGCCTCCCACAAGGGTGATAAAAACATAAAAACATCCGGGTGTCCCCTGTGCAACGTCCTTGCAGACGGCGAGTTCTCTCACACCAGAAGCAACTTGCAGTTTCTCAAGTCACTCCTGACACGACAAAAAAACAAAAACAAAAAACAGGGTGTTTCAAAATGGTAAAGCCAAGTATATTGTATGATTTAACAAAATTGCTGGTAAGATGGATCCATGAGAGTGCCAACGTCTTATTTTAGAAATGTGTGTGTTTGTCACACTAAATTGAGAAAGTTATAAAACATTCAATCCTGCATTTCAGATACATAAACTATGTGTGTTGGAGTTTTAACATTTTGTAAAAAGTTTGCAGTCACCAAGAAAGCTTGATTGTTGAAATCTTATGCCCAAAATATATAAACCAATATTATTAAAACAACAGTTTAAAGGGAACTGCAATAAATACGCACAATGATGCATCAGTAAACCAGCATTGATTCCATCCTCTGACTTGTAAATATGTCTTGGGGATTTAACATTTTGCTAAGCAGGGTCAGCTCTGCTTAGTACTTCTATGGGAGAACACCAAGGAATGTCAGGTGCTGCAGAATATACTTCAGAGGAATTAACTGTCAAATCCACCTCTGAGTGTTGCTTACCAAAGAAAAATATGGGAATTCATGGAGTCACCATAAGTTGTGGGTGACCTGAAGGCACACACATGCATAGACCACAGCTAGTTCATTCACTTCTGTTCATAAGCCTACCAATGGATGAGTTGTTTCATACCTACCAAGCCCTTGTCAAGGACAATCCCCTAGAAAATATATGATTTGATTACACGGAATTTTGGTTAAAGTTACATTTAAAAACAAAGAGCCTACCAGATAGCTGAGAAGACTTTCCATGTGGCTCAGGATTAGAAACTTATATGGTTCCATGTAATGCAGAAGCCCTTCTCTTCCCAGCTACTGAAGGTTCATAGACTCATAGAATAATAGAGTTGGGAGAGACTACATGGGCCATCTTGTTCAAATCCCCTTCTTATTTGCATTGACATTTTCCATTGTTTATTACTCGAAGTGATTGTTGAAGACTTTGATGCACTGACTCTAGTAGTTACAGCTTTTTAAAAAGTCTTCTTGCCCTTCTGACTCTCAGCTTGGTCTTTTTGTCTTCTTTCCTGGTTTTGGCCAATGACCAAAGGAAAGGCCAGGGGAAGCATGAGCACCTGGTGGGGAGTGGAGATGGCAAGCTCTCCATCCTCCAGCCCAACACCATTAGCGTCCTCACCGAGAAGCTGAAGGAGACCCAGAAGGACCTCTCCATCCCTCTTTCTATCAAGACCAGCAGTGGAGGCAGCACAGTTGCCATGGTGGCCCATTCCCAGCCGTCTCCCACCCCCAGCAATGAGAGCACGGACACTGCTTCTGAGATCGGGAGTGCCTTCAATTCCCCGCTTCGCTCCCCCATCCGGTCAGCCAATCCCACTCGCCCCTCCAGCCCTGTTACCTCCCACATATCCAAGGTGCTATTTGGGGACGAGGACAGCCTGCTGCGGGTGGACTGTATACGCTACAACAGGGCAGTGAAAGATTTGGGGCCTATCATCAGCACAGGCTTGCTGCACCTCACAGAGGATGGGGTTTTTGGATCACTTACAGTAACAGGTAAGTTTCAAAGGCAGGGCTGTGGTCAATGTGACTTGGAAACCCCAGCTGTCTTTTGAGTGTTCTCACTTTGAGGCAAGGGGAGGCCTATAGGAGGAGGGTAAGTCCAGCCCTGTTATAAGTAGGAAGAGAACAGTAGCTGGATGATTAAGAGAAATTTATTTATTTATTTATTTATTTATTTGGTGCATTTATTGACCTAATGAGATGTTTAGCTTGGTTTCAGGCCTCTTAACAGTAATATCATTACATGCTCTGATATGTAATGTTAGCAATATTCATACATTTTACAAGTCTTGACTAGACTAATGATGGCATTGCTCCTCCTTTGGCTAGTTACTTGCAAGTCTGCCATATTGAGTCACACAGTTGAAGAAGTAGGTTACTTCCTTCTAACTGTAGTTCTTTGAGTGGTTATCTCTGAACTCACACAGCCCCACTCATCCTTCCTTTGTTGGGTCTTGCTCTCCTTAGATCCTTGGCTGCTGCAAAGTTGTCCAGGGAACTGAAGGTTTAGGTGGGAAGTGTGCTGCTATGGTGAATGGGGCCTGGCCAGGGCTACTGAAAAAACATTTGTGTAAGTGCTCCAGAACAGTGGTTCCCAACCTTTGGTGTTTTGGACATCAGCTCCCCCAATTCCTAACAGCTGTCTGGTAACAGCTGTCTGGTAAGCCGTCTGGGATTTCTGGAAGTTGAAGTCCAAAACACCTGGATGATCAAAGGTTGAGAACCGCTGCTTCAAAGGTGCACTTCACTGGTGCAGGTAACCCATTTGTGTGAGTTCACCATCCAAAGTACTACAGTTACAGGTCAGCAGGCTATTCATATTTATGTAAATGTGGCATGGAATGCTCTCATGGAACTTCTTTAAGAGGCCCCTGCTCTGCAAAGTTGCATGAAAAATTTAGCCCCATGGCATGAAGGGTAGGACTTATTTTCTTTGGAATCTATGTGTGTAATCCTCCTGGGAAACATCCTGAAGTACAGTAAAGTTCAGTAACACTTCATACTGTTTGCATGCATTGCATATGCATTCCTTGTCCTTAATATTCTTTTTTTGTCATCTCCATGAATATCAGATGGTGGGAAAAGCTCTCTTCCCTCTAGCAAAGTGATTGAAGAGGTCAAGTCCATTGTTAAATTAGAAGAGAGAGACTTAAATGAGCGAAAGGACAGCAAGGAGAAGGCTGGAATTGCTCGGTCTACTGATGCTCCTATTGGGGAAAAGTATTCTCCCAAAGTAAGTATTGGTGCCTTGCAGCAGTCGTGCCAGGGCAGAATGTTTTGCCTGACCTTTGTTGAGTTGTGTGCCACTTTCTCAGACTTTTGTGCCTACTATGCTGTAGGCAATCACTCCTGTCCGAGTATGATTGTCTTCCAAGGGTAGAGTCTTGACAGTGGGTTCGTAAATGACTGTAGAGACCTGTTCTGGATCCGCATGGTCTTTCACACTGTGGACATAGATTTCCGGGTGGAAGGTGGTCACAATAAAAGTCTGCTTGACACGCCTTCTTGGCACTTTTCTTCCTTTTGCCCTCTATTTGTATGTGCCAGGTACATACTGACAAGAATGCCAGAAATGTTTAGTTGAAGATACCAACTGAACAGAATGCAGAAACGACAGAATTGATAGTGACTTATGACAAAAATATTCAGCTGTCTTTCTTTCCCCACAGTTTTGCTTGCGATATACTAATATCTGTGGATTTCCCTGTTTAATTTTCTACCTTGCTGTTATTTATTTTATTTATCATGTCAGAAGTGAATTGACTTGTATGATGTTTTAAAAAAACTACAAAGTTAAAAAAACCCCCACAAACAAAGTTAAACACTTGGTGTGATGGCACACCAGGAATATCTAATGAGAAACCTAAATGTGTCTGGCTATTTTCCCAGTGACCATCGGTATGCCCTAATTACTATAATTCCCCCAAAATAAAACTCTATAAACAAGATTAAGTTTAACAATTGTTTACTAAATAATCAAGGTGAATTACAACAATGAACGAAGGTGAGAATTGATTATGATAATATAACTCTGAGGTAACAAATTACTATTTCTATGAGGTAAATATAAGTATACACTATGGGGGATGATGTAACTATCTATGTATGACAAATATTATCTATCCTTTATTACATATATTATCTATGAACTATCTATCTAACTATCTATAACTATTCTATGGCAAATACGTGATTAGGATGGCCTGTTCAAATTGCTAGGCCAGACCAGACACTATCTGGCAACTGTCAACAAGCTAAGACCAACAAAGAATGGGGAACGAAGTTCTATAACCAGCCCATTCTGGCTCTGAGACAGAATGGGCTGCACCAACCGAACTCGGCCTCTAGGGGGAACCTAAGCTCTCCCCTAAACTTGGTAAAATGGAACAGTCCAACAGGCAACAAGGAAATAATACTAGGCCGAGACATCACACTTGGCATTGTACTAAATTTCCTTTGACCTGAAGCTGGACACTTCAAGTTATGCTGTGCTGCCCTTGGAGTGCCTTGTCATCTTTTGGGAGAAAGAAAGATGATAATGATTATGATTATTAAGTGTCTCTGGTGTCACTGTAAGGAGGCCCTCCATTGTGCATGTGGCAGGGCTCAGACTGCATTGTAGTAAGTGGTCTGTGGTTGGCTCTTCTCCACAAACCTCAAATACCTTGCTGATTATCTTACTTTATCTGATGAACTTTTGTGTTTCACTTCTGCTTGTTAGAACTATTTCCCCTCCCTCTCCAGAGCTATGTCAGCTTTCTGCACTCACTTGCAATTAACAGCTCATTCTGGTGCTGAGATTTAACCTTGAGATGTTTCTGATGCTTCAGTCTGATAGTAAGGCTCTCTCCTCCAGTGTCATTGGTATTTGGTTATCCTGATCCTGCTATTAAACAGTTACACTGTTGTGAAATTGCAGGGCTCACCTTGTCCTGTTTGGTTTTGGCAGGAGCTGCTGGCATTGCTTAAGTGTGTGGAGGCTGAGATTGCCAATTATGAAGCCTGTCTAAAGGAGGAAGTTGAGAAACGAAAGAAGTTCAAGGTAGGTTGGCGGGGCGATTTGGTGTTTGGTGGCAGCAATGGGGAAGGGTGGGATGGTTTTTCCTTCATTGTGGTTCTGCTTTCTATCAAAGTAGCAAAATTGGCAGCCTTCACATGTTAAAAAAAAACACACGTAAGGAGATAATGACATTCTAACTATTGATGTGTAAATAGCACAAGAAAGCCAGGATTGGATACCAACAGGAGCCAATATCCTAATAACAATCAAATCATTCCCCAATCTGTAATTGCTAGAAATACAAGAAAACATTTACTAACATGCTTTCAGGTAAAGTCAGACCCAGTAAATAGATCATAAACTGATAATACAAGAAAATATTCAGTAACTAATATCCTTTTGTGAAATAAAGTTAATGAATTAGTCCTCGTATTGGTCATGTAGTGAGGGCTGTGACTTCCAGTACTTGCCACAGAGATGATCCAAATGAGGTTGGTGCACAGTGTGAAGATAAAATACATTTAGCATGGAAAACAGGACCCACTTTTCCAAGCCAAAGGTTCCAGTAGGCCTAAAGATGAAATCCACTTTTGTAGGCTCACAGTCCCAGTTGGCTGTTCTGGCATTCTTCCTCTGTAATACTTAACCATGAATCCATGTAAACCACAGAACAATTTTTAGGTGTCATTATAATCATCACAGTTAAATGGATCCTGTTTTTAAAGGCACATTATGTCAACATCACATGTACTAACAAGTCCACTTAACATGCTCAATTGCTGCCTTATTCTAAGCTTTATGTAAACCTAGATTTTGAAAAATTGAACAGTTCTTATTTGAAGCTAGACATTTCTGTCATTCTATCCTTAAGTGTTTGCCTCTGAAAAAATGAACACTTGGGGGCTTTGCCTTCTCACCCACTGATTTGGCACTGATATGTGCTATTGGTTACAATTACCCAAGCTGGTTTTGCCTGTGTTTTGGCACAGTGCTGACTTCACTGGCTTTTATGTTTCTACCCAACTGAAGGATAGTAAACACAGATGAACCTTTTTTCTCACTTGTTGGAACACAACACTTGCTGACCAGATGCTTTTCTTTCAGATTGATGACCAGAGAAGAACTCACAATTACGATGAGTTCATATGTACCTTTATCTCCATGCTGGCACAAGAAGGTTAGTTGCTTGCTGAGCAGTCATGAAACAGGAAAAATTAGGCAGAGAAGGGATAAAGTGATTCTGGGTGTGGGTGGGTCTGTCTCACATAATACACCTTCCCAAAACTCAACATCTCTTTCAGATGAATTTTGATTCTAAAGAACTTGTTCAGATGGGAATTGCACTGTTTTGAATAAGATTTATATCCAAGTCTTTTTGTTTAGGATTGCAACATACCTTAAATATTAATTTAGGATTCAATTCTATCCTAATATCCAGTCATGGACACATGACTGCTGAATTTAGTGTTCTTTACTTCAGCCACTCAGTTTCCTTTGCAGGCACACAATTCCCAAGCGTTAGCCAAGTTACATATAGGAAATCTAGCGCTTTTAAGGCTAATCTTTATTACAGCATAATCACTAGAGGATTTGCACTCCAAAAAGCTTTATTTTGCAATATACATATTCTGTATAAATCTCTTTGTCTCTTATCATGCTTTTTATTACTTCTTAAGCGCCCCACAGCCTAATCTGTGATTTGGCTGAAAAGAAAGGAAGAGCATCATTATGTAACATTAATTTATACAATGTTGGCCATCTTTCCAAATTATCTTTCTGCAGGAATGCTTGCTAGCCTGGTAGAGCAGAACATCTCTGTGCGCAGACGGCAAGGGGTCAGCATTGGGCGCCTCCACAAGCAGCGGAAGCCCGACCGGCGGAAACGTTCCCGGCCTTACAAAGCCAAGCGCCAGTAGTCCCAACCTTTGGACAGTTCTTTTCTTGCCACCCTGATCATCTGGTACACATTTCATGCACTTCTCTACCAGTTGGGCAGTGCTCAGGAGGGGAGGGGGCTTTGCACTGGAGTTCTCTATTCAAATTATCAGTGTTAGTGTAATATTACACCTGAACCCGCCCGTATTTAGCTGGGCTTTAGCTGTTGCCCATTCCAATGTCAATTCTTTCCCCAAAGGGGATGCCTGTAGTGTAAATACCAGGACTACTTGAAAGGACTACTGGCAAGGCTTTTGAATCTGCAGCTCTGAGTCCTTGATCTGTATGCATCTTGCAGTGGCCACTCATGTTCTTCTGTGGCTGTGCAAGAAGGTTGTTCAGAAAGGGATGAACCAAATGACTGCTATTCTCTAGAAGGACGTTGCAGCTGGAGATGGTACATCCCAAAGAGTAGAAAGTAATTGTGACATTCCTGGTCACTGCTTTTGGCTCTGCCTTCACCAGGGTATAGAGCCATAATACTTGTTTTCTATATTCTCCTCATCCCCCGGCCATTATATTTTCTCTATAAAGAGGACTATAGTTTCTGAGAGTCTTCTTTGCATTTGTTTTTCAGATTCAGTGTCAGTTTGATTAACCTTTCCTAGTGATTTCTTTCAGTTATTCGGGGAACGGAGAGAGGGATTTCTCTTCTGGGCCACGTCTGTACAGAATAAGGCCATGTTCCTGGTATGCGTGCTACTCACAATTTGTAGTGCATCTTGTGTTGTACAGTACCTTGCAATATAGGCGCCACCTGCTGGCAATTTGTATGTGTAGAAGCCCTGTGCACAAAATTATCAGAATGAGGAAACTATTGGAAATTATTTTTAAGATCAGATCTTGGAGTAAGTTGCATGGCTTTGGTCAGCTTCTGATGAACAAAGCCTCTTTTTAGGAATGTGAGCAAATCTGAGACAAACAGAAACGTCTGGGTTAATGTCACCTTGTGCCTGGTGGAAGTACCAGGACTAAACATGGTGGGATCGTATTTAACCACAATTGTATTGATCTGTTAGACCAAACAAATATATGTCAGGATAGAGAGTTATGTTAGTGGAAAAGAATCATGGCATTGTCCTGTCTGTGTGGGTCCTTCTTTGTGTGTTCTAGGACAAATGTGGGAGGATGCCAGGAGAAGCCCTCCCATGTGCTGCAAGTAAATGTGAATTGGCCCTTCGACTTCGGGTTTTTTTTTTAAAAAAAAAACAACAACAAAATTGAAGCATACCTTTGACGTTGTATGATGCTGGCACTAGCAACTCTATGAATTGGTTTTACTTTAAAATCTTTTCCCAGGAGTAGAGGATTTGGCCTGTAGGACAGGTCAGGAAAACAGTATTTTGCCACCTCTGTGCACCATGTCTTTACCATCAGGGGATGCCTTGAGGTTGGATAGCTGGCCATCACTGTTGAGGTGGGCAATCTATGTGCCACAGACCTGGGACATGCTCTTCAGTCAACACTGACCCCCAGGGCATGGGGACCCTAAATTCTACCTCTCCAGCCCGGTGGCAGCCTTTTGCTCCCCGAACTCTGGCTTGCCAGTGGGGCATTTCTCCAGCTAGTACTGCTCTCTGGTTAAAGTGTCTACCTCTCCTTGTTTAGATTAGTGTATTTTTATATCCTGTGAAAGACGACCCTGTGCTGTTCTACATGGCAGCAGCACTTGTTAGCATGTTACAATGGGGGTGGGGAGGATACAGTTTGCTTTAGATCAAGGGCAGGGACAGTGTGGACACTTGGCATTCTCTGGTCTGCAACTCCCTGAAGCCTTCCCACCACCCTCTGTGCTTTCTTAGCATTGAGGTGAATCCAGTAGCAAGAGAGGGCAGATACTCATCACCCTTGCCTTGCTATCCAGAGGCCCATGGCAATCATTGTTCCAGAACTTTTTCTATCCTTCCCCTTTTCTTTTGGTACTCAACAGAAAATATTTAGCAGAATTCAAAGGATGATCACAAACTACAGTGTGTAAAGGCAATGCCTTCTGAGAAGAAGGCACAGCTGAAAGCCGGTCTGCTTTGCCTCGCTCTGCAAATATGTACAGATGTTGACTGTAGAATTAATCTTTTTTATATGTTGACAGAATGTTCTGTCTTTTGCTTTGTCAATTTCAAGTGCTGTAAATACCAGTTCTGTTTTAAAAAAATAAAATGTATATCTCTTGCCTCTGAAGATGGTTCTGACTGGACTGAGTGCTGAATGTGGTACTCATTATTGTTGGATTATACACTGTTTTCCTGGGTAAGGGGTCTGTTTCTTCCTGTGTTTTTGGCTGCAATAAGAAAACCTACCAGCAAAAAACTAGGCAGAGCTTGGTTTGGCGCTGCTCACATTCCGTATCGAAAAAGGTGTGATATATGTGATATGTGACGTGACCATTATCTCTGGAGAAATAACTACCTTACACCATTTTACACTACCTCTCAGTCTACATTACTGCAATATCTGCCATTATGCTAAAATTCTCAAAAGGTTGTGATTTGGGTCAGTTACTGATTTGTGCATCCCTGGGCCGAAGATGACAGCCCTAATCCAATTTCTATACATCTTAAATATAGTTCCTGATGTGCATGTTAATACAGTCTCTAGAGTCAATGAATGACACCACAAACATCTGTTAAACTAAAAAACACTTTAATATATATTTTATTAAAATAATTACTACATAACTGTTACATTACTTAAACTTATGGGTATGATGTCTTAGTTCATGTATGAGTCCCATTCATCTATGTGTTTCTTCAGATAACCAAACGGTCTGGTTGAGTTGCTGAATAACTCAATTTTCATGGAATGAGCCATAAAGACAACTGCTTCTGTACTTAGAAGTCCAAGGCACAGATCAAAGCAACACCACGTTTAATCCAGTGCCTCTGGGGCTTTTTTGTGGGAATTTCTACAGCAATCACATAGTTAGTAGAATGACCAGTTGTTGACAGTGTCCCTAAAAAAAGACAAAATGAAAATGCGCCTTGACTGTTATATATTAGACAAAATAGTATCGCTTGAAGACCAATGCTTCTGCAGATAAATTGTGGGTTGCTGCAGGAGCATACTTCCGGCATGACAAACAGGTAGTATTGATTTCTACATTGCCATTCCTAGAAATAGTTGAAGAGTTGCTGGAAATACACAACTAGATAGCATATAGCTCACTAAGCAACTGTCCGGGAATGTTAAAAGGGGAGAGAAGTTACATGGCAAGTTACTACAAGTATTTTGCCAAAAATAGGTTGCTGTTAGTGGCATAACAATGTGGACTGCTGTGCTGGTAGAGGTGCCTCTATTTGGAAACAAAATATTTGCCATCATCCATAAAAGCAGCTTGAATTTATTTTATGTATGTGTAAGAGACTTTAAATTTTGAGACGGGACTTTTTCCCCATGTGGAAAATTCTTGCTTAAATCAGTGGGGGAAATAATTACTCAGTGAATACTAACTGCCACAGGCAGATGTTCAGGCTGGAGAGGGCATGTGGCCAGCAGGGAAGGGGATTTTCAAATGACAGCAGAACAGACCCTGTCTCATAAGAGGGAATTACTGAACTTCTATGATCCCTACCTCTCCCTTGAATAAGGGGCTGCATAGGGACTGTGAATACAAAGTAGACCTAAGTATGCAACTCTAGGTTACACATTCATAACTGCCAGCTAGGATTATCGTTGTATTCATTTATCTCTTCCTTTCAATAATGAGACTCAAGGTAGCTAACCTATTTAAAAATAACATTAAAAACTATAAAAAAATAAAAAGTTATTTTTAAAAAGATTAAGTAATTTATAAAATTGAAAACATTTAAATCCATTAAGCTACACAAAATATACAAATCACACCATACAGCATTAAAAGCCCATCCTAGTTAGTCTCTAAAAGCCTGACAACATAGAAAGGTTTCAACTTGTCTCTGGAACAAAAGCAAGGGGGAAGTGCCAAAATCTGCAAGCAGCCACCAAAAGGTCCCTTTCCCTTGTTCCCACTAAACAAGCCTGTGGAGAATGTGGTATGGAAAAGAAAGGCCTCCCTAGAAGACCTTAGAGCGCTAATGGACTCATAAAGGGAGATAAAAGAATCAACCAAATTGCCTGGACCCTAACCATATAAGAACTGTTGAACTGTGCTCGAAAACATACTGACAGCCAGTGGAACCAGACAGTTAGATGGCCCCTATAGCCAGCCAGTTGGTAGTCTAGCTGCAGCTCTTTGGGTCAACTGAAGTTCCTGGGCCCTTTTTCAAAGGCAGTCCCAACATAAAAGAGTGCAGTGCGCCTTCAAGTTGCCTCTTATAGCAACCCCATGCATTTCATAGAGCTTTCTTAGGCAAGGTACAGTCAGAGGTAGCTTGTTGTTTCCCTCCTTTGACATATGGTCTACCTGGTATTTCTTGGTGTCTCCCATCAAAATACTACTCAGATCTCACCCTGTTTGGGTTCCAAGATAGATGGGATCTGGTCCTTTTAGAGTGCATTATATTAATCGAAACAGGTGGTGATCAAGGCATGTGGCCAAATCCAAATTCTCCAGAAACAAGGCACAGTTGGCAAACTAACTTTCCACATGTTCTCGGGGTCACTGCTGAAATCTTGGGTCTTCAGGCTCAAGGCTGAATCCAGCAATAGCCCCAAACTTTAAACTTATACTTTCAAGGGGAGTATGACCCAATCTAACATAGGCTGAATTCCCAGATCTATCTTTTTACAGACCAGAAACATCTCTATCTTGTCTGGATTAAGTTCAATTGGTTCATTCTAATCCAGTCCATTACAGCTGCAGACTGATTCTCATTTGAAGACAGAAAAAGGCCAGAAAAAAAATCTAGTTTTGAGCAATCTTTTCACCAACCTTCCCCCCTCCCCCCCTTAAAAATCGACAAAAGGCAATGATTACCTGCCCGGGTGAGTGTCTTGTAGATAGGACATAAGTAGATGCCTGTGGCTGGAGGCCTGCGGTTGGGCACAGGCACTAACCACAGGACGGCCATCTCTGTGTAGAGCTCCTTTGGCCGTGACTCTGTGAGCTGATACATAAGGGTATCCCAACGAGCCCCTTCCAGAAATAAGCCATGGATGTAGCATCCCTGAGCAGGCCGCTGGGTGAGCTCATGCACTGTCTGACTCATCACCTGCAATAAGAAGATGAAAAAGCAAGGCCTCAGAAAAATGTAGAACAGAAATCTGCCAGTACAGAAAAACAGAGACGCCAGTGTGCCTATAACATGCTGACATTATCACTTTGTAAAAGATTCACTGGGTGGCAGATGCTTGCAGGTGTTTAACTGTAACAGGGGATCATGACTGAGTAGCAGGCCTGCTTTTGACATCTGGGGTTTTAGTGAAGTGGATAAAGGATGTGCATTATTCAGCATTTGATACAATCTGCTGACCTTAAAATCAAAAGAGATGGTGTCAATGGATATGATAGACTGCCTGGCAAAGTTCTGGAGTGTTCCTGTCAAAAAGGCCTGAGGGAAGAAGAACCCGCTTATCCAGAACACTGGTGGGATCCCATGAGCAATCCACTTCTGCAGGAACTCAATGCGCAGCAATAGGTCATTTACCCAAGAGGCCAAGGGCTTCAGGGAGGGGTATGCCTGTGGGAAAAGAAAGATAGTGACACCTTTGCTTTCTGATGGTTCACTATACTTCATTTCATGCACAAAATAAAAATATTGTGTATAAGGTCTCTATGAAACATTCATAGATTTTGTGTTTATACTACAGTCCCATTTTGAATCAATCTCATTGTGAACATAGATGCAAATACAGTCCAATTTTTCAAGATCCCCAAAAAATCTGAAATCCAAATCATTTATTCTAAGCATTTTGGATAAGTGGCACTCAACTTGTAATACATTCAGAATCTATGATCCAGATTTCTACAAGCAATAGATGCTGTGACAAGGTCAGCTCAGGTCCATTTCTACATCGGTGAAGTTTCAGCTTGGTTAGGTATTGCTAGTGAAGCAATCAATCAGAACAGAGAAATGAAGCAAAAGCATTTTCATATCACACAAGGTGACTGGGGGAACATCTAAGCTTCTGTAACTATAAAAATATTGATCTTGCCACCATATGTACCTTACTGTTCCACTTCTCTGGGACAATATTGTTGTACAAACTATTGGACATCAGTTCCAGCTGGGATGACATTACCACAAGGCCTATGAGAGCTTTCAGAAGATCCTTTAAACTCTGTGCAATTGTTACCAGCAGACGATTATATCTGAGAAAGCAAAGGAAGCATTTGGTCAATAAAACAAACTAATCTCCTAGTATGGTTCTGTACCTATATCTCTTGGTAAATTTAAGAAAGCTTCAATTCTTTTCTACATTTCAGCCAAAAGATGTATAGGCAATACTACCCAGCTTTGTTGGGGTGCCTTGACAGAATTGTAGGAAAGCTTCAAGGATGAAGAGGAAAGCAGTCTTTTCAGAAAGTAAATGGCTACTTCAGCCAAGTGTTTACAGGATAATGCAGACAACAGTTCCACTACTGTGTATGATGTTGGCATGTCTAGTAACTCCTTTTTGGTTAATCTGAATATTAATTCTGAATTACAAAAACATTTTGTAGTTTTAGACATGTACCTTAAAACTATTATACTGTGACTTGGAACATAACTGATGTTCAGTGTGACCCCAACAGACATGCCCTCATTGCAACCAAAAGATTCTACATCTGGAAGGACAAAGACCACCCTTCATTCAGTGGTCACTGTTTTACACATCCAAGTATATTCTGTGGATGATTTCTTCAAATAGGAGGCAGGTCATATGAGAAATCAGATGTGAAGGCAATAGCCAATTATACATTGTCGTCATAGCTGAATAATAATAATGATAATAGCAACAACAAAACTTTATTTGTATCTAGCCTATCTCCCCGAAGGGACTCAGGGCAGATTCCAATCCCAAAAAGGCAAACATAGAATGCCTGAATATAGCAACCAATATACATACACATAATAACAAAAGTATTAATCCAACATATAAAACACATTGTAACTTAACATCTAAATTAAAAAAACCCATAATCTCTCACATAAATTATATCAACATAAAAACAGAATGTCAAACAAAAACAGTGTTAATTGGGCAAGCAGGGTAAAAACAGAGCACAGATATGAGTAACAGATTTTAGTCAGAGGTGTAGTAGCTGAATCATTATCTAATCCTTCTCTTCTTCTTCATAGGCCAATAAACAGAAGTACGTTTTCAGTTGTTTTTTGAAAGCGAGGGGGGAAGGGGGTCATCTTTATTTTCTCAGGGAGGGAGTTCCAGAGCTGGGGGGTGGTCATGGAGAAGGCCCTTTCTCTAGTTCCCACCAGCCGTACTTGAGATGGGGGTGGGACTGAGAGCAGAGACTCATCCGATGACTGCAGGGTCCAATTTGGTCTATTAAGGGAGATGTGGTTACTCAAATAGACTAGAGCCGAGCCATTTAGGACTTTATAAGTAATTACCTACACTTTGTATTTAGCCCAAAAGTGGACCAGCAGTAAGTGCATCTGCTGTAACATGGGAGTTGTCCACTCCCTGTATGGCACTCTAGTTAGTAACCTGGCTGCTGATCTTTGGACCAGTTGAAACTTCTGAATTATCTTCAAAGGCAGCCCCCATAGAGAGTGTTGCAGTAGTCCAAGCAGGATGTGACTAAGGCGTGGACTAACATGGCCAGATCTGGCATACTGAGGTACAGGTGCAGCTGGCCCACAAGTTTTAACTGTGCAAAGGTGCTCCTGGCCATAGCCAACACCTGAGGTTCCAGGGTCAGCGATGACTCCAGTATCACCCCCAGACTGCGAACCTGGGTTTTCAGGAGGAGTGCAACCCTGTCCAACACAAGCTGTAATCCTATACCCTGATCTGCCTTCTGACTCATCAGAAGTATTTCTGTCTTGTCTGGATTTAGTTTCCGCTTGTTAGTCCTCATCCAGTCCATTATTGATGGCAAGCACAATAAGGTTACTTTGTACATTGAGGACTGATTGATATTTGCTTTTATACACATTTCATTTTTTAAAAAATTACCATTAAACACTAGCTTTGTTTCGCACATGTAACTACAGATAATATCATATTACAGTTCTAAAGCACAGGTCTACATTTCAGTATTGCCTGGTTTGCTACTGCAGAATTTGGGAAGTGTCGTTTAGGGCAAAGCCTTTGGAATTCTCCGCTGGAGAGGTCTCGGTTTCCATAAACTGCATTTCCCAGAATTCTGCAGGAGCAAACCAGGCAATAGAGAAACACGGACTCGCACTTTAGAACCCTAATGTGATATCGTCCATTGTAATATTTCCTGGCCCAACCTTTCAAGCTCACCTTACAGTCAGCGGCCAAACTGGGCAAAGAAAGTCTGTCCAGCTGGCAGTCTCTGCACAAGGAAAACTGCCATTTCTCACCTCCTCCTGCTAGCAAGTGAGGCTGCAGTGACACATTGTGATGAGCTCCTGCAACCTTACTCCTTGGAGGCAGCACTAGAAATGTCACCTTCCTTGTGCCTAATCAACAACTGAACAGACCTCCTTCAACTAATCTGGCTGCTGGCTATTTTTGTGGGCTGGGGGTGCATTTCTTCAGTCTTATTGAACATGGAGCAATTATAGAATTATTTATTCTAGGTTATGAATAAGTTGTACAGAATGTTGCTATTAATGTGTTGTGATAATTTCCTTTTTTCCGGATAATGTTTCAGTTTGGGTTTCCATCAAGAAAATGGATCTGGAGCTTTTCAGAATTTGATGATAATACTAATTGCAGCTTTGCTTTGTGGCTTTCACTGTCTGCTTTACCTAGGTTTCATTTCTCACTATACAATAGCATTAATTCAGGCAGATCACAAAATAATTAAACTCTGTCTCATTCACTGAGTCACTTCATTAAAATTGTTTTTAATCACTTTGATTTAACCTCAAATTACAGGGAAATCCCCTGTTCTGGGACCTTTCTTCCAAAGTATTCTTTCTTCCCTATTTCTACTACCTCAAACTGAAGCTAAGGTAATATTTCATATAGGGAAAGCAAATGAAGTGTGACTCTGAATGTCAATGGACAAAGTGGAAAGGCAGCTTGTGCCTCATTAAATGCACCTGTCTCTAGTTCAACTTTATTCCCATTTTCCTAGTATTTGCTCCTTTACTAGTTTTCATAAACATAGCACAGAGAGAAAGGCAGAGACATCATGAGTCACAGCAGAAGCCGTACCTGATCACCTCTTGAACCAAAACAGTGTTCATGGACTCCTCATAGAGAACAGGGTATCTCAGCATTACCGCACGCAGGTCAATAGGCTGAGGCACCTTCTCTAGTATGTCTTTTGAGGTCTCCTCCACAATCTAGGAAATGGTTTGAAAAAACACAAAAGCACAAAATTAGAGTGAACTTATTTATATTGGTTGAGAAAAAAGTGGCTGTTGCTTAAGAAGTACATGCAAAGCTCCCAGCTTCCACACAGCATTTCATTGCCATTGGCTTGAGAGTCTATGCCAGGTAGAAGACTGGGACCCCATCCTCATCCTCCATTGGTACTAACCCCAGAGGTCTGCGATCTGGACTTCTGGAGATCCTCACACAGCAGAGGAGGGCCTTGTGTGACTTTTTAAAAAGGTAATAATACAATTATACAATCTGAAATGGTCACAAAGAAGACAAAGATGAACTGAATTCAACAAACTAAACAGTTACGGTAAATTACTGTTTATTTTACATAAGAACCTGTCCTATGTTATATTAAGTGTGACCAAGAGCTATGGCAGACAATGAATATCTGCCATCATATCCGTGAAATGCTATTCTTCTTGCAGTGATCCCAGAAATCACTACCTTTGCATTTTGATCTATATCCTTTTAACCTTAAGGACTAGAAAACTGTGGACCTGCAAAAACTATTCCTAGGAAACCATATTTCATGCCCAGGATGGCATTCTGCACCCTTTCTGCTTTCCTGTGGAATTATGGGAAAGACAGTGCTCTATTTATAAAAAATAATTGTCAGTTGGTTTTGCAATACAAGGTAATAAGCTCACCAACCTCCTCTCGGCTTCGGCCTCCTGCCGTTGATGTCTTCGGCTGCAGTTGAATAATGGCTCCAAGCAGTGCATATGTCTCGTTCTGAGCAAAAGTGATGTTAGCGTTGTCATGCAGTCCAAATATCTCAGGCATGTCATTAAGTGGGAGGCTCTTGATGTACTGGAGGTATCCCTACAGAGGGAAAACCAGCATGCAGAACGAGGAGGAATAGCTTTCAGAAATACTAATGCCATAGTAAAGGCAGAAAGAAGACAGAAAAAAGGTGCCAGCAATAGCAGTAATACTGATTCCCTATGGCTTCTTGATCCCACAGTCACAAATAATGGAAAACAACACACATGTGACTATGTACATCTCTAGTAGATTGGTCATTCTACAGCTCAAATCTTTGTGGTGATTTATGCTTCAGAATGTGGGGATTACAAGGGTGCATTCTGAACGTTGCACAAGAAGAGACTCAGTATTTCATTACTTAACATTATTAAATCAATATACTCCAAGCCTCCTATTGCAAGTTGGAGTTAGCTTCTTTTATGGCCCTCAAGGCTTTCTGTTGCTATTTTTAGCCCCCCCCCCCCAAGCTTTCTAAAGGTTGCAGAGGGCTTTTCCAAATTGTTTGGATATCTCTGGGCCCCCCTGGGATTTGAAATGTTTTTTTTTTCAATTTTTTCCTCACGTTTTTGAAACAGAAATATGGAGAAAGTAACTTCTGCTCACATCCTATTATTTAAAAAAATGGCCAGCAAGCTCCAAAGACCTAGTGATATCTTCCTGGCATCCCAAAAGGTATATGAGGCAGAGAAGCCATTTTTTAAATGGGAGGGGATGTGCTCCTCTGAAGGTCTCTTTGTAAACAAATATGGTTCACTCCTCTTCCACAGTTGCCCACCCCTGGTTTACAGCATCACCCAACTTCCTGAGCAGTAAGGTAGATACTCATTTCCCCCAATAACATTCAGAGCAAATAAATATCAAGATGCTTCAGTCCAAGATCAACTTCTTGACCTTTACCCCAAGATCCAGGAAACCGTCCTTTGGCCTTCCATGTAATATACTACTAAAGCATTCCTTTGTAATTTTACCCAGAATTTGTATTTTTGAAGAGACTGTCATGACATGTGTCAAGACCATAGATTTTATTTCACCAACTGCTTCCCTGAGAAGAGAGCTTAACATGCGAGTCAAATTCTCAAAAAGACTTTTGATTTTGTAATGTGATAAACTAGATAGAGAACTGCATGCTCAGACCTAAGGACAGCTTTGAGTTTTTGTATAAGCAGTGTATATGCCTACTGTTTTCTTCTACTTACAGCAAGATCATAAGTAGTACTAATCTGCTTGTAGATACCAGATTCCGAGTAACAGTGTTCTGGAACCAGAACATCGGAGTTATAGAAATCTTCCAAAATATTCATGATGCATCGTCTGTCCCAGTCATCTGTCACTCTGCCTCCATAGTTGATCTCACCAGCAGTGTACTTCAAAACCTACAACGAGCCAGGGCACAGAGATAATATTTCACCTACCTTTTGGCAACTAACAATACAAAGAAGTACACATCAAATAAGCAACACCACAATAAAATGAAATGAAAATCAGGTGAGAGAAGGTTAACAGGCAACACCTGGGAGCCAGTTAAAAAGGAAGTTCTTGTCTTATATTTCAGTCTCCTTTAAAGCACACTTTAATCTTTCTAGTCTCCTTTGCTTGTTCTAAAAATCACCTGGAAAATTTAGATGGCGATCTGGAATGATGCACAACATGGTAGTAAAGCTTGCATGATAATGCCTTCTGCCATGGATACCTTGACCCCAAAAAACATTGAATTTCAAAATAACTTGTTATTAGGGGACAAGTAGGGATTGAATTGCTTTGGGCCAGTGGGAGTTTGTTCTCAAAATCAAAAGTGATTATCCAGTTTATGGAATGACTCCAAGCACATTCTTGTGGTCCTTTTGGGGAAACCAGGAAAATGATGGCGAATATTTTCAATCAAACACAATTATTGAACTTCATGCTTTTTAACAACATTCCTAATAAGGCTGGAGACAAATCCTCATTCCCTGAGCATTTTGACACCCAAAACCTCGCTTTTGTAGATTAAAGCCCAATTGACAAGATCTGTGACTACCTCCCAGGCTTTCTTCAAAGGGGTACCCCTGGAATACATCTGCCGTGTGGCCACTTGGGCACAATACTTGTCTCACACTATAAGGTGCCTAATCCAGGAAGGATTCTGCCTTCAGCAGAGCCCTACTATTCTCCTGTATAGCATGACGCCCACCTTCCAAGGTCAGTGGCTTGCTAGTCTCTCTGGCCGGTAGCCCCGCGGCAGGGCTATTTATATGAGTGAAGAGAAAGGGGCGGGACTACTCTAACGGTCAGTTAAGTTTAGCTTGTGAGTGTTCGTTGATGCCTGCGCGAGCGCAGGAATATACCAAATGTGTGATTCACAGGCTGACCACGCGGGGAAAACTGACAGCGCAGGCACAGGAGACCCATATGTGCGATTTCACAGAGACAACGAAGAAGAAACCATTTTTTTCTGGGATCCTTTATTCTAATATACTTCAATTAGACTTGAGGAGGAATTGAATTCTTCCCTTGGGGGTTCAAGAGAGTCAGGCTATCCCCTCCCTTCATTAAACCACCTCAATATTTAAACAAACACAAACCCCCTCCCCCACCCCACCTGCAAATGCCCTTTCACAGTCCATACATGAAATTGTATGGAAAAGGAAAGGAAAAGATTGGAGTTGAGTCTCAAAGCAAGATCCTAAGAGCAGCCACATAGTCTGTTGTGGCTAAGGAAAAATGGTGGCAGCACCCATGCTGTTATGCCTGGCTGAAACAGTCAGAATCCATTTTGAAAAATTGATCCATGCACAGCCCTACTCGGTACTCCACACTACCCACTTGGCTTGTACCAGAATCCCACCTTGTAAGGGATTTCTTCATATTCATCCAGAAACATCTTTAGTTGGCTGATGCAGATGCGCAGATCTCCATCTGTGAACTCATAGGGAATGTTGAATCCCAGTGGCCCAAACTTCCGTCTTTCCAGAGCATTCCCATGGAAGAGGCAAAGTGAGAGGAGCAAAGACTTGAACTCTGAATTCTGCAAGGCATTGATATAATGTTACAAGTTGGCAAAGGTTTGTACATTTCTAAATATCAGGCTAAAATGTTAGGATAGGTGTGTGTGGTATAGAAGCACAAAAGTATATTAATTGTAGTGTAGAAGCAGAAGAGTAGATGTTAGGAAGAGTGGGGAAGTTTATTTCGGATTGGCTCAAAAGCTGACAGTCAACAGTTTTTTTTAATTAAGACAGAGAAAGCTAGTAATGGCAGAATGTTGTCTGAAGGTGGGAGGGTGAAGGGGGAAGAATTTCTCACCTTGCTGCAGGAGTTCAAGAAGTCATTGCTCAGACTACTGTATGACTTCAGCAAATTGGCCTTTACTCCTCGAGGGGGCTCAATGGTCATCTTGGATCCATTTTGGAGGATTGACACTGGGAACTTGTTACTGGGCAAACTGGTGAGCCAAAGCCGGAAGTCACGATGCACCTGGAACAGGGAAATGGGAGCCAATGGGAAGAATGAGATTTGTACTGTTAAGAAGCAATGTTTCTACTCATCATCATCATCATCATCATCATCATCATCTTTAATTACTTATTAATCGCCCTCCATCCGAGATGCTCCAGGCGATTTACATAGCAGAAATTATACAGGATAAAACACATACATACAAATATTAAAATTAACATGGGTCAAATGTTCTAGTAAAAAGCCAGGCCTTAAGTGCTAGGATAAAATGCCCTAAGTCATGCATGGCTCTCAAATAGGGAGGCAAGGAATTCCATAAGGCAGGGGCAGAAATAGAGAAGGCCCTGCGCCTGGTGTTTTCCAAGTGCACTTCCCTAGGGCCCGGTAAATAGAGCAAATTGCGTTGGAATGGTCGTGGCGCCCTCCGATGATGGTGGAAGGAGAGACGGTCTCTAAGATACAATGGACCCTAAAGAGTCTGTTCTCCCTCCCGTCAGATAAACATTTTCAGATGAACAAACTAAACAAAAATGTTTTGGGATAAGGTTGAGAAGGAGGGAAGAGGAATAATTTCTGCTAAGAAGATCTTGCAGCCACTCTGAACTTTCAAATATATCCTACCTCAAAAGTGTACTTTACTCTTAGGAGATTATCCAATTGTATTCTGTAATCTTGTGCATCTGAACACAGGATAATAATTCCACATATGTTTGACTAGGTTCTCATAGCCAAACATGAAGCAATGATCTGGTCCACTGAAGTCCACGAAGGAACAGCAGAACCCATCTACTAAGAAGTCCCCAGCACAACAGTTTACATAAGATGGAAAGAATCGAAACTGCCATCCAAATAGATGTTTGTCACCTTGTCAGGGTTGATGCTTTCAATAAGTCTCTCCAAAGAAGGCATCCAGCTTGGAGCTAAGTGGCAATTCTGAAAGAAGACCCACTTTCCTCGCTCCATAGCATTGCGCATCATGGCTTCTGCACGGGGGCCCTAAGAAATAAAACAGAATTATACAACCAGCCACAGATCTTCAAAGTTATGCATGCATAGCCAGTCCATATCTTTTGGGAAGTGGGTAGATTGCAGAACTCTCTAGTTATATCTCCATAACCAGACACAGAATGGTAACATCAAGATCTGCCTCACCACTGCTATAATCATTTCATACCTGGCTGTGAAGATACATCACCACTTCATGCTTCATGAGGAGTGGACAGGATCACATAACAAGATGTTTCTATGATCCTACCCATTCATCACAAAACATGGAAGCATGGCATATGCCTCATCTTAACATAGAGCCACATGAGGACTGACTATTCTATGCTGAGCCATTAAGTCCTCGAAGAGCTATTTCCTTGGTGTTTAAAATAGGCCTGCAGTGCAAAGCCAAAGGGCTTATGTAACTGGTGGACAGTGCTCTTGGGGGTTGGGGAATTGCTATATTCCACCTTGGTCAGGCTCCCCCTTTCTACTTAAAAATTTATTGGTGGAATTGAGCACATTCCTAGCTCTTTCACTTAGGTGCCAGTTAGTAAGAAAGCATCCAGCAAGCTAGATGTACTAGAGAGCAATTTAGAGTAAGCTTTGCTGTGGGCTCTTACTTGTCCCTGGCCAAGAGAAATGGCAGACAGCTTCTTGGAAAATTTCATTTCTTCAGCAAATTTGTAGAGATCAGCAGCTGGGTCAGTGCCTGGAGAGAGGACGAATATCAGTGGAGTAGTCGCAGCAGACTCCTTAAACACTACAGAGAGGTTTGCAGTCTGAAAGAAGAAAAGGAGAGAGATTGCTCTTAGGCAAGAAAGTCTGCTCACAACTAAGGACCCACACATCTCCTTTCAATGTTTTCATTTGATTGTGGGAAATTTGGCAGTTACTTCAGTTGAACAGAGCAGGAAATGGAATATACACAAAAGCACAGGATGATTGCCTAAGCAAAGGGATACCCCTTCTGGTCTCCTGTTCCACAATGGCTCCCTACCTGTGGCTCAATAAAACTTTGTCCCAAATTTTCAGCCACAAAGTCCTGCATTGCATTGGTGACTTTGTCCCCTCGCAGGCAGCGCAGGACCAGCAACTTCTGGAAGGGATCCAGTTTGGTATTCCAAATGCCAGGCAGATGCTCCCTGTAAGACAGAAAAAAGGTTATATCAAAGGGACATTATGCACAGAAAATGTTCCAAGTTCAGGACTAGAAAACAGATGTCAAGGTCCCACAGTTTCTCTGGGATATTCCTGAACAGAATCATCCTTTTCACTTAATGTTCTTTGTTGGCATCCAGTGGAATGGGATGGGAGATTAGGCTGGGTCAAGGAAACAACAATATCTACAACCTTTCTGAGATCTGAAGGAGAAATCACCTGTGAGGTTCAGCACTGTCAAAGATTTTTCGGAAAGCATACAGATTGGACACAAAATCATCAGCAAAGGAAGAAAAATTGGGCAGGTTGGTTAAGGCCAGGATATCATTCCACGCTCTTTCATATAGCCAGGCAGGAGCTGGATTATCTCGCATGACCTTCACAGCACCACCAGAAATGAGGTATCGCCATTCGTCCTAAGACAAAAACACAAATATGGAGGAAGATTGATATTCTTTTCCTAATTAGATCTCTGTGAATATTGGCTGGAAGTGGCAATATACTCATTGATCTTGTTATCACCACTTGCTAAAACATGTACAAATGTAGCTGGGGCCATTCAATGCTATTATTTATCAGTGGCACTTAGGGACTATTCGGGGAGGTCATTGATAGTGGTCACCGTTGCATTAAGGGCATATTTTACAACAAAGCTGGGCAAATAATATTAGACTTTCCCATCTCCATCCCAATCGTTATTAAAGGTGTCAGAAGACAGCTCTTTGTGTGCCCATGTCTGATTTTATCTCCCTCTTTCTTTTGTTTTTTTTTCTTTTCTTTTTGCTTATCTGAATTTAAATGAAATGTCGAAGGGTTTTCCTCTCCCACTTTCCCAATTAAGGCAGTCTTTCTTTGAAAACAAAAACAACTAGGAATGACTTCTATGCCATTGTTCCCATGAGCACCTTGGATCAGGCAATGTGGCAAGGAAAGGTGTTTGGGTGGGGGAAAGACTTTGCCACCACAATTAAACTTAAGATGCCTTGCTCATTAATGTTTTTGAGAAACTCACTTTTCCCCTGTAAGAAGCTAAACAATCCTTGGCCATCTTTTATAACATAATAATGGCTCACAAAAACTATGTGGGTGTTTCTGTGGGTGTCTGGTGGAATAGTCCAACTTTATTTAGTCCTTCTCTCCAGAGATTACAACAAACAGCGATATGAAACAGTGTGATCTGCAAGTTCTTCTTGGGCATTTATTCGTCATTTGCTCACCATATCTATTTTGCCTTCATTCATCATGATTCGGATGCACACTAGGAATGCAAACATGAGCTTGTGCTTCTCAAAGAGGCTCCGGCATACATTGCTGTAGAGACTGAAGGTAAGGTACTTATTGATATTTGCTATCCGCTTCTTCAGAGTGTCTGAAAATAACCACGCAGAGAGCAAGAAGATAAAAACCACCACAGTATTTAGCACTGAATCACAGGAAAGGTTTTTTTTCATGAAAGGGGGCCTAACTGAACAGCACTGTGAATAGGAAACCTGCCTCATGTTTCCTCTTAGTCTGATGACTACATCCTGAGCATTGCCTGAATTCAGAAAGATCACAAGGATCACTGATGGTACTTAAAACTTACTTAAAAGGTACTTAAAAACACATTCACGACTGAATCAGTACATCAATTCGGAAGTTAACATCTTTAAATAGCACATGTATCCAGAGTAATATTAAATTCACATTATTAATACACTTCCCTGAGGTCTAGGGAACCAGTCTAATGTAGACTTGAGTGCTGAACTAGGATCATGGGAGACCAAGATTCAAATGCCTGTGAAGCCATGGAAACCCACTGGGCGACAGTCACTTTCCCTCAGCCTTAGAAGAAACTGATGGCAAACTTCCACTGAATAAATCTTGCCAAGAGAAACCTGTGATAGAATCCCCTTAGGTCTACCATAAATCAGAAGTTATCTGAAGACACAAATGAGAACCACCATCAAAGGTCTTGTGGCATAGGGCAAGGTATAGATATTTTAATAAATAAAAATGATTTAAAAATTAATAAGGTAGTATGAAGGACATCCATATATTTGCTAGTCTTGCAGGCTAAGGAATTTTGCTGCTACCATCATCAATGATACCTAAAATGAGGAATAAAGAGCAAATAATATCTGAACTCAATACAGTAACCATCTGAGACTAAGCTGGAGATGATGGAGATTCTACAATACTGGCAATGAACTTGTAGGACTTGATTTACATCCTCGATTGGTGCTTTGGATGTCAATCCTATTTTAAACTGTGTGGAGGTTTTTATTCTGATCACGGATATATTCTGCTTTAACTGTTGGCCAAGACATAGATCTTACTGCTAGATATTGACCAGATCTATATTGTTGTAGCTATATTTCCTGATTTAATCTCTCCAAAGCTATCTCGCAAGTCAGACAGCAGCACCCCATGCATTCTCATAAGAGGTGCTTTTGCACACCTTGCGTGCAGGAAGATACGGGTCATGTGATTATTCAGTACTCTTCAGTGCCTCAGTGTGGGTGCCTGGCTTCTAAAGAAGGTTTAGGGCAGGCCAGTATAACCTGCAGCCAGCTTGCCCAATGGCCAGGAATTCTGGGAGCTGAAGTCCAAAATACCTGGAGGGTTGGAAGTTGTGCAGACCTGGTTTAGGGGGTCATTTACAGTTGGGCTATGACTGTAAATGTGAATTTCAATATTTATAATATACATCTGGCTTACAACATTGTAAATACTGAACTGGATGCCAGTCAGAATTATTTACAAAATCTGAACAGTGCTATTTATACCCCTTAAGTCCTGATCACAATATAAAAGGCACTGGAGTTTTCTGGCTCAGCAAGGCTTCCCATTCTGTTACTAAAGCTACCTGCTCTTTCAGAGTTTGAAATTCCTGTCAAGAATATGTTGAGGAACCATTCCAATGAATACTGGTACATGGGGTCAACGTTGGACAGATCTGAGACACAGAAGAATAGGATCTGGGTGCGGACTGCCACTGGTATATACTCCAGCCGAGTGATATCAATATCCTTCTCTGTCTGCTCAGCTATCTTTACTTTGGCCTGGGAAAAACACAAGACCAAAACAAAATGCAATTTTAGGATATATCAGAAAGAACAGTGAACTACTGGAATTGCAAATCAGTTACCAACCTGAATTTCCCCTGCTTTTAGCTTAGATGCTTCTAATACTTTGATGAGCTCCAAATCATCAACAGGGTTCCCCTCAGAGGAGCTAAGACGATAGAGGATCTGATCTTCTATCTCCTTCAACTCTTGACGCATCTTGGCATTACTGACAATCAGCTGGTTCTTAGCCTCTTCCAAGTCAGGACGCTCTTCAGCTACTACTTGGCCTAGCAACTGGTCCTCTAAGCCACTGTAAAGGAAATAAATAAATCAAATCATTCATAATTGTAGCTTGGTTTTGACTGATTCTATTTGTAAACCATCAGCCTACTAAGCTTGACAAGGTCATAGTTTGAGTTGTCAAGACTATAGATTGGTGGGTGGGAGAGGGGGATGCTGACACGATTTAAGGAAAGCAAGAAAAGATAGAATGTACCATTGGCAAACAGGAAAGATAAAAAACGAAAAGCATAGTTTTGTTATCCATCAAAACTCTCAAATTAGTATCTTTATTACTGTACACACAGCTTCCACTATTCAGAAATAGAAGAACAAGGGTCAAGCTCTGACTTGGGAAACAGGAAAAAGGACAGGAAAGCAATATTTATTACCTGGGGGATAGGGTGAAGTTAATCAGGGTCAGCTTGGTGGATAGCTCCGGTGTGTAGTGCGGGTTAGGCAGGTTGGTGGTGATGTACATCTTGAAATCTTCATGATACGGAATCACAGTGTCACCCAGTTTCAGCACAGTGCTGCCCTGTTGTTTGTAAGTCTGTAAATCAAAGGAAAAGTTGAAATGTATACATTTCTATGCAGAACAGATAGACAAAATTCTATCTTAGACAAGTGTTATGATCTTGAGGGATGCCTGGCTCAATAGCAGTACGTGTGAAAAAGATCTTGGAGTTCTCATGGACAACAAATTGAACATAAGCCAACAATGTAATGTGGCAGCTAAAAAAGCCAATAGGATTTTGGCCTGCATAAATAGGAGTATTGTGTCTAGATCCAGGGAAGTTATGCTACCCCTCTATTCTGCTTTGGTCACACCACACCTGGAATACTGTGTCCAATTCTGGGCACCACAATTGAAGGGAGATGTTGACAAGCTGGAATGTGTCCAGAGGAGGGTGGCTAAAATGATCAAGGATTTGGAGAACAAGCCCTATGAGGAGCAGCTTAAAGAGCTGGGCATGTTTAGCCTTAAGAAGAGAAGGCTGAGAGGAGACATGATGGCCATGTATAAATATGTGATGGGGAAGTCATAGGGAGGAGGGAGTAAGCTTGTTTTCTGCTGTCCTGGAGACCAGGACACAGAGCAATGGCTTCAAACAACAGGAAAGGAGATTCCACCTGATCATGAGGAAGAACTTCCTAACTGTGAGAGCTGTTCAACAGTGGACTGAGAATGCATCAGAGATACTTAAGAGTCAGAATCTCTCATAGAAGAGACAGATGAAAATGCCTTTTATCTCTCTTTAAAACCCTGTGAGTTTCTCCACACTTTTTGCTTCTTAGAAACAAAAGGAAGAATCAGAAAAGAGCCATTTTATGTGCTTTCAGCCTCCAGAGGGCCTCAGTTGTGCAGCCAACTCAATGCTTTTGGAATCTAAACTTTTATTTTGGCATTTAAACTTTGCCTTCAGCACCCAGAATGAACACTTGATCCTTCACGTTGTGCATCCCATCACAATGTGCCTGTGCCTCTGTGGTATTCAGTCGGTCCTGATCTGAGTCCTCAGGGAGGGTAAATTGGTCTTGCCCATAGAACTGATCAAGCTGTATATCGGCTACTGGGCAACCATCCCTTAACTCCTCATTACAGGTGTTGCTACTAAAGGTTTGCAACATACTTTCCCTAAGTTTTGGAAAGGATCAGAGCTGTTTCTGTTGCAGCTGACACAGTTAATTGATGGGATAATTGAGTGTATTGTTTCCTCATGTATTTAGTAAGCTACTGTGTGTTTGTACTTAGAGTTTTGCATTATCCGTGTTGGAGTTTTGCATTCTCTGTGTTGGAGCTTTGTATTCTCCATGTTTGAGCATTGCAGTCTATGCATTGCTTGTGGCTCGTTCTGAGATGAAAAACCTTTGTTTGTTTGATGCCGGGTTGTTTGTTTGATGCCAGGAGAAGTTACTGCAACCATCCAGAGCTGAAGATAAGGCAGCAAGTCAAGGTCACTGAGTAAGAGAGACTGTATATTGTTTTTTGTTACAAGTCTGCTTATCAAGGTGGAATGAAGACGACTCACCGAAGAGACTGTTTTATGTTATGTTTTTGGTGAGAGCAATTCTTCTGTTTTCTTTTGTATGCAGTGAATACAACTTTATTTCTTTTCTACTTAAAGCTGAAGACTCGTGTGTTTTTCTTTTATGAGTTACTTTATCACACATAGAGTTACAAGGGCTAGAGTCAGTCTGCGGGCTACTCATGCTAAATGCTGACAACAGGAGAGATCAGGGCTGTGCCTGTAATCAATTCCAAAATAAACCATTCCCATTAGGATGATAAGTAGAAAAACAGAATAGATTTCTCTTACAAAAAGAAAAAGTTGAAAAATCTCTTCACAAACGTCCTCTCAAAAAGGGCCATCTCCCTGACCTCAACTGTCCCTAATCCAATGCAAATGAAACATATCAACCTTGATAGGGTAGTAAAAGCTAAATGCATTGAATCAAGCCAATATCTAGTCAGGCAGACAGTAGTCACTGAATACAGTCAATAAAACCCTCTAATTCAGTAATAAAGGCACGTTTTAACTGGAGCACAACAGTCTCATCTGAGCTAAGAGAGGACAGATTTGGGAAGGTGAGTATGGCCTTTCCTGTCAAGGTGGCAAGTATGATCCCTGTATGTGAAACACAAGCAAGGAACAAGACAGCATGAAGAAGGCCACCTCCATACTGCAAAAAAAAAAAAAAAAAGAAAAGAAAAGAAAAGTTGTGACTTGGATCAAGCAAAACTAGATTGTTCTACTGAAGAGTTGCAGGTCCACAAACAGAAAGCTGAAATAACCCATTACTGATTATAATTACCCTGCTTCCAAGTAACCAGTTATAGACAATCTGACCAACCAAGTCAACCAATATAGAGGGTGGGCTGAGACTGGTTAGTACAGAGGAGTTATGAAAGAAAAAAACTGATGGCAGAAGGATGATACACGGTGTCCTGGTGCAAACTCCTTGATAGTAATCTATCTCCTTCATTAAGTTATGATTCACACATGTAGTGCCAAAGTCATGACAGGAATGAGTCATTTTACTCTAATTCCAGTATACCCATGCCACCAACCAGTGATGGCAGAAGAAAGATCACAAAAGCCACTTAATCTCATAAAGGATTTATGATAATTTGGACTCATAATTCAAACAAGCACCATGTTACTCAGCACTAGTTGTTCTTCAAAAGTAATTTCCTACCCACTATTCATGAGCAATGAGTTTCATAATGTATTATTGGCATTTTACTTTCAACTTTATTTTTATTGATGTATTTCCCCCAGGACTAAAATTACCAAAATGTCTCAATGGGTTGAAATGTCTCACATTTCTGAAATAATGAAATAAAATGTTACACATTGTGAAAATGGTCTACTGTTAATAGTGGTATTGTTCATGTTTAACACTAAAGCTATGTTCCCTTTATCTCAGCAATATTGTTTTTATGAAGTTGCTTATTACTGTGCTTGTTTTATTATTTTATTTGATTGATTTTAATTGTGCCTCTGTTTTTATCTGTAATTTTTGGGTTTGTCTCTTTGTAAGCTGCTCCGAGTCCCCTAGGGGAGATGGTTGGCAGGGTATAAAAATAAAGTTATTATTATAACACTTATGATGTTCAGTCTCTAAAGAGGCTGTGTCTGGCTACAAGAACAAAATCAGAAGCTTCTCTGATTGCCTCCCTCCATACAGCCACAGAATGAATGGCAGGGGCTGCCATGACTAAATGGCAAGTTGTGGGGAAGCAATGGTTTTTATGGTGAGCAGAAGAGAATACCAACATTTCCAAAGAAAAAAGCCCTATATACACAGGCATAAGGTGGGGTTATGTCCGTGAATGGAACTAACAGGATGCCAGCCAACATGGTTAACGCAAAGCATAATTTCCAAGCTCTTCCCACATGGATGAGATAGGGTACCTGTTTCAGCAAGACAGGTTCAAGAGCTGGATCCAGTTCTTCCCCTACATTCTCCAAGAGAAATGGCTTTCCAAAACGAATAGCATTTTCCAAGCTGCGCAGGAAGTCCCGGTCACTCAACTTAGATGTATCTAAGCCAGAATCTTTCTCCTTAAAAAAAGACAATACAAAGCAACTCAGCACTTGTAACAATTGGGGCCATATCCTTCTTGAATGTGAAAGACAAAGATAATTAAAACTGGAGTCTGAAAAGGCTATTTTTGGGGAAATGTTAGATTCTGGGATCGGAAGTCTAAAGAGAAACTTTCTAAGCTTGGATGTTCATATAGATCAGGGGTTTTCAAACTTTTCAAAACAGAAGGGCAGTTCATGGTTCCTCAGACTGTTAGGGGTCCAGTCTATAGTTTGAAGAAAAAAATGAATTCCTATGCACACTGCACATATCTTATTTTTAGTGCAAAAATATATATGAAAGAACAATACAATATTTAAAATGAAGAACAATTGTAACTATCACAAACTTACTAGTATTTCAATAGGAAGTATGGGTCTGCCTTTGGCTGATGAGATAGCCAAGTTAATTAGTGTTGTTGCTGTGTGCCTTCAAGTCGTTTCAGATGTAGGGCAACCTTAAGTCTGAAGTTTAGGGGGCAGGTAAATTACCTTGGAGGGCCGCATCTGGCCTGCGGGCCTCAGTTTGGGAATTTCTGACATTCTAGATATAAGCATTCAGTTTTCTAATGAACTGAACATGGCAGGTGTACTACTTTAAAGTTCATTTAAAACTAGGCCAACATGACATTGTTTGAGGTGATTCAGCAAAGCATGAAAGCAATAAAGAGAAATGCTTGTATTGGGAACAAACTGTCTAACACTACACTCCTGATATTGTTTTTCACAATTCACAGTTCAGCACTCTGTTATGATTTTGCTTCACACTGACTGGTTTTCAAATTATAGAATCAAAACTTTAAATTGAGAGACAAACATCTAAGCTTTTTATCCAACGAAGGTGAATGTTGGTTTTTTCCATCATGGAAATCTTTGCATGAAGAAAAGACTAGAAGAAACCACAATGTCAGTGGGGAGATGAATATGAATCTTAAAACATTCAGTCATCCATATGTTCAGATAAATAAGGGTATCATCTTTCACAACTACAGCTACCATTTATAAATTGGAAATTGTCGGTATAAGATGTAAATACAAGCGTTTATATTAATGGGCCTTTAACATCTGAGGGAAAAAGGTAACGTGGTTAGAAGTGAATGTTGTTTCACAATTTGTCAGAAGGAGAAATACCTACCAAATTTTTTATCCATTTGTTGGCTTGTCCCTGAGGATCTATGAATAGAGTCCAGCGCTGAGAGAACTGTGTTATCATTCCATTCTCCACAGATAAGGTATCGTTGGGCAGACCTGCTATCTGTTTAATAAGAAAAAGCACACTGTGTTGTCGAAGGCTTTCATGGCCAGAATCACTGGGTTGCTGTGAGTTTTCTGGGCTGTATGGCCATGTTCCATACATGGCCAGGCTGTATGGCGATAAAGGCCAGAAAACTCACAGCAACCCAAAAAGCACACTGTTTTACAGTAAATGCAGATGTCTGTGTATCTCCCTCCTAAACAAAAAAAAAAACCTGCTCCAGCGGAACACATTTTCTAAATAAAAAGGGCAAATTCTGTCAATCAAACCAATTTGTATCTCCTCATTTTACTCAATTCATATTACTCCTGTTATTGATTGGAAGGCAAAGAGCTAAGTATGACATTTTGCGTTCTATTGAATGGTTTCATTTCAAACAACCACCTTACAGGTGTATGCCTACAATGGAAGTAGGATCAAGGCAGCAAGGACATGTTTGGAAAGTTTTCAAACATTGGGCTGAACTATGACAGTAGATTTAATTCTGACAAAATCCCTGGACATTGCATTTCAACTACAGCAACTTACGGCCAATTCTGATAAATAACAGAAACCACACTGGAATGCATGTATCTTTTTTCCTTTGTGAAAAGAAGTATTGCTATTTGATGCATACAGAAGCACAGAAAAACATTAACATTACCTGCCATGATCGTATTTTCACTGGGTCTCCAAGTGTAGCTATCAAGTTTGGTTCTTTGGTATGTGGAACATTATGTGAGTCCAGATGACTTATCCATTCCTCGTAAAGTGCTATGCGGTAGTGACCCTATGGAAGATAATATTTCATTTCTTATTAAATCAATGCAATTTTTACTTACATGAAATTCTAACTATTTATGCCTGATTATTTGCTCTTTGCATTGAAGGGGAGTTTTGAGGTCTATGTGCCCGAATCTTTTATATCCAGGTCTCCTTGAACAGCAACTTTCTGATGATGTTTCACTCTTCAGTTCAATTCAGACATTATAGCTGAAGACTTGCATGTTATCATTTCATGCACCGATTGCTTGTATTATTTTTATCTTGGGCTTACTGGCAACAGAGATGCAGATCTTGCATCCAAAAAGGTAGCTACAGAAATGTAACTATGACATCTCTTGATGCTACCCTTCAAAATCTACCTTTGAAGCCTTATGGCCACCTCCCAATATGGTAATTTTCAATGTGCTGGCTAGTGAGGCAAGGAATAAAGATGTGGACAATTCTATCCCTGTGGCAGGATGTGCTGAGACAGATGGTTGCATTTTCTTGCTGAGTTCTATCAGGATTCTGTTATGTGAGTCTATCTTAGTGCGCCCCATGATTGGGAGAAGGCTGAACAGGTCATTACTCACTACTTCATTCTGTGTGTGTGTGTGTGTGTGTGTGTGGGGGGGGTTAGATTACTTCCACAAATGTAAGATTTGTGGAAAACCTTTGCTTGTTGTGATTGTACAGCAATGATAAATGTGAATTATATTAATTATGATGCTTTAAGTCAGAATTACAATATTACAATTCTGAATGGAATACAAGTCACAACTGTTAAGCCCAAATCAGAGATGACTATGATCAGTTTGCAGTTCCAAATCATGATTAGATTGGGTTTGCAATGTTGGTAAGTGCTAAACAGAATTGGCCCCAATTTTGATGTAACAGCAAATCACATTCAAGCAAAAAGAACTGAGGGAATCAATTTGCAAAGCATTTTTAGCTACCAAAAACACCTCTTAATATGTTATTGCTGTTCCACCTGATGATAACATGAATTCTTGAGGAATCAGGGTGAAACAAGGAAAAAGACAGCCTCTAAAGTATTCATGCTCAAACCATTTTAACATCTCATTAGTGGGTAAATGATCAAATCTTGATACTAGTATTCAACTGTAAGTTCAAATAACTGATCTAATGTAATAGCAGACAGAAAAAAGTTGGTTCTGATACAGACCTTTTCCTTTGAAAGGCCTTATGCTTGATCAAACATAAATCAGGACAAACCTCAGATATTCTGGAGGGAAATGTTTCTCTTGCTCACCGTGAAAGGGCCCAAATATGCAATGAAGCCAGATGAAACGAGCACGTCCCCCGAAATGTTGTTGATCATATAATCTAGGTTCTGGACAGTCTCTTGCCAGCGTACCCTTTCATCAGCAAGGCCATTAATTAACTTAGAGGGGGAAAAACATGCAGATGTTACAATTCGGCTTCTTTGTGTAGGAAGCATCCACTATCTCCCAGCAGAAAATCCGAGAAGAGAACAATGACTGGGAATTTCACTGGACCATGGTAAATGAAAGAAGAGGCCATAATTTGGATTGTGACCAAATTAGGATCAGTAGATGTTTTGTGACATGGCTAAAATCTTATATTGGAAGGGATACTGTGTTTTATTTGTTTGTTTACATCACAGTACTCCTCCTCTCTCCTGAGATGGAATCCAAGGTAGCTTATATTAAAAAATCTGTATTATGCTAAAAAGCATACAAGAGTTTTAAAAAGTAAATGCCAATGTTATTAAAGTAATGTTTATTAATAAAAATTAAAACATACAATAAAATACCGATATAGCACACCACTTTGCACATACCACAATTAAAACAATTAACACTTCAGAGGCCTGCCTGAACAGAAAGGGCTTACTATGTTGGCAGAAAGAGAACAGGGAGCGGGCTCGGAGCTGCTATGGAGAAGGCTACTTAATATTGCATCAATGAAGTTCCACTCTGGCTACTGGTTCCATAATGAACAAGCCTGCTTCAACCAATATGTGTGTGCTCCCAGGGAGCCTCTGGCTGGACTTCTGCAGTGGGGTGCCAACAGCAGCTCACCTCCTTGCACATCTCCAGCAAATCTACTGGGATCTGAAGGGGGGAGCAATGGTCGCTCTGTTCTATGAGCTGTAGCTGAATGCTGCCTATGTGCCTTGCACTCTGCATTGGCCACTGAAAGGCTGAGAGAGAGCAAGCACACCTGCCCTTTGCATCAGACTTGTGAAGTTTGGGGAGGCACTGCAGAAGAAGCTATTGGATAGTTCCTTGCACAACAGATAGACTCAGCTTACATTGCAGATTTAATTATTTGCAATGATTTAAAATGTTCTCTCTAAGAATCCTAGATCTTCCAATGCGACTCTGTGGACAACCTTTGTTGGACACTAACCACAAAGTCATGTTTAAGGACAAGATTACTAAAGAGGTATTCTCTTTAAACCTTACCAAATATTTTATTTTTGATTTTTCACTTTTTTGGGGGCACCTAACCCTAGTGAATGAGGAAGGCTGACTATTCATGGATGCAAATGTGGATGTATCCAACAAGATTCCACCCCCACCCATCCCAATACAGTTTTCAAGCCACATATTTGCCACTAGCTCACACTAGTAACTGGATTTGCAAAGCCAAAATAGAACAGTTGTACAACCAGCTCTGTCCCTGACCTTGTCTGCTCGATTTAGTCTCTGCTCACACTGTTCGCACTTCATTTCCAGCTCCTCTTTGGTTGCTAGGGTGCCTCTGTATTTGGCCTGAAGACTGGCAATGCCATCCTCCACTTCTCGTAGACGTTCCTTGGCTTCATCAAGTACCTTCTGTGTGGCTTGTAGGTCTTCTTCTGCTTCCCTCAGGGCTTGCTACAGAAATACAAATCCTTATGAATGCCAAATTTTCAAGCAAAGAGCCACTTTTTTATGAAACCACCTTTTTAAAAGGCCCACAATTTAAGGTATATAATAGATGCCTTTCAAGGAATAACACTGCTGTAGTCCTTACTCGCTTTGGCTCCACAGCTTTTGCCACAAAGTGGTACTTGTGCATAGCCCTGACCCACTGGCAGATAGATGTGCAGGCTTTGGACACTTTTGCTATGGCTGATGGCTGAAATTCTTCACTGTCAATATATGGCTGGATTAATTTAATGATAGCATCTGCAATGTTATCCTGAAATTAAATAAAGAGATAAAAGTGTGAGAGATCTGGAGGGCCAGCTCTGACAGCAAAACCAGGATATGGAATAAGGGCAAGGTATTCAGATCACATGCAGAGGCTGTGGAATGCTCATCTTCTTGACAGAACATCTAGTAAGCTACATCTGCTTCAATGGAAGAGTGGACCCAGCAACTCAAGGCCGGAATTGTTACACATAGGGATATTAAGGAACTTGAGTTTTTCTTGGACATAGCCCAGTGGATCATTCTTTTTGGAAAATGGCATTCATAGACTTATGGAAAAACACCTTTTGGAGGTCATACTTTTATTTTATTTTAGAAAAGCATAATCTTTCAGAGAAGAGCCAAAAACCCTTTAGAGTAGAATACTCTCTTGTGATCCAACCAGATATAATTATGCATCAGTTGTTAGACTGAATACCCTGTTATGTCTGATCTGTTAGGAAAACAGAGATTTTGCCAGTGCGTAAAAACAACAAAGCTTTAGAAGTGTTTTTTAATGCCCCCCCCCCAAAAAAAACCTCTCCCATAAAACAACTTGTTTTATTTCATGCACTCAAGAGACAAAAATGAAGTAGACTTGATGGAGAGCATGTGGTCTGCAGTCTCTTTTACAACTTCTCAGGAACCATAGAGTAAACGAAGCTGCATACCAGAGCATACATATAGGAAACAGTAAGCAAAAAAAAAAAACAAAACAAAAAAAACTAACAAAATGTATTTCAACGAGGACAAATATAAGATACTACACTTAGACAGAAAAAATGAAAGGCAAAAATACAGAATACGGAAAAAAATTCCGTGGAGATCTTGGAGTCTTTGCGGACAACACTGAACATGAACAAAAAATGTGTTGCTGCAGTTTAAAAAGCCAATGGGATTTTGGGCTGCTTCAGAAGGAGTATAGTGTCTTGACCAAGTAAAGCCATGGTACCCCTCTATTCTCCTTTGGTCAGACCTCACCTGGAATATGGTGACTAATTCTGGGTACCACAATTTAAAAGAGATATTGACAAGCTGAAATATGTCCAGAGGAGGGCGATTAAAACGATCAAAGGTCTGGAGACCATGCCCTATGATGAGTGGCTTACAGAGCTTGGTATGTTTAGTCTGCAGAAGAGAAGGTTGAGAGGAGACATGTTTGCCATGTATAAATATGTGAAAGAATGTCACAAGGAGGAGGGAACAAGCTTGTTTTCTGCTTCTCTGGAGACTAAGACTCAGAGGAATGGGTTTAAATTACAGGTAACTTGGAAGAACATTCTGATAGTAAGAGCTGTTCAGCAGTGGAGTTCTCTGCCTCAGAAAGCTCCTTTTTTGGAGGATGTTAAACAAAGGCTGGATGGCTATCTGTCAGGGGTACTTTGAATGTGCTTTTTCCTGTAGAGCAGTGAGATAGACTAGATGGCCCATGAGGTTTCTTCTAATTCTAATTCTATGATTCTGAGAAAAGGAAAATAAGTGTTCCCATGACACTTACCTTATCATATTTAAACAGGCTTTCAAGAAATTTCCCTGGATCCTGAAGGAGGCCTTTGCCAGGCTCCCAATAATCATCTAATTTGGAGCCTGGCTTCTCTCCTGCCACTTTCTTAGGCTTAACTCCTTTCATAATGCAGACAGCTTCAATAACCATTTTAACACCAAGTGGAGGACGCTGCATGGCTCGTACCTAATTGAAAATATGGTGAAAATAAGAAGACCTATAGATCAGATTACTGCCCTATCTGGCAGAGAGAATTCTGTTTTGGTGGCAATATTAAGACATGAAATTAAACACAATTAAAACATTAGCTGTGCATATAATTTGGAATATGTTCTTTAATACAATGTCAAATCAGCCACATCTGCCAGAATGAAAACCAATAGCCGTATCAGCGATGATGTTGTGGATGATTATGATGCATTCATATCCCATAGAAACATGATAGTTTACAAATAATGAGAGGAAAAGTTCCTGCCCCAAGGGGCCTATATTCTAGAAAAAAATACAAGGAGTGGAAACAAAAGCAGTGGTATCACAGAAAGAATATACAGTTATTTCAGACATGCGTGCAGCTTGCTTACTTTAAGCTTGCTGACAAAAAGTGCAAGCATTGAGACTGAAAAGAAGTGGCACCAGGAAACTTTTTCAGCAGTTCCAGATATAAACAAAAAAGGGAAAATGTGGATAAAATTCAAATAACCCCTCTTTGAAGCTCTCAGGGTGGAGCAGAACAGGCCAGGGAGTACAAGAGTATAAAAGAAGCATGGGCAAACTTTGCCCTGGAGGGCCGAAGTTTGCCCATGCCTGGTATAAAAGCAGAGAGATGTGAGAGAGGGGGGAAGGAAGAGAGAAAAAGAGAGAGAGAGAGAGAGAGAGAGAGAGAACATAATGGATTATAAAGGTGAGAAATCTCTGTTGCAAACAGATCAGTGCTGGAATTTCAGGAACAGTATCACTGTGATCCATAATGCAACTGCTTGATGATCTTTTCTCAATTTCATGGGATGAGAATCTGTAGCTATCCGAAATGTGTCTGTCTCTGAAAGCATACTTCCTTAGATTTGATTCAGATACGCATAAAGTAGCCAGGGACAAAAGAAGACAATTCTTCCTGTATCTTTTAGCTAATTAGGACACAGAACATAATACTTCTCCCATGAAAACCTTTGTTTGAAAAAGAACTCACTTCTATTCAGCCATTAAATCTATAAAAGCCCATCTCATGCCAAAAGGTGGTAGATACATATGGCTTAGAAAATTATCCCAAGTCTGTTGGTTTGGAATATCATTGGACCTCTCTGCTAATAAAGCAAGATAGGACTCCAATGCGGGAAAACATTAGACTACAATACTATATACTACAATATATACAGAGAGCTGACGGATCTTCTTGCACCCATCACTCACGGTAAATGGATTACCAATTTTTCAATTGGGTGTTGTTGCTCTAGCTTTAACTTGGTTACCAGGACAATTAGCAGGTGATATCATTTAACCCCAGGCTGTGAACAATTTCTCCAATTGATTTTCAAAGGTTCTGTCACAACAGCACTGCATGCCAGATGTCCCACCCCTTATCAGCTTACTACTCTTGTCCAGTGGTTCTCAAACTGTGCTCCATGCACCACAGTTAGGGGCTCAGCCCCCGACTCACACCTACGAAGCACAGGGCCTGTAGAGACCCGCTGCCCTGACCTACAAGGCCTCCATACCTCCTTGCCTCACCTGGCTCACTCCGACCTCAGCTGCCCATTTCCTCCTACTAATTTTTCTGGCCCAGGACCCCCGACCTTGCCCTGAAAGCCAGCTTGGCACTCTTTGTCTGGAAAACTCTGCCCTTGGCGGCAGAGAAGGCTCGGAGTTGGAGAAGGTCTCTTGCAGCACTCTGAGCACCAGAGCTTGAGAGAGAGAGATCCAGGGAGTGAGCCAGCCAGCCAGCCAGGATCGGGGCCCAATGCACACCAGTTCTGCCCGCACCTTCCTGCCCCATGAAGCCCCTCAGCTCAGCTGCCCACCCTCACCTCACTCACTCTGGTCTCGGCTCCCAGCTTCCTCCTCATCCTTTTTCTGGCCCGGGACCATCCTCACCTTGCCCTCCTGGCTGCCCGGCCCTCAYTGTCCCCTGTGAGGAAGCAGTGGTGGTGGAGGCCTCAAATTCTGGGCCATGCCCGAATGGTTGAGTGGGATGTGGGGATGAATGGAATGGAAAGGGGGAGGGGGCTTCCACATCAATCAATTGGATGATTTGTGAAGTAATGTAAGTTAATCCTGAGTCATGTGTGTGTGTGTGTGTGGGGGGGGGGGAGCGAGCCCTTCCTGCATCGGGGTGGGGGGGGGGAGGGCACTCCATATGCTCTGGTGTCTTTGACCAAAGCATTGGATCGCTTTCCTTTGCACTGCTTCTCCAGTGACCTGTGTCTTTATTTTGGGAGGAGGGTGTTCACGGATCCTTCTGGCAGAAGACTGCTGGGAGGGAGGGAGGGGGGGGTGCATTGGTTTTCAGGCAAGAGGGTGATATGGTGATGAAGCACCAAGGGTTTCAGTTGGGGCCCTTTTCCATCCCYGTTTCCACCACCTTCTGATGTGCCAATGACTCGGTTTGCACATCAGAAACGTGGAGTCCACACACACACTGATTTTATCTGTGAAATGTATGCATTTGCGATTAACAACACATTTTATTTCTTATCTGTGTCTCCCAATCGCTCCCAAGGAAAGGTACAGCAAAGTCTAAACATATGATCATAAAATACATACAATAAAAGATATGCTTCCTTCCGAAGCAGGCCAGCCCCAGAATCACATGTACACAGCTGAGGGCTCTAGGTACTGGAGGGTCCTCCTGAGGGAAACCCTGTAGTAGGCCTGTCTCAGGGTTGCCATCTTCAGAAACAGTGCAAAAGGCACACAATCTCATGTGAAAAATACATAGCAGGGGATGACAAAAGTTTGGCCCAGAGTCTCCATGTAATTTCCAAAAACCTGCAAGGCCTCCCTTCCACCGCATTTTATGTGCTTTTACTGCAAGGCAGAAGCAGGTTGGGCTTGGTCCTATTATTATTATTATTATTATTATTATTATTATTATTATTATTATTTTACTGACACAAAAGCACAGTATGTCACAGCAAACGAGATCTATATGCTGGATTTCGTATCACAAAATCACAAGTCGAACACTTCCCAAGCGCCTAGGACTGTGTGATGTATTTTCGAATGATGCGCGCAGATCCAAGTAAGGTGGCCTTTTGCAGTTGACAGATCGTGATTTTGTCAATGTTAATTGTTTCCAATAAACTGAGATCTTTTGGCATGGCACCCAGTGAGCCAATGACCACTGGGACCACCTGTACTGGATTATTATTATTATTATTATTATTATTACTTTTATGATTATTATTTCAAATAATAATAGTAATAATAATGGGGGGGGGGATTTGATTAGTGTTTTTCCTGCATGGCAGAAACAAGTTGGACTGGGTGATCCCTGGAGTTGCTCTTTATTATTATTATTATTATTATTATTATTATTATTATTATTATTATTAGAAACACAACAAGATTAGTACACAGCAAACAAGATCACTATGCTGGCTGTTGTATTGGCTCACACGTCGGACACTTCCTAAGTGTCTAGGACTGTGTGATGTATCGGTGAATAATGTGTGTAGTTCCGAGTAGGGTGGCCTTTTGCAGCTGACAGATAGTAATTTTGTCAGCATCAATTGTATTTAAGTGCAGGCCAAGATCTTTAGGCACTGCACCCAGTGTACCGATCACTTCTGGGACAACCTTTCCTAGTTTGTGCCAGAGTCTTTTCAGTTCGATCTTTAAATCCTCATATCGTGTCAGCTTTTCCAGTTGTTTTTCTTCAATCCTGCTGTTGCCTGGGATTGCAACATCAATGATCCATACTTGGTTTTTTAATACGATAATGAGGTCAGGAGTATTCTGCTCCAAAACTCTGTCTGAATTCAGCACTCCCAGAGTAGTTTGATGTGTTCATTTTCTATAACTTTTGGAGTTATAGAAAATGACCAGTTCTTGGTCACAGGCAGATGGTATTTGTGGCACAAATTCCAATGAATCATCTGAGCAACGGTATTGGGCCTCTGCTTGTAGTCTGTCTGTGTGATCTTCTTGCAGCATCCGAGGATGTGATCTATTGTTTCGTCTGCTTCCTTGCAGAGTCTACACTTGGGATCTGTTGTCGACTTTTCAATTCTGGCTTTGATGGCATTTGTTCTAATTGCCTATTCTTGGGTTGTAAGAACCAGGCCCTCGGACTCCTTTTTCAAAGGTCCATTTGTGAGCTACATTCATGGTTTTTCTTTGTTGTTGTGGTTGTTATTATTATTATTATTGCTGAGGCCGGATGGCCATCAGTTGGGGGGTACTTTGATTGCTTTTCCTGCATGACAGAAGTGGGGTAGACTGGATGGCCCCTGGGATTTGCCACTAAAATACTTTTAAGTTTATATTGGTTAAAACTGTTCTTCATTTTAAATAGTGTAACTTACTTACTTGCTTACTTTCTTGCACTACAAACAAGGTATGTGCAGTGTGCATAGGAATTTCTTCGTGCTTTTCAGTTTGTTCACACAAACATTCTTCATCCATCTGCCACTGGCCTAGCCCATCCTGTCAAATTTTAAAATGCAATGTGGCCCGTATCCAAAAGTTCTTTAGGGCCCCATGAGAAACTTTTCCTTCAAAAAGGGCTCTGCAGCTTTAAAAGTTTGAGAACCTCTCCTCTTGTCTATAAGCAAGCTGATAGACAAGAAACAAGTGGTTTCCTGAACTTCTGATGAAAGGCAGTTGGTAGTGCTTTAGAAGTTCATGCAAAGTTCCTGAAAAATTACAACTTCTATGTTTGAAAGGAGAGAAATATTCTAAACTCTGTTGTTAAAGTAAGTTGCAAAGGTAAGAAGTAAAGGTTATGAGTAAAAAAATAAAAATGGCAACAGACCTGCATGTGTTCTTGCTAGTTATCATTATGGCATGTAAGTGTAAACTCACAAGCAAACTAAGTTTTCTTATTCCTAGGAATGTTCCAATGTAGTCATAGAGTTTTGGTGAAAAACTGATAAGATATCATGTTTCCTCAATAATACTACAGATAAATAAATGTATACACTTTTTTCGCTTACTGCTTGTTTGATGTCTGGTTTATATTTTATGATGTTTTACATTTAATTGGTTTTACTGTTTTAATATATTTTACTGTTATATGTTTTAAATTGTGTTATTTGTCATCTTTGTTTATATTGGGCTTGGTCCCCATATAAGCCGCCCCGAGTCCTTTCAAGGAGATGGAGGTAGGATATAAGAACAAAATGGTTATTATTATGACTATTACACTTTTCTATTCTACTAAACATTTTTTTTCTACTTCTATCAGGGTAAGCAAAGCAAGCATGCTTTCCAGGAGACACTCCAGAGCTTTTCTTCTTGATACATGTAACAGAGGAACTCAATTTGTGGAGATCCTGAAAATTATCTATCCCAAGGCAGACTGCCTTCACGAGGATGACTTTGACTGGCTCATTGAGTGTCCCAAAACAGAGCAGTTTCTTGAGTGGTTTTGCAACACAGTGGGAGAGGAGAACCTATTGGACTCCACTGAACTGGAAAGCTATGAGAAACTGGTTGCTTCTGGAAAGCCTATTCTGGAGGGGGAAGCATTGGAAGAGGCACTGAAAACCTGTTCCCAATCTTTTGAGGTAAATGGTGTCTTGCAGGATAATGAAGCCCTCTCCCTTGATGCTCTTGAACAAGAAATGCAGTCACTGAAGAATCAATGTGCCTGTCACATAAAGAGGCACAATCAGATTCAGGTTCGTGCAGCCAGCTTGAAGCAGAGGGTCTTTTGTTCAACAGAGAAGATAGAGAAAGGCAAGAGGGAGCTGAAAAATACACACCTGAAACTGGAGATTGTGAATTTTCAGAGCAATGATGTTCTCAGCCAGCTCTGTAAGAAGGCAAGTGAGCTAGCTCAGTGCCAAACAGGCCCTGGGAATGAGCAAACAAGAACATCTATGGCTACAGAAGATCTGAGTCATTACCTGAAGTCAGAAGAAACAACCACAAAGGTAGTATCGGAATATTTTTCAAAGGTTATGCGAAGTATTCATGATATAGAGGCTGATAAAACTGTTCTAGCAAAGAAGTGGCATGGAAGCACTTGGGAAGAGCTGATTTCAGATATTACAGCAAGGCTAGGTCAGGAAAGGCTCCTAGGAAACAAGAGCATTGCCAGTGACAAAGACTCTGAAGATCACACAATAGTCACAGCCATGGTAAAAAGCTGCGATGAATTTTACCAAGGACAGCTTGCTGAAAAAGAGGAAGCAACATTTATTCAGAAAGCCCTGTCAGAAGAAATGGACATGCCCAAAACAGAAGATTCCAGAACTTGGGGCCAAGCTGCTCTGAATGATTGTGAAGGAGGGCCAAAACATGCAGAAGGTGATGAAACAGAGTGTCCTAAAAAAAACAAGCTAGACATCTGTGAAGAAGAACTGGGGCGCATGAAGTCAAGTTACATGTGGAACAAGATGGAAGTAGTCATGCTTTCTGCAAAAATTAAAGGAATTTCATCCTCTCTGCAATGGGCAGTGAAGACCCTGAAGATTTTTAAAGACAAAAAGGTAAGTCATTAGCCTTTAGTAAACAATACTTTCAGAAGAGTCTCCCAAAGATAAAATGTGTTTTGTGACTGTTGCTATAGAGATAATAAAGAGTCCCAATGATGCTTAAGTATACAGAAAATAGGCTGTCACTCATCTGCCTTCTGGCAGGTCTGCAATTCTTTTTTGTTATTTTTCATCTGGACTGAATGTGACAAAATTGAGAAATAGGCTGTTGTTTTGGCTCAGCAAACCTTTCTTGTCTCTGCAAGTCAAGGCTGGAGTCTGTCCTCCCTTGCATTTGAGAACAGACAAGCCGTTCAGTCCATACTATCCTTGTACATCAAGGGTGTGGAACTTACCACAATTTGGGAACCAAAATCCCTAGGATTTTCTGTACACCTTGAAATCCCCCCTTAGAGCAGGTTCTGGCATCACCTTCTGGCCCTTTATGGCTGAGAGGTCTTCTGCATTGTTTTTGGCACATAAACAACACTCATAATGGGCCCCAGATAAGGAAAATCAGCTAGGAGATTTTTTTGTAAGAGATGCACCAATGGTATGTTGAAGTCTCTGGGAAAGAGATCAGAGTTGCAGAATCACAGAATTAGAAGAGACCACTAGTCCAACCCCCTTCCAGTTTCCTGAAACTGATTCAAAAGCCAGACTTTCTGATGGCTTTAGCAAACCACATTCTTACAGGCTTCTATAAAATATGTAAGAGAGAGAATAGTTTTATAATTGCTAACAACACTGATATAAAACACTGCCTTTTTCTGTAAAAAACAAATTTAATGTCCTTGTCTTTTATAGCTGAAGGAAGAGAAGGGAGAACTGTGTCTTCGCATAGCCAGATGCCAGGAACAGCTGTGCACCCTCCAAACAGAAGTAGATGAAGCAAAGACACAACAGCTTCTGCCTTTGCTTCAGGGCAGTGCACTTCTTTGCTTGCCTATATTAAATGGGGAACTTGACTTGGAAGCCACCAGACTGAGGCATCTTGAGTTGATGCAAGAGGAAACTGCTGACCAAATGTTGGGCCAGCTGAGTCATTTGGAGCTGCTGAGACTCCTGCTAATGCTGGAGAAAAAGAATCTACAACAGATGGGGTCTTTGTTGGAGGAAGTGTCGACTACCCTGAATGAACGACTGTCAAAATTACAGGAATGGCAGTCCTGTTTTGAGGATTCTGGGTTCTCCATTAAGCAATGTCCAAGAACTCTGATAGACCTCAGTGATTTCACCACCTTACGGTAAAGTCTGGCTGAAGTGTTGCAGGTTTTCAAGTCTTTAGAAAACAAAGAATACTTCCTGGGCTTAAGAAAATAATAGTGTTTGAAAAGGGGAAATAAGATGGTAGAGTACTAAAACCTAAATTAAGAATATCCCAGAGAAGGGAGAATCTGTTAGTATCTTCCTTTCTAACATTAGTATGCAGTACAATTGAATCATACAGGGGGAAATACTTGTGCTGAGAATGTAAATATTTGGCATTTGTAATCAGGAATTCCAACTAATCATAACTAATGTCAACATCTAATCTGCAAAAAATTTCTTATAATAAAATCAAGACAGAGTTTAAAATCTCTCACAAGGAGAAGATTGGGGAAAATATTACTATACCTTTAATCATTCCACCCATCACTTATAGAAGTCTGATTTTGCCCAAATCACAAAAAAGGTTAAATATCTTCATCTACATATCTGTCAGAGATGTAAGTTATGACAAAGATATGTCTTTCACTGATTAGTAGAGTCTCATTACAAAACGATAACTTGCTAAACATGTTAAGTAGAATATGAAATTGCATTCTGGGATGGAACAATCCACACAACTGGGTTTATCCCTGTATGCCAACCCAACCAAGCAGGAATTAATGTCCTTTTTCTGTTTTGTCCATTAAAACTCCTATGAATGATTATGCCTAAAAATGTTCATTGTTTAAAGATTGCTCCTCCTGTCATCCCACGAATATTTGTTGTAAGTATACCATCTCATTCTTAAGCTGACAGAGAGAAGCAATCCACCATGATTGGGATTTACTCAAACTCTCAATCCTGGGTGGGAATTTTAACCTATGAAAAAACTGCTTGAAGTATTGTTCTGCCAAATGTAATCCATGCTGATTTATACCCATCCAATGTATAATGATTGATGAAAACAGTTGGTTCCTTCCACTCTGATGAATCACATGTACGCTATAGTGATTTTGACGCAAAATAGGGGTCATCTTTCTATATAAACTGATATATATCTATATAAACTGATTTTATTGAGTGCAGCTAAATATTTCTTAGACTTGGCTTATTTTCATAATGATGACAGTGGAATATACATGCCTTAATCAACCTTGCTATGGCATCCTTGAAGCTCTTTGACCTGATGTCCTTGGATTAAATAAAACAAATAAAGCACCAGTATGTTGAAATTGAAGAGCATTCTTCAAAAACATCTTAATCGCTTAAAAGAATTATCCGGCATTCCATCTCCACTCATTCAGATGGCTTGGTCTAGGACAGATATTTGGCAAATAAATTGCCTCAGTAATTCCTTTTTATATACATTTTGGCAAAAAACTAAGCTTTAATATTAATGTCAATCTGCCTTCCTCAATTTACATGAGTTTGGATTTACTGATAAAGCTGCCAATTCTGAACCTTGCCTCATTGAAGTAATAGGACCAAATCTTTGTTCTAACTTCCTCATGCCATTGTAGTATCACTTACTTTTACAGTGCATCCCTTCAACTCTAATGCTCTTCTTTTAAACTACATGCAGCTGGATTCACCCAGTTCAGATTTGGGTGATACACTGGACATCAGGTCAATAAGTTTGATATTTTGGGTAGCTTTATTGGATGTCTCACCAACATCTGTAGCAATAGTGGAAACTAAGGATACCTGGGCCAAGGAAGTGCAATTAATACTACATATGTTCTCTCCTGCTAAATTTTAAGAATAACTTTTTGTAATATTGAATGAGTGGTAATGCATAATTGCAATCTTTTGGCCAATTCACTGATAAGGCATCATATTCCTCTGCATCTTTGTTTCCATCTATTAAGAAAAAACCTTATTTGCCTGGAGTTCTGGCAGTTAGAAATAAATCTATTTCTATTTCAAATGGTCCTAAACCCAGTAGTTCTCAACCTGTGGGTCCCCAGGTGTTTTGGCCTACAACTTCCAGAAATCCCAGCCAGTTTACCAGCTTTTAGGATTTCTGGGAGTTGAAGGCCAAAACATCTGGGGATCCACAGGTTGAGACCCACTCTCCTAACTGAATGTTCAAATGCTGGTACACTTCTGTATGTGGTGGCCATTCTTCTGGGTGCAATTTGTTGCTGCTTAGTGCACTTAAATGTCCAATTTTCCTTTTTTTAATGCCTGAAATTGACTTGAGATGGTTTTTTGTCTATTGGAATCATTCGTTTGACTCTTATCCATGGGATCAAGTGAAGGTCCCATTAGTTTGACATGTATGCACTGAACAATATGTTGACTGTCTTTACTTCACCATGATTGATGTCTTTGCACCAGTGGAAGAAAACTAAGCTGTGCTAAGCACACTGCCTTCAGTTCCAGAAAATTTACATTCTGGCTTTTGTCTGGTGTATTTCAAAACTCACTAAGTTGTCCTTTGATTGCAGTTGGCACCTCAACTGGTCAAGCTCACATCAGTTGTAATTTGTATTTGATTTCAAATAATTAAAGGAACCTCTTTGCCCAAGTTCTTATTCATTCATTACCATCTCAATTCTTTTCTCAGAGGTGGAGGTATGATCACAGAATAATTGTCCCCGTTTCTCATTGTTGTTTGAATCCAAAAACCAGGAGTCTCTTAAGACCTTTTGAATGATATCTCCCCACAGGGTAGTAATTCTATTGCTGAACTCATTATTTATTTATTTATTTATTTATTTATAATTCAAATTTATATGCCGCCACTCCCCTGGGGCTCGGAGCGGCTTACAAGAACAGGTTAAAATCTAACACAATTTAAAAACAATTTAAAACAATTTAAAAACAGCAATTAGTCTTATTATCCTGGCTAGTATCATATATGTTGAACCTGTGGATATTGCCTGTACTATTTCCTGTTTGAATTTGGCTTTTTTTCAAACAGAGTACTTCAGTATCTATCTCTGGTCCCAGGTGAGTTAGTAAAATAGTTGACTGCATGTGACTTTTTTAAAAAATCCACAATTTTCTAAGATTTTAAATGCCATCTCCAAATCTGTTAGTAGCTACTCTCTGAAATTTGCTTTCATTAAAATGTTGCCTAAGTATGGATAGAGTTGTGCCCGTTTCTACATTAGAAATGCTACCAATAGTTAGCATCTTTATAAATATTTTTGGTGCAGATGCTAAGTGGAATGGCAATGCCTTCAATTGGTAGTATTTTCCTGATAATGGAATCTTACACGCTTCCTGTATGCCAGAACAGTGAGTACATGGAGGCACACATCTTTCAAAGCTATCAAGACTTTCAGGTCAATATGGTCAAATTATTTTTATTGATTGTAATATCCTCACGGTGGATCTCAGGTACTTCAGAAAAACATTAAGATACTTGAGATTCAAAACAGATGGTAAGTCTCATTAGAATGAGCTGTAGTGAGCCACTGTTCTGATGGAGTTTCCTCTGTCACTCCCTACCTCGAACAACTGTGTATTTGTAAGCACCGTTTGTCATCTGAACAAATCCTTTGCCACTGGTGAAGGAAGATACCTAATATTTTATTTCTTGTTGAGCAAAATCTTGTACCGTAATGTTACTACTTCATTCATACACTGATCTTATGTTATTCCTGATCAAAGTCTTGAAAAGCAGAAGTCCTTGTCCAATTAGAACTTTCTGTTTCTTAATACTGTGGTCTTTCCTTCTAGAGACAAATCTTCTACCTATTTCCTAAATCTGCCTTCTAGGGTATGATCCTGACCATCCGAATTGGAATTGTTGTCTTTGAAATCTATATTCAGTTTGCCTACTATTTCCTCTTCCTCCATCAAAGGAAGGAATTCCTTCTCTAAAAGGTCTCCTATCCAATCTTTTCCATTTCAAGGTTGGTATCGCTTGAATATTCTACTTGCTTTCCACTAAGGCCTTCTATGACCTATTCTCCAAATAACAATTCCCCTATAAAGGAACATTTTCGTCCACCTTCCAGTGGCAAAACAGAAAGAACCTTGTACTCATTAAAACTGCATTCCAGCTTTGTAAGAAAGCACTGTGGAGTCATGACCTGCATTTGCTATGAACTCTAATACTTTTCTTACTCCACCAAAAGTTTTATGCAATATTTTTCTTCAGATCTTGACCTTTCCTGAATTCATAAAACTGCAGCTACTGAAAACATTGAGCCCACCACTGATGATCCTATGGCCAATGCTACTGCCTCGAGTCTTTTTAATGTTGTATCAGCTCTCCTTTCATCTAGCTCATTTAATGATGTATCTCCTTCAAGTGAAACAATTACTTTAAAAATAAGAGGTACAATGAGCCCATTCATGAGTGGGCCCTTTAAACATTCACACACACACCCCTCTCTGATGCATACACTCTTTCTCTATATCCTACACACCACCTGTTATTCAAGGGAATTTTCCATTCCATTTCAATTAATCATTTAAACATCTCAAGCACTGGAAATTCCACTCCTTTTTTAAGAACTGATGTTAGTTTTGTCACCCTTTGCAGTTGCACCGGGGGACTGGACTGGGAATTTTCAGAGAAATTATTTAATCCTAATCTTAGCAAGGCTCTTTTGAAATGAATTAATGATTCACTTTAAAATATTCTGTTCATATGTATTTCATTATCATCTTCCACATCTGAGGTCTCACATCCATCTATAGATATCTCATCCTCTATCACTGTTTCCTGGCATCCCTCATTTCCTACAACTAAATCTGCTATCTCTGAATGCTTAATTTTCTTTGCAAATTTCTAAGTCTTCCTTCTTCCAACCTCTAATTTAATTCTGTCTATATGCATATTTTTCTCCTTCTATATCCAGGAATCTACTTGCTCTATTCTCATTTCAACTAAATTAAATCTGTATTTTTCCTACAGAAATGTTCCCTTGCTCCTGGGATTCATTATCTATACATTATATATAAAAGTGAATGTATGCATGTCTGTACCTCAAAGGCTCCTACATGGCTTGGTGGATCTCGACCAAAATTGGCACTCGTACATACCCTTCATTATCTAACTTAAAATGCTCATGGGATTTAAACTAAAAAAAATTAACCCCTTTTATGATGTAACCTTCATTTTAAAAACAAGCTACTTTGGTGGCCCATGAGCCTCATGCTGTAGTGCTCAGATGCAACAAGAGGGTAGTAAATAAATAAAAAGGCTACTTCAGAAGGAGAGATGATAAATGGAAGAGGGCTAGAGTATCAGTAAGGAGACACTCCCAAGTCCCTCTCAGAAAGAGAGCCTACCTACCAATAAGGTGTCTATCAGAGGACTAGAGTGCAGCCATTGCGATGTTTTAGGGGTAGCCTTCTCAAAAGGCCAAGAAAAGATGGAAGCAAGCTGGAGAAGAGAGAAAGAGGTGACCGGCATCCCCAGCTTCAGTGTTTGTTTCTCCATCTCTACATTTCTCTATTTCCCTGACTAAATCAGATAAAGTGAAGGCCATATCACATTGGTAAAGTAAGACACAACAAAACTGAGAATGGGAGGAGTCTAAATAGACCAAATGGGGAAATAATGTTAACTCCTACTTAGTTGAGTTAGCATATGGGGATAAACTCAAATGTGGTGGATTGTTCTTATATGCCATCCTGAAAATGGCCCTAAGTTATTGGCAGTAAGGTATTTGAAATTAAATATGCTATCTTATTCCTGTAGACTTCTGAAATGAAAATTCGCTGCCCAGTGGAAAGCAGCTCCTTATTCTTGCCTTAGTCCCTCACTGTCATCTTTGCAAGTATAAATATTCTCATGGATACATCTTGTGCATAGAATAAACCTTGTGAATAGAATAAACCTCCTTCTTCCAGTGTTCAAAGATATACAGTGTTGCATATCTCATGGACATAGCTAGCAAATCTTATAACGCAAATGTATTTTAATCTCTTCCTTAGGCTATGGAAGATGTTGGACAAGCACAGCCAAAAGTACCAACTCTTTCGTGCGTATGAGACCTTAGCAAGCCGAAGCTCACGGCTGTGGCAGGAACTAAGGATGCTCCAAGTGCAGCTAGTAACTCCACATACATTGCTTCCTAAACTGGAATCTGAAAACAAAATCCTGTACTGCCTAATGTATGATGACTCCAAGCAGCTAATGCTTCGTGCACAGGTATGCAGGGTTCTTTACAATCGTGGGGGTAATTTTCTTACCATATTGCTTCTCTATAGATGCATGCACACTTATTCTGTACAAAAACAAGTGAACACTAACAATCATGCATCATTATTTCATTATATTTTCTACCCTCTGGACTCTTGATCAAGGAAAGTTATTGTACTTCCCTGTGCATTTTCCAAAAGATAAATCTAGAGAAACGTATTTGTTTCTGATCCTTTTTGTAGTACTATTAAGTTTACCTCTTTTTCTTACAGGAACTCTCAGAACCTTTGGAACAGCTCAGCACCACACATGCCAAACTGTACCAAATGCTGCTGGACACCCAGAGTGACTTGAAGAGTAAACGCAAATCCCTGCAAAGCCACTTTCAGAAGACAAAGCACAGCCTCTACATGCACTTCTTCAACAACTCAGACTACCTGAAGGATCTGGTAGAAGATGTTGAGAAGAAGGCAGTAGTATCTTCATACATGTAGGTACCATTTGTACCAGAAAAAGTAATAGTTGGGTAGAAAACAAGTATGATGGTTTGCTCCAAGGACACCCATGCTATCTTAACTTGAATTGTATGGAAAACCTCTTTCACATTGTCTTAGCAGTATAAGCTTTCACCTTCTAGTTTCTGCAGATGATAATTTTTCTTTTACATCATTTGAGCCTATGGAACATCTACTGTTAAAAAGATTAAAGAGGTGGTTTGACAGGTAACACCCATTACCATAAAGCATATGCATAAAAATGTAGTTTCAGAAATATTTAACATGTTGCTCTTTTTCTAAAGATACTAGGGAAAAAAACTTTAAATCAGTGTCTATCCAAGTTTGATTGTAGGGTGGAGGCAATGTTGGATGCATAGCCTGAGAAACAGTGGGAAGAATAAAAACTATAGTTAGCATTTCCAAGAAAAGATATGAAACATTTGTTTAATATCTATCATGTACTTATTTTTTCTGTTTCAACTCTACATACAACTTGAAAAGCTACACAATAAAAGGAAAGCACAGATAGAAAGCATAGTATGTTGTTACTTGTCAAGGCAATCAAATTACATTTTTCATACCAAACAGGTTAAAGGTACACAGGAATTGTAAAAAAAAGATTGGATAAACAGTCAGCTCTATATGCATGCTTTCAGATAAGGGGCAAAGGCACCAGCTAAACTGAACTGATTCATTGCTAATGATGGATTCCCTTCTCACATCCTAGCTGTATATCTACTATGTATATGACAACAGATCAAAAATAGATACATACTTCTGAATGTAGCCATGCGTATTTTAGGGCAGCATGTTGCTGAAACTTGACAAATTACTTCTCAGTGGAATATACATTGATGAACGTGAGGAGAGCCTGGGGCAGCATTGGCAGAAGCAGCCATGGTGCCTGCTCTGCAGAAGGCTTCTCCAGGCTCCCACACTTCCCACTCTTCTGTTTTTTCTTTCCCGGCTTCTGTGAAGGTGAGGGGGCATGGGTAGCACACAGACACTTGCACCGGCGGTCGGGGTTGGTACTGGGTCCTGGCACCAGAGCCACTGGTGGCTCAGAAGTTGCCCGGCGCCCCAGTGGAGCAGGTGGAGCTAAGGGCCTTCTCACAAAGAAGGGACTTTAACTGAACCTCCTGGCTCTTCCATGCCTGTGGCGTGAGTGCCCAATAAACTGGGTAAGAGTGCACAGAGTGTGCCTCAGCCAAACACAGCAAGCACATAGTTTGCATGTAGTGCAGGGAGCTTGTCGCCACAGGATGCAGAAGACTTAGAAGAATGAGTAGTGATTATACAGACCAGGTCAGGATACCAGAGAATGTGAGTAGTCATGGATTCCAAGTCAAGGTCTGGAGAGAGGAAGCCAAAGTAAAACAGTCTGTGTCAAGGTAGGAGAATCAAAAGGATCAATCCAGTAACAAACCAAGTCCAAAGTTTTTTGTAAAGTAAGAGAGGTTCCTGCTATGCTGCTGCAAAGGCGGCAGAAAAAAGGGACTAAGGGCTACTTCCCTTCCCATGGCTTATATTGCCTCCTGGGGAATGTGGGCAGGTCCGTAGCTACAAGCCTGAAAGCTTCCCAGAAGTTCTGTTGATTGCTGCACAGATGCATCAACTATCATATGTGCTCATTTCACCAGAGACCACAAAGTAGAAAATAGAAATACTTTCACTTGCTCATCCTCTACTGTGAAATATATCATCCTCAGAAGGGGTATGATATAGGTGTGTGTGCAGCGGGGGGGGGGGGGGGGGGGGAGGTGTTAGAAATGGAAGAAAAGGAAGAAAACCATGAACTGCAGTCAGGTTGGATGAGGCTGGATAACTCAAACATAGCAGATTCTGAGAATGCTGTTACCTACTAACACTGCTATAAATCCAACAGTAATTTAAGGCAGTAAAAGATGAATATTAATAAAACTTACAGTCTGGTTCCAGTCTGGTTACAACTCATATATGGAATGAGAAGTTGAGAATGTTTGAGTCAACTAGTTGCGTGTTTCCTGTTCACGTTGCATTGAAAAGTGTAGAGTATATAGGTAAAATACTGGTTGTCACCCACTTGAGCCCAGAGCTATTTTCTTTCCATTCTCTCACCTCAGTGACATCATTTTTGTTGAGGTTCCTTAAGCTTGCAAGGGCAGCATCCAGTGCAGGAAGGGCTTCTGCGAGGTCCTTCTGTGCATCATCAGCGATAGCCTGGGCTGTCTGAGCTTTCACCTTAGCTTTCATTTCCTCTGCCTGCACAGCATTTCTTGTTTCTTCTGCTACTGCTGTGTCTACCTACAGCACCACACAGATGTTTAGAATTACAAGAGTGCTTTCAACCACTGCATCAACCATAGTTTCATTTTCCCCTATGCAACTCTCAACCAGAGATATAACGCTTACTGCTGGATACCAAATAAGCTTTTTTTCATTATAAGCTCTTGCCTTTTTACAATTGTATCATAACCAAAATTCATCATGAATAAATAATCACCAAGTAAAACTCTATAATGTTCACTGGTACATTACGTTTGTCCTAATTCATTCACTTTTCTTCTCCTACTCCAAGTCCCCTCTGTGTGTTGGGGAGACCACAACAGCTAAAGTGAATAGAGGTAACATTTAAGGGATCACATGTTGGTTTATGCATAACTAATTGAAGAAAGTATGTATCTCAATCTGTCAGACTCCAAGTCCTATCATCCCCGACCACTGGCCATGTGGGTTGAGGCTAATGGGTTGGAGGACAACAACAGCTAGAAGATTACAGATTCCTCATGCATGCCACAAAACATTACCAACCAAACATCTTATTTTAAATGCCTGACATGGGTAAACAAGTTTATTAGTTTATTTCTGTCTCTGCCTTCAGTGGTTTAAGCAGAGTAACACCAGTTTTGAAGAAGCACGGAAAACACATACTAGAAAAACAGATGGTGTTAACAGCACTATCCTATGACTGCCTATTCAAGTGGGCTTACAACAATCTTAATACATTTGCAATGTTAATTAAGATGGTCTCAACCTGAACAAAAAGCTGCATACCTTGCAATTACTGCTTCCCTAATAACAAATGAGCATGTATACATTGAAATATGTCTATTCCTCCCTATATCATAACATCTCTGGAAAGCTTAAATTAAAATAAGTTTGAACAATTTAAAATATTTAAATATTTAAACAATATTTTAACTATTCTTTAAAAAATAGTTTTAAACATTTTAAAAAATGAATGCATACAACTTGAATGAAATAATTAGACCCTAATTGGCGCTGGGATGAAGTCAATGTTTGAGCTAATTAAGCCTCTAGCGGAAGGGCTTTTCACAAGCAGGGCGCCATGTCAGAGAAGGCCCTCTCTCACATCCTCACACAGTGTATTGCTCCCACTAGTGGAGCATAAAGGAGGGCGGAAGATCATAATCCCTGGAGAGGAGAAGTGCCCTTTCAAATCTAAAAGGTTTCAAATTGTTTAGGGCTTTAATTCAGACTAGAAATGTATTGGCAGCTGGTATAATTGCTTCAGTGCCAGTGTTACAAAGTTTTGTAAGCTTTCTTATCAGCAACTGCTTCCAAGTCCTCCTCAATCTAAATTAGAATCTAAACTGGGTTATTGACAAATTGGCAGGAGGCATCAATATTCTTCATTTTGAGTATCTTTAATGCAGAAATACATTTCAGGGAGAGAAACAAAAGTAAAACACCCAAACCTCTCCAATGCAGCAGAATGGTGGGGAAAGAGCAAGGGTGGTGGTGGTGGAGGAATAAAATGCCTTTCTTAAAACCACTGAATTCTGAACAGGAGAAATCAATAGTTTAAAATACTTTGGAACAGGTTTGAAAAATAGCAAATATAGTTCTCGATTCTTCATGCATATTAAACTAAATTATGAAACTTATGATCATATTGTAAAGAGGAAGCAACGCATGTACTGAAATGTTTGACTGAAGAAGCAAGGGCAGCTTGAGCTATTTTGTCACCAGGGGAACCAAAGGGTATTTCTAGAAGTAATTTTTTTTTTACAAATATCTGTTTTTTACAATGAAAAATGTACTGCTCCACTTCTGCAACATGAATACAGCATTCTTCTGCAAAAGACTAAAAAACAGAAGTAACTGTATACAGAACACTGATCAGGTTCTCTCACTTCATTTCTTATCTTGGCAATATTATCCCTTCTGTGCCGATTTCTGAAGGCATACTGTGTACCTGTATTTGTTCCATGGTCACTAGTGTGTCTTTGGCAGCTTCTGCCAGCAGGGGACGTGCTAATTCTAGCTCTTCCTGCATTTTTGCTACATCTTCTGCTGTTCGCAAAAGCTGTGGAAGCAGATAATATTTGATTGCTGCAAAGTGGAAAAAAATGTTGCTACCACATATAGAACAGTTTGGAGAAAGAATCATAAAGTGGTTCCACATTACTTTGGAACACCTATAGTTTGGCAGAGGTCCAAAATATCAACATGAACAAAATCCCATCAAAGTCAAGCATTCAAAGCGCTCACTAAATGTTCATAACCCTTCCAAAAAAACTATGTGGCTCCTATCCTGTTCTTAAAAATGTTCTACTGTTTATATCTTTCAGATATGTGCATGATAAAAGCACTTCCCTCCCAAATAATAATTCTGTCTTCCATAACAAAGTTTTCCTTCACTCCTCAATTTTCTAGTATTGTGGTAACTTCAGCTGAGCATTTAGAAATGTGGTGTAGACAAAGAAAAAAAGGCATCCAACGAAAACACAGACCTCTTACTTAGGCAGTACAACGCTGAACATTTGGGAACTGAAGCAAAAAAGCATGAGAGAGGAAAGAATTCTTATTTGAGAGAGCATTAATTTAGTCCCTGCCAAACCTCTGGTTTGCCATCAGTGGATTCTATAGTCAAATGTTTGCATATTTTTCCCTTGGTATCATGACACGATGTACAGCATTTCTTTGTGGAGACTGTGCAAGGCACCATTTACATACATAATTTTCCTACACTGTTGTTGTTGTTCATTCGTTCAGTCGTCTCCGACTCTTCGTGACTTCATGGACCAGTCCACGCCAGAGCTCCCTGTTGGCCATCACCACCCCCAGCTCCTTCAAGGTATGTCCAGTCACTTCAAGGATGCCATCCATCCATCTTGCCCTTGGTCGGCCGTCTTCCTTTTTCCTTCCTTTCCCCAGCATATGTCTTCTCTAAGCTTTCCTGTCTTCTCATGATGTGGCCAAAGTACTTCAACTTTGTCTCTAGTATTCTTTCCCTCCAATGAGCAGTCAGGCTTTATTTCCTGAAGTATGGACTAGTTGGATCTTCTCGCAGTCCAAGGCACTCTCAGAACTTTCCTCCAGCACCACAGTTCAAAAGCATCGATCTTCCTTCGCTCAGCCTTCCCTAAGGTCCAGCTCTCACATCCGTAGGTGACTACAGGGAATACCATGGCTTTGACTAGGCGGATCTTTGTTGCCAGTCTGATGTCTCTACTCTTTACTATTTTATCGAGACTGGACCTTGCTCTCCTCCCAAGAAGTAAGCGTCTTCTGATTTCCTGGCCACAGTCTGCATCTGCAGTAATCTTTGCACCTAGAAATACAAAGTCTGTCACGGCCTCCACAATTTCTCCCTCTATTTCCCAGTTGTCAATCATTCTTGTTGCCATAATCTTGGTTTTTTTGATGTTTAGCTGCAACCCGGCTTTTGCGCTTTCTTCTTTCACCTTGATTAGAAGGCTCCTCCGCTCCTCCTCGCTTTCGGCCATCAGAGTGGTGTCATCTGCATATCTGAGGTTGTTAATGTTTCTTCCAGCAATTTTACCCCAGCTTTGCATTCATCAAGCCCCGCACATCGCATGATGTGTTCTGCATACAAGTTAAAAAGGTTGGGTGAGAGTATGCAGCCTTGCCGTACGCCTTTCCCAATCTTGAACCAGTCTGTTGTTCCGTGTTCAGTTCTTACTGTTGCTACTTAGTCCTTGTACAGATTCCTCAGGAGAGAGACAAGGTGGCTTGGTATGCCCATCCCACCAAGAACTTGCCACAATTTATTATGATCCACACAGTCAAAGGCGTTAGAATAGTCAATAAAAAAGAAATAGATGTTTTTCTGAAACTTCCTGCCTTTCTCCATTATTCAGCAGATATTGGCAATTTGGTCTCTTGTTCCTCTACTTTTTCTAAACCTAGCTTGTACATCTGGCAACTCTCTCTCTGTGTGTATTGCTGGAGTTTTCCTTGCAGGATTTTGAGCATTACCTTACTGGCATGTGAAATAAGGGCCACTGTACGGAAGTTTGGAGCAGTCTTTCGCATTTCCCTTTTTTGGTATGGGGATATAAGTTGATTTTTTCCAGTCTGATGGCCATTCTTGTGTTTTCCATATTTGCTGGCATATAGCATGCATCACCTTGACAGCATCATCTTTTAAGATTTTAAACAGTTCAGCTGGGATCTCGTCGTCTCCTGCTGCCTTGTTGTTAGCAATGCTTCTTAAGGCCCATTCAACCTCACTCCTCAGGATGTCTGGTTCTAATTCATTCACCACACCATCAAAGCTATCCTCGATATTATTATCCTTCCTATACAGATCTTCTGTATAGTCTCGCCTACACTATTTAGATACATTTCATTTCCTTGAAAGTAGCCCAGTTTACTTGCAGTACACACACTGATGAAAAAGAATGAAAAGGATAGTCAGAACCCATTCTGATGAAACACTGAGGCAAGGCAATATGAAACCATATAAACTATTAGAAACAATCTAGTTATGTGAACAGTGTGAATTTGTGAAGGTCTTGCCTTCCTTTCCATGAAAATAAAGGAACATTATTTTGATGCATTCATTGAAAATAAACAGCTCTCCTTTGAAAGAGACCCATCAATAGGCGCCCTGTAGAGATCTAAACATGAAGAAAGATGATGTATTCTCCTTCCTTTTCTTTGGTAGCGAGAAAAGAATTGTTAACTAGGCATGGAATTGACATCTCACCTCAAGTGCTACATAGAAATTATGGTGAAAAGACAAAAAAGTGTCTACAGCCTCCTGGACAATTCTAACACTGAATATCTGTTTGCTTGTTTTCTCTTTCCCATCTTTGTACCAGAAGGAGATTTTATAATTATACGCTCACAAACAGGTCTAGTAATCGATACTTAGGATGGGAGCTATTGGTGAAACAATCTGAAGAATTCTAGAAGAAACTTTGGCTAAAATAAATTCACCAAGCCTTTTTAAGAGCAGTAGATTCCAGGCCTCAGCAAAGGCAGGGAAGAACTGGGGGAAAGTATTTTATAGTACGTAGACCTCCCACTAGGTTGTATAATATCTGCCATATTACAGGATGACAAGAGAAGTTGATCCATTACTGATTTCCCCCTTCATATCAAGTGGAAAAAAGTGAAAGTTGAAGGACATGTTTTCATTGGGGTGATCAAGTGGCAACCTCTAAATGCCACTGGACCATAACACTTCTTTTTTGCCATGTTGGCTGGATATAATGGAAACTTTAATCATAGAATCTTGGAATTATAGAGTTGGAAGGGACTCCTTGGGTCAGTGAGTCGAATCCACTGGCCTACAGCAAGATCACCATTTGGGTCCTAAGAAATACATCAGACCCATGGACTACACTTTACCTCTGATATAGAGGGATACAGATCTCTCCTTCCCTGATCTAAACCACTGGGGCTGAACCAGAGTTTGATACTGAGTTGGTTTCAACAATCCCTTTTAAAGGACTTCCTTCAGCTCAGATTCCATGGATAAAGTATGGTTTGTTTGAAATTGGAAGATGATTTTTCATCTCTTAAAGCTATGCAAGGAGAGACAAGGAAGCGCATGAATCAGAGCTCCACACAGCTGGAAGATGTAATTCCATATTATGTCTGAATCAGACTCGCGTTTTTGCATAGGCCACGTATTCAACATCTGTCAATTGAAACAATGGTTTAATTCAGTGTCTCTAAATCCCTATTTTCATAAGGCAACAGTTTAAAGACAAACTTCCACCTTGTACAAGTCTAGGTGGCTGCCATTTCAAACATACTGCGAGTAGGCAGTAAAGAGTAACAGGGGTATTGTGTAGTTTCCTGGCTGTATGGCTGTAATCTAGCTGCATTTTCTCCTGATGTTTCGCCTGCATCTGTGGCTGGCATCTTTAGAAGATCCAACCATGATTTCAACTATGAAAACCAACAATACATTAAAATAGTAATAGCTAACTCCAAGATTACATACTGCCAGGTATCTTTCCTGTGGTGCATTAAGCTTATCTGAAGTGCTTAAAAAGAGGCGGAGGGGGTCACCATGGGTATCTATTAGGCCTGGGCGGTTTCGTTCGTTAATTTTGTAATTCGTTAAATATTCATTATTTTTAGCATTTACGAAACGATAACAAAACACATTTTCAAACCCGGAAGGGTTTAAAAATATCGAACCGGCATCCCCCATAGTTTTAACGAGCTTCCGCCCGTTTCGTAAATGGGATGGAGGCTGCTGGTGCCCTGGGAGCCAATCCGGCGCTCCCAAGCACCCAAGCAGTGCACCGTGGCTGTTTCTGATTGGCCGGCGAGCCCTTTAAAAGCGGCTCCGCGCGGCCGTACAGCTCATTGCTGCAGAGGGCGAGGGAGAAGAGAAGAGGTCCGGGAGGGTTTGCATTGGGTTGGCTTGCAACTGCTTGGATTGGATTCATTCCTTGCTCATTCCTTGCTTGGATTCATTCCTTGCTGCTTAGTGCTTATTATTCCTTGCTTGGATTCATTCCTTCCTTCGGTTTTGTGAATTTGTTTGTTAATTTTCCATTTTTAAATATTTTTTAATATTTTCTAAAAATACCTGTCTTTTATTCTTAAAAAAATACAAAAAATATTCTAAAAAAGAAAAGACTCTTCTGTTGCTGTGTGCTCTCATTTGCCCTGTCTCGTGGCTGTGTTTGGTCCACATCAGGGCCAGTTTTTGGTTAAGTTTCCATTTTTGAATATTTTCTAAAAATACCTGTCTTTTATTCTAAAAAATACAAAAAATATTCTAAAAAAGAAAAGACTCTTCTGTTGCTGTGTGCTCTCATTTGCCCTGTCTCGTGGCTGTGTTTGGTCCACATCAGGGCCATTTTTGGGTTAATTTTCCATTTTTGAATATTTTCTAAAAATACCTGTCTTTTATTCTTAAAAACAAAAAATCTTCTAAAAAAGAAAAGACTCTTCTGTTGGTGTGTGCTCTCATTTGCCCTGTCTCGTGGCTGTGTTTGGTCCACATCAGGGCCAGTTTTTTGTTAATTTTCCATTTCTGAATATTTTCTAAAAATACCTGTCTTTTATTCTTAAAAAAAATACAAAAAATATTCTAAAAAAGAAAAGACTCTTCTGTTGGTGTGTGCTCTCATTTGCCCTGTCTCGTGGCTGTGTTAGCTGTACATCAGGGCCATTTTTGGGTTGATTTTCCATTTTTGAATATTTTTAAAAAATACCTGTCTTTTATTCTTTAAAAAAACTACAAAAAATATTCCAAAGAAAGAAAAGACTCTTCTGTTGTTGTGTGCTCTCATTTGCCCTGTCTCGTGGCTGTGTTAGCTGTACATCAGGGCCAGTTTTTGGTTAATTTTCCATTTTTGAATATTTTCTAAAAATACCTGTCTTTTATTCTTAAAAAAAACCAAAATTTTCTAAAAAAAGAAAAGACTCTTCTGTTGCTGTGTGCTCTCATTTGCCCTGTCTCGTGGCTGTGTTTGGTCCACATCAGGGCCAGTTTTTGGTTAATTTTCCATTTTTGAATATTTTTTCTAAAAATACCTGTCTTTTATTCTTAAAAAAATACAAAAAATATTCTAAAAAAATAAAAGAGTCTTCGGTGGCTGTGTGCGTTTGTCATTTGTGTAGTTCCAACCAGTGCGCTCCTTTTGCCAACACAAAGTGCTACATTCACTGCTCGCTCATCATTTGTGTAGTTCCAACCAGTGCGCTCCTTTTGCCAACAGAAAGTGCTAGAATACAGTGCTCGCTCATTTGTGTAGTTCCAACCAGTGCGCTCCTTTTGCCAACACAAAGTGCTATAATACAGTGCTCGCTCATCATTGTGTAGTTCCAACCAGTGCGCTCCTTTTGCCAACACAAAGTGCTACATACACTGCTCGCTCATCATTTGTGTAGTTCCAACCAGTGCGCTCCTTTTGCCACACAAAGTGCTACATACACTGCTCGCTCATTTGTGTAGTTCCAACCAGTGCGCTCCTTTTGCTCATTATTTGTGTAATTCCAACCAGTGTGATGAAACGCTTCCTTCCCGGCGTTTCTAGTCGCAAGGGCCAAGTGCTATCGCGAATACCGAAGAAAGGCAGGGGACTGAAGATGAACACATTGACAAGAAGGGAACATTCATCCAACGAGATGGTTATTGAAACACCCACAGATGCTTCAACCAGCTGTGAGATGGCAGAACCTTCTTCTTCATCAGTTCGAAAGACTCTACGTTCAGATCCTGATGTCGTTCCAAGTACCTCTGATATTACTTGTTATGAAGAGGAGGGCGAGGAGGCGGACGTGTCAGAGGAATGGGAGGAAGACAAGATGGAATGTGCTTCCACCACAGGAATTAGTGATTAAGAGGACTGCATGCTGATGGAGGGCGAGCTACAGAAACAACCAACGATTATACTCCCTTCCACAAACACCGACAGTCCAAACACGAGCATGAGTACATCTGAAGTGCCTAGTAGGGGTAGGCCGAGATCGCTCCTATGGGATCATTACGACGTCCATAATGAGAGGGCCACTTTGGCAGTTTGCAGGCATTGCGGTGTGAGCGTCAGCAGAGGAAAAGATATGAGGCATCTTGCCACAACAGGGCTAAGGATGCACATTAAGATACACCACCCCCAAATGTGAAGTTGGTCCTTCTTACTTAACTTGCAATACTGCTACAGAAATGCAATGCTATGCAATACTTCCCAGATAATTTTCAGAGTTTTTTCAAAGTGCAATTTCTGTTACTTTTTGTTACTTTTTCTTTATTTATTTCTTATATTTACTTTCTAAGTTTTTATAACATTATTTTTATATATTAATAATTTATAATTTAATTTTATATATTATTTTTATTATTATTTATAATTATATTTTATAAATATTTTATAAATTTAATTATATTTTATTTAAATATTTATATTATTATTTATTTCATTTATATAATATATATAATAATATATTATTATATTATATTATTTTATTTTATATTGTATATATTATATAATTTTATATTATTTATTGTATTTATTATTATTATTATTTATTATTATTTATATTTTATTTATTTAAATTTTATTATTATATTATTGTTTATTTCATTATATTATTAAATTGACTCAGTTTTGGATACTTTATCTTATTACTTTTTTATTTAATATCTTAATATCTTGTTCTATTTGATTATTTTATTTGATTTATTTTATGAAATGATTTTGTTTATAGAGCATTTGCATTGCGCAATCGCGTCCGCCGTTTTAACGAATCGATTCGTTATAACCTTAACGAATCGACCCGCGCCAATAACGAAGCTTCGGAAGCGATTTTGCGCATGCGCGGGGGGTCTGCCATCTTAACGAATCAATTCGTTAATATTTACGAAATTTCGTAAATACCGAACTTTTTTGGGGGGAAAATTTTGTAATTATTTTAAATATCGAACCAAAAAAACACCCCAATTACAAATCGATTTTAGAACCAAATTTTTTCTTGATCAACCAGGCCTAGTATCTATTGATCTGACTTAACAATTTAGCATATTTAGGGGTAGCCTTGCAGCAAAATACAATAACATCCCAAATCCACAAAACAATGATACTTTTATTGGCCAACCAACATACATAAAATATAGAAGTCATGATTTCAAAGCTTCGCTGGCTTCTTTATCAGTCAAAGATGTTAAAATTATACAGGAAAATCTTCAATTTTTTGCTGTGTGTTTTTTAACATCTTTGACCGTTGGAACTTTGGCATGTTGTATTTTGCGGATTTTGAATGACCAGTAACGATATCACTGTTTGTGTATTTTGGATTTTGTTGGATTTTGCAGTTTATATGTATTTTATTTATTTACTTTGTTTTTATCCCGCTTTTCTCCTGATATAGGGACTCAAGACTCCTACCAACAATCATAACACAATAAAATTAAAATAAAGCGAAAGCATTAAAATAGAAATATAAAAACAATTAGATTCTTTGTCTCATGAAACATAGAAATATCAAAGTACCATTTAAAATTTCACCTAAAACTGCACCCCCCCCCCCCCGCCGGCAAATCCAATTCACATTATCCCTAGCAGCCCGTCTCTCATAATATTCGATGGCGGAGGTACATTTTCAGAGGTACATACTCACCTGCCTGTGAAAGGCAAGCAAAGACAGGGGCATTCCAGTTTATCATAATGATGGAAGCTTAGAAACTGGAAGGAACTTACCTTGTCCAATCCACTTTTCATCCTATTTTTGGCAACTTTGAGTTCTTGTTTCTTTGTTCCTATCAAGGTGATGAAGATACCAAGCAGTTCAAGGTAGCTTTTGGGAGTGACATAATTATGCCTTGCAAGTTCTGCCAAATATGCTTTGCACTTAAGTGCCACACTCTGATGAATTTCTACACACATCTCAATCTGTAAAGGGTAAGAAACAGATGCTGTTAGAAGTTTCATAATGCTAAGAAGAAGGTAGAGCATGACTAAGGAATGAGATGCGTGGAAGTTAAAATATATAATTCAGATACTTGTGAAGTCAGCATTTCCCTGAAGGATAGGGATCAAATGCATAATAAATAGAAAAGTGACAACTGTTCCAAACACTGGCAGAATGAATCAAACACTCTGCATTCTAATAATGAACCATATTCAATTATTAGGCAGCTGCTAGCTCTCTTTCATGTATCTCAAAGCATATAAGTACCATCTGAGGTCATTGGCATGTCTGTTCTGAGAAGAACACTTACCATTCCCTTTATGATTTCAGGGGTGGCTTCAGCATCTGGGAGATCCTGGAAGTAGGAAGTTGCAACAGACTCCAGGGCTTCAGCAGGCCACTCATTAAACCAGTCAATGGTACAGCAGTTCACTAGTGATGGGAACTGTCTGAGTCGTGCTCGGAATACTTCTCCTATAGGACTAGAGTGCAAAGAGACAATAAAGAATGGGAAATAGTTTACAAAGAAAATATTTAAGCTATATTACTTCAATTTGAATCTAGGCATTTTTAAAGGTAGACATATATATATAAAAGAATTTAGTAAACTATTTGGGATGGACAGTTTTCACCTCATTTGATGAAACTTCGAACACATTAAGCCTACCACATACTTTGTGCATTTTGAATACAGATATTCCACTGGTATGTTGGTACTCAAGGATGTATCTAAGGCGGCTGCACCCTCTGCAATGTGCCATTACTACTAAAGAGGTTACAGAAATGTAGGGACTTATTTTGAGAAATAATCCCACCCGCTGAACACCACTTACAAAGGATAGAGACTTATTGGGCAATATAAATCCCAGCAGCTGTTCCACCTCTTGTAAATGAATGTGGCTTCTGTGATTAAAAACCAAAATCTGTATAAATTGGAGCTTTCTTCTTCTGGCCAGAAAACCTTTTGAAAGGACTCTGGCCACCACCACACCTAAAAGGACAGTTAAGCCCTTGGCTTACTTGAAGTATCTTAAGCAAGAATGTGCTGGATTTGCACTCAGGCTTGTGTTCTGAGATAACACTGAAAATATAACTTTGGACTACTTCTTTAAAATATATGCTGCCACCATTAGACTTTTGAATTCTTCAGTAAAACTGGTTTAAATCTTTTTACACAGAGGTACACGTGAGGCAGATGTTGTGAACAATAAAACAATGATGTTTATTTAAGAGAACTTGAACAAAACAGGCATTAAGCTTAGCTGTTCTGAAGTATTGACTTAAAAGCGTGTGGTTTCTTTAAGCAATTCAAACTTAGTTGCGCATAAACATTCCTCTCTCCTTCCAGAAATTACTGACAGGATTTCTTCTCTGCCAAGCAATTCTAAAACTCCACTACAGATAGTCCCTCCCTGGATCTATCTCTTCACTTTCTCCACCAGCTATCTTCCCTAATAGCTGTAAAATCTTCTCATTAGCTATCTCTGCTAGCTAACCGACCACTTTAGGCTTCCTCAGCTCTCTCTTCTCCACTCCAAACTCCTCACTCTTATTTCTCTGACACCCAATCTGAGCTGACAGGGTTTCAGAACACACCCTTAAAGCCATTTTTTCCTTTTCTAAGTTAAGCTCCACCCACTCTCTCCTATCCAATCACTAACTCCCCTCATTTCCCTCCAAGTCGTTCCTAAGCATGCCCCCTTCAGGAAATGAGATTTAAAATTGATGCCCCCGGCACCCTTTCCAAAATGGCTGACGAACTTCCTGGGCCTACTTTTCTAGGCTTTTCCTAGCCTAACAGGTAGGGAATTCATCACAGAGGTCATAAGATCATGGACCTGAACTTCACAGTGTAGCACACTGAATAAATGTGAATTAGTAATGAGGGGACCCAATACTCTACACCAGAACCTCTAATTCCCATTTAACATTATTGAAAAGGTGAGAGCTCCTACCTCATGCAGAGAACTGTATGGATATTACTGCGTACTCTTCCTGTGTATGCAGCCATCAGGTTGGCCTTGGTAGGCTGAAGCCCCTGGTCCTGAACAATAGGTTTCATGGTCGTCATAATCTGATCCTGTTCATCTAGTGCATACAGGTTAGGGATGTCTCCAGAATTTAGCAAGTTGTTGATATCCTCAAGGAAAGATTCATTTTTAATCTAAAAAGGAAAAAAATGTGTTTCTTTGTCAGTTATAATGATGTGCCTCACTGCTCTTACCAAAATTTACACCCAAAAGATTCAATCCTCCTAACTCAATTCAGTGATTGGCTAGAGAAAAACACGTCTCATTTATTTTTTTCCCCAGTGATCATATCTGGGATCAAATATTGGGGCTTAAATACAATTACTTCTCTAATTACAGTAAACTTGCTGAATCAGTGGGAGCTTGGTAAATTAACATTTAAACTACAGATTTAGTTTCCTTTGTCTGGATATTTTGGAGATGGGTCCCAAGTACTTGTGCTTTGTATGTGATAGGCTTGGGAGAGACCAAAGATCTTTGAAATGGTGGAAAACCAAGTGCAGTGCTTAGTATGAACCCACACTCCTGCCATTTTACAGACTCTCACTTCTGTCTCCATCCTCCCATCTCTCATTCTTTCACTACTTGTATTATGTATGAGATGTTAGACTGGGGATCCAAGAGACTGTTGTACTCAGAAAATCTTCAGGGAGCCCATCAACCTCCTGCTTCCTCCTTGTGAACTAAAGAGTAGGAGTGCCTTAGCTACCACCTTGAAAGTGACAGCTGGACAAAGCATTTAAGGTTTCCAGATTTCTCCTGTTTATTTGAGAGCCAGCAGAATACAACTGATGTGTGATGGATATGGTGACAGGAACCAAAACTTCACATCTTTGTGAAACTCACTTAGTAACTATTGGCACATCGGTCTGGCTCAGTCTAGATCACTTATTCCACAAATTGTGCCCTCCAGATGTTTTAGACTTCAACTTCCAGAAGTCTCAGCTGTCCTAGCTAATGATCTGAGATTGTGGAAGACCAGAGTTTTGGGTTATGGGTATGCTGGGGACCTAAACTATCACCCAAAATCATTGAAGGAATGACCAGATACAAATCTAGTATAAATAAATAATAGTGAATGTAATGTCTTGAATTTGAACAGGCAACTACTGAGCAGCCTTAGGTAAGCAAAGTTATCTTGGAATCTATGAATCAAGAGAAACTTAAGAAAGCCTGTATCTCCCCTGATCCATGAACAACATTTTTTTTTATGAAATTAAGAATTTTGGCTTTAGAGAGTTATGTTATTTGACATATTGGCTAAATTTTGCTCATCTGGGTGTTTGAAGTTAAGATTATTTTATGAAAACAATAAATAAAAGATAAGTGTCAGAATAACTTTAGCATTCATCCAAATGAACCATGGATGGATCTGTTATGACACAATCATGTATATGCCTATAAGATGTAAGCCCCAAGAGATCCAGTGGGACTTAATTCTGTATGAGTATGTATGGGATTGCAATACCAAATTTCATGTTAGTATCTGTGTGATAGTTCTGCTCACATAACCCCATCTATAGCATTATATTTTCCAAAAGGGATTAATCCTTCATTACCTGAGTATCTGTAAACAGAAATGTAATGGGTAGGCTTTGCAGACCAGCCTTCAACATGATCTTTTTTATGTCTTCTCTCCAGTCAGATATCCCATAGTTCTTAGAAAGTTCTATTTGAAAACATTCATAATCAGCTCTGAAAAATGAAACCAGGAGAATCTGGCATGGGCTACAGTCAAAGATGTTAATGCACACACAAAGGAGAACTGCATTTTCGTTAATCCTTTCCCTAACTACCAATGACAAAACATTTTTTTAAAATGAAATAATAGCTAGCCTCTTCATCAGGAAAATATATTTGTTGTAGGATCTGGTTGCATGTGGTTATCTTATTATGTACACACAGCACTGTTTCAGGCCTTTGGGGAAAATCTTTAAAACATAACTTCTGGAACTTCAATGAAACTTCACAGTAAAAGTCTTGTACCAGTTACAGTGACTATGAAGTTGTTTCTCAGAAAAATCATTTTTTTTCTATACAAACCTAAATGTTTTGGGAAAAAGATCTCTGAAAGACTGTCTCCTTCCTATATTAAATTGTCAACAGTTTATGATCTGTTTTGGAGGCCTTTCTGTGTATCCCATTGCAAAATGTGGCTATGATGTTGTGAACATGAAACATGGTCCCCTCTTTGATGGCATCCTAACAGCAGCGCTCTTTCCTTAGGAGGTTTGATTGGTTTCTTCTTCGTTTGCTTTTAAAGGAGGGGGCTGTTAAAACTTTATTGTTTCACATGACTCTCAAATGATTTTAGGTGTATTAACTCTACTTTCTATTGTTAAAAGAATTTTTTCTCCTGTTTTTAATCTACTGTTTTTTTAATGATGTTTAATGATTTGCAACTTTTTTCATATTCTAAATTGTAATTTACTCAAAAGGCACTTTTTGGGGCTGCAAGGCTACTCAGAGAAAACGATATAAATGAAATGAAGCTATTGGCAATATTATAGATTATACTGCCCACATTCTTCTACCATAGATAAACACACTACAGAGATACCTTTTCTTACGAACAAAGAAATATTGCAAGAAAGAAACATTACAGAGAAAGAAAAATGGATGAAATAAAAGTGATAACTGTCTGCAGAAGAAAGCAATGAAATACTTTACAACTGCTTTGCAAAATCTATCCACAGTGGAGGAATAATATTATGCCTACCTGGCCAGCAAATGTACCTGTCTCACATATAAGTGGAACACTGAAAAAGGGCTTTTGTACAGATAGTCTAATATATACTGACCTGACTAGAGAAATTATATCATTTTGAGGGGCATTAAACAGTTCATGTATGCAGACTAGAGTCCATGTGCATAGGACTGTGAACACTAATCCAATGTTATGCCCAATATATATGTGTTAAATAATCCTAGGGGCATGACAGGTACATTAGCAGCATGGCAGACACAATCCTACTCTACCATTGTACTCAGTTTATATGCAGACACATTGTGAGAACATGCTCAATATCTCTTGTTACTACAAATAAATAAAAAGTCCAAATTATTTAATTAAAATTAATTAAAATTAATAAAATCTATTTGATTGAATTTAAATAGAAACTAAGGTAGCTGAATTAAAAGATAACAGTAAGCAATGTGTATTAAAGAAAATCACATTTCAAATGCCTTCCTTTCCAGGTAATCCTATTACAATGTGTTGTCGAAAACTTTCATGGCCGGAATCACTGGGTTGCTGTGAGTTTTCCAGGCTGTATGGCCTAGTTCTAGAAGCATTCTCTCCTGAGCTTTCGCTCAGATCTGTGGCAGGCAGGTTGTGAGGTCACAACCTCTGAGGATGCCTGCCAGGTGCCACCTCACAACCTCTGAAGATGCCTGCTGTAGATGTGGGTGAAATGTCAGGAGAGAATGCTTCTGGAACATAGCCATACAGCTCGGAAAACTCACAGCAACCTAATCCTGTTACAGCTCGAAGGTTCAGATTTTTGTAGAATACATTTATATCTTACATGTGAGATGCTAGTTTGGTGAGAGATTGCCTTCCACTGCCACCAACACCTAAGAGAAGAGCATTGCCCAGTGCCTGGCGCAGAATACGGGTAATACGGCAAATGTGTTGCATTGCATCCATGAAGAGCACTAGCTTCATCTTGGTGGTATTGATCTGATTATATTCTTCCATGTATTCCTCAATAACAGACATAAGCTACAGTCAAAGAAGAATAAGTCGTTACTAAGAATGTCAATTTTCAGAATATCATTCATGGAGAAGACCACCTACTCTACACTTGTTTTAGTAAGGTGTATCGAAGGAAGAAAAACAATGATCTAAGATGGAAACTCTTCAAGAAAGGGATACAAACAGTCTGTCTTTAATTCCTCAAATAAGATGTTACACAAGTAATATCAAGATTTAAATGGTGTCTACTGTAAATTATAGATGGACTATCACTGGATTAGATCAAAAGACTGCTCAGGGTTTAAAGAGTATCAGTCCCAGATTAACCACCACTATGTCACGATATTAATTTTCATAAGTCATTGGATCCCTAACCCACAATATGTGTATCTGAGCAATGGGCATGAGAAACATCTGCCTACTTAAAAAGGAGGAATAATTATTGCTCTAATTCACTTAGCAATCATGAAAGAAGGCGTGTTGTTATCATTATTATCCCACACAACATGGCAAATTAATGCAAAGCAGACTGCTCCTTATTAAAATCTTTATATTTTTACCCTTTGCTTAATTAACATTGTCTCAGTATGCACAATATCCTTCCACTTGGGAGTTCTGTGGGAAGGGTAATCACTTGCAAAGGTCAGCTGTAAAGATTTTAATGGCATTCACTGCAGTACTATGAACATAAAACATGTTCCCTTTCCTAGCTTATTGCATTTTCCAAGCCTAAGTACTGTGCTCAAGTCATCTGCATAACAGATTCCCAACTGTTCTTTATTACTTGCCTGAACACCAACAAAGCAGGGGGCATTAGACAAAAACATCACCATCTATGTCTGTTCTATCTTCTCACATCCAGATTCATCTATCATTCTCAGCATGCTTCTAAAATTCAGGCTATCCTCACACAACCTTAGGGGTTTTTAAAAAGCTGGACGTCATAAGAGCTCCTAATAGAATGTTTCTAAGTCAACCTTGTATATCAGAGCTATTCTAGCAATTTAATTCAAGGAATACCCTATACATTTATTCTCTGCAATCACATTATATGTTATGCAGACTAAATTAAAGAGAAAGGGATACACAAGAAGGGAATTGTGACAAACATCATACCTTTTCCTTATCATCAATCATTTCATAAAGTTTCACATCAGAAGCAGGAACCATGAAATCCCCATAGAGAAGGGGCTGAAAAGGCACAACTTCATCAAAAGTAGTTTCCCATTCCAACATCATGTTCTTCATGAGGTCATCAAACCAAGTGCGATCCTCTTCATTCACCAGGCGGTCACGAAACACACGGCAGCTCTCATGATACCACAGCCTCAGGAGGGGCAGTTTGTCCTGGCAAGGAATTCCAGGAACAGCTCAAACAAAGTATCTCAGGGTATTTCTCATAGTAACACCCCCCTCCCCCAGCTGCCTCCCCCACAGCCATCACAAAACAGAAGCACAATGAGATTAACAATAGAGTAGAATAGAACTTGTTAGTCATCACTATCAATTGATGCCAATTATTCTATTCTATTCCAATCTATTCTATTCTATTCTATTCTATTCTATTCTATTCTATTCTATTCTATTCTATTCTATTCTATTCATCTCATTATGCTTCTATTCTATTCTATTCAAGACGGGAGTTGGATGAGATGGCCCATGTAGTCTCTTCCAACTCTATGATTCTGTAAAATGTGGATTTTATCCCAATATTTATAAACTCACATTTTTTAAAATGGAGAAATGAAAATGAATAGTTCTATGATTAAATCTTTTGGCTTCACATATTTGGTGCAAGATAGTGACATTTTCCAGAATACACAGATGTTATTAAAGTACTCAAGAGATACATACATTGCGATTATTTTGGTGCTCTCACTAAACGAAGGACCAGCCTACATTTTTGCTTCAGATCTACTATAGTTACAATTCCCAAATGAAAACATAACTCTCTTCTCTTTCAAGTGCATGCTTAGCCTGCTGGGTTTGGCACAGCCTGCTGCCTCATGAGCAAAGGCTCGCCCTGTCCCTGGCCACTTTGCCAGCTTGTCCCTTCCAGTGACCTCGGTGAAGAGGCGAGCTGACAAAGTGGCCAATGAAGCAGCTGGTGAAGGGGTGAGCTGGCAAAGCAACTGGCTAAGTGTCAAACCGGTGAAGAGCCAAGGAGTCCAGGCAAATGACTAGTGAAGGCACCATGGCCGCCTTCACATTTTCCTCCTTGGCATGCCAGTGCTGCTGCCTCAACAACCACTAGAGGAGGAGGAGGAGGCGGAGGAGGCAGCGGCAAAGGTGGCCTCCTTCACCCAGACTCCCCAGGGCCTACACTTTAGTGAAGCCAGCCTTGTATCTACCCTTTCCTTCTTTCTCTCTCCCTTCCACCCTTTCTTCTTTCCTTTCTTTCCTGTACCTTCATTCTATTCTCTTTACTTCTCTCTGCCTTTTTTTCAAGGCTTCTTTCTTCCCTTTTTTCTTGCACCTTTTTTCTGTTCTCTTTTCCTTCCCTCTCTCTGCCTTTTTTTCCTCAAGGCTTATTTCTCCCCTTCTTTCTTGTACCTTCTTTATATTCTCTTTCCCTTTCTCTGTTTAGTCCTCGTGTTTTTTTGTTTTTGTTTTTTGTTGTGTCAAGAGCGACCCAAGAAACTGCAAGTTGCTTCTGGTGTGAGAGAATTGGCGGTCTGCAAGCACGTTGCCCAGGGGATGCCTGGATGATTTTTTGATGTTTTATCATCATTGTGGGAGGCTTCTCTCATGTCCCCGCATGAGGAGCTGGAGCTGATAGAGGGAGCTCATCCGCCTCTCCTCAGATTCGAACCTGTGACCTGTTGGTCTTCAGTCCTGCCGGCACAGGAGTTTAATCCACTGCGCCACTGGGGGCTCTATAGTCCTCATGTTAAAAGTTTATTTGAGGATTAACTGGACAGACTCCACTAATGGTTCTTAAGCTACCACATAGGATCTCAACCTGGCATTGAAAACCTGAACCAGTGTAAAGGGCTTCATTGTGATTTCTGTCTTTCATAGTGGTATTTTTAGTAGCAATAACATTGGCTAAAGGAGTTCTTTCTGCTGCACATTACATTTGGCAGCAAATCTTTTTTGCCTGTCTGTTTCAGAGTCTTGAAAATTGAGGTGCACACTAAATTCGAGTAAATACTCACCTCAATCTTGGCAGGTTCAGCCATGAGGATCCCCTGGAAAACCTTGGAGAGGTCCCTCAAATTAAATGTATAATGTGATTTTGCTGGAGTTGGCAATAATTGGGATGTGATGGTTGAGTACACGCGTATGGTAGCATCTACAAGAGGTTCATTTAAATCCTCCACATCAGGGCAGCCAGCTGAAAAACCAGAATATGCTGATTAGCAAAGTAATGGAGATTTTTCATGACACAAAAATTAGCAAAAACATGATAATCATACAGGGCTTCCTTAAAAACAATAAAATTTTTTTTGAAAAACTAGATATATCAATACAAAATATTATATATACCCATAGTCTATGTTGTTGCTAAATATAGATGGCAATTCTGTTTCCCATGGTAGTCCTTTTATGGAAAAATATAAAAACTAAAACTTTTAGAAATTAACTTTTTTTAAGCAAAGTAGCAGAGGATGGTTGCCTCAATTTCTCCATGTTGCTTTCCTCAGTTCCTTTGTTGACTCCAAAAACAAGCAAGACAGGCAGTTTTAGGTTATATACTGAAAAGATTGCTAATGGCTTTGTATTTACATAGGCATGAAGAAGCTTCATCATAATGAACTAATGAAAAGATTAGGTCTTCATTCTTAATTCACCACCTTTTGATGGAGGAGCAAATTATGGCTGGAGATTGGAGGAGGAGTAGAGAGGCGGTTCAGAAGAGAGGTAAGGTATTTAGGACCACGAATGTCGAAGGATAGATAGAAATGGCAAATGTGAGAGTTTAGATGACTGAAATAAAGAGAAGGATCTAAATCCCTTGTTGCTTCAATAGCAAGGATAGGGGAAAGAGAATGCTAGAATTTTCCATCAAATATGCAGTTTTTTTCTAGTCATCCTAGATTTATCCAGAATGTATTTCACCACCTCCACTGATTAACACGTTTGTTCCCAGAACAAATCCAAGCTACCGGCTTTGATGGCATAAAAATAGGCTCTCTGGGAAACCATTTGAACTCCTACTTTGTGTCTCCTTGCTTTCAGAGGTGTTGTGGAGAGGCAAGAGAAATCTGGCATTTTGGTTATGGCACATATAACATGCAGTAGACCCCCGGAGAGATCTGTCTAGTTTCTTTGCTAACCATTCCAGATGAGCAATGGAGAATGTTCTGTTTTGTTAAGTATTTTTCAGAAAAAGTTGACTTTTAAATTGGTTTTGAACTACTGCTGGCTTTTTTGCCCCAGGGTTTATGTTATTTTAGATTGCTTTATTTGCTTGTTAATTCTTTTGTCATTGGAGTGCTGCCTGCTGCCTTGATTAGAGAAAAATAGTAAAATGGGATTTTTAAAGTATCTACCTACAAAAATCACATACTTTATTCATGTTTCTGCCCATGCAATTATGATAGTTAGGAAATAATAGAAGGTAATTTCTTCATAGATTTTAAATGTGTTAGCGAAGGACTCTATTTATAACCTGTTTCAGTTATTTTGGGAAAAATATACAAAGTGTGTAAACTTATATCATTAGATGAGATACATCTGAGGAAGCAAACTGAATCTACAAGACATATATTTCGTTATTTCAGTCTCTAAGGTGCTATAAGATCTCTTTGCTTACTGATATTAGAGACTATTAGAATTATTAGATGAGGTTGCTCATTAACATAGGAAGGAGCAAACTTGTTTTCTGCTGCTCCAGAGACTAGGACATGAAGCAATGAATTCAATTATAGAGAAAGAGATGCTACCTAAATGTTAAGAACTTCCTGACAGTAAATGTTGTTTAACTGTGGAATAAGCTGCCTCAAAGTCTCCTTTTCTGAAGATTTTTTTTTCAAATATTTTTATTGATAGTGATTATGCAGTTAAGAAAAAGGAAGGGAAAAAGAGTTATACATTTTTGTACATCAAAAGTGGGAGAACATTAATGGTTTTGGTAGAAAAGTAGGAAAGGAAAAGAGAAGGGAGAGAGAAAAAAAAGAGAGAGGTGGGTGGGCAGGAGCCCCTCCAGAAAAATAAGAAAAAGTATTCAAAAGTAATAGTAATATTTTTAAAAAAATTGTAAAAAAGACAATAATAATAATAATAATAATAATAATAATAATAGTATTATTAGAGGTTTAGACTGGGGTTTAGACTGGATGGCGCTTGTGGTCTCTTCCAACTCTATCATTCCAAGTTATTCATTGTCATAGATTCCATATGATTCCTGTATGTCATTGGTAATCTGGGCACTTGTATTGCATTAGTTTTTTTTTCAGTGAACACCTTTACCAGGCATAACATACAAAAAAATTAGAATAATAGAGTTGGAAGAAATCACATGGGCCATCTACAACCCACTGTGATACAGGAAAAGCACAATCAAAGCATGGAGATGCATTTGGAGGTGCTAAAATAAGCAGGCCCCTTAGATGAAACTACATGTGAGTTCAAATATATGTTCTTATGAGACACTGATGCAGCATACAGAGCAAACATGTAGATGTAAAACTTGGCATACTTAGCTTTATCTTTTTTTGTGACTGGGAAATAACATGTTCCTAAAAGTGGCAGAGGCATTTGGTCAAAATCCAACTTGCTTAAGCAAACGACATTCCCTACCCATCAAAGCAAAATCTTTACACAGAAGATAGACTATGTAATGTGTTGAAATCACTTACGGACTGGATCCCTGTAACATATTTCTCCTAGTTGTCCAGCTAAAATATAAAGAAGGAAATATTTATCACTCCATTTCACACACACACATACATATTAGACACACAAACACAAAAGGTTTTTTTTTACATTATAGTAGAAAAACACGGGATCTACAACAATACTGCAACATATTTTCTCTACCAGAAATGGGGTGGACAACTTTCTCAACACAAGGACAGGATTATTTCCATGGGAACCTTGCTGTATGCCAGCAATGGACAGGGAAACTAAGGACAGTATTTCCATGCATGAAAAGCACATGAATTTAAAAATGAAAAATGTTTTTAAGGCATGGAGAAAGAACTAAGCCAGATACTAAGCCAGGGAGACCTATTATAACCCTGTTATATTTCCTCTTCAGTGAAGAGGAAGCGACAGGAGAGCACTCCTAATGGAATAGGCTTATGTCCATCACTACTTCCTTTTCTCAGTGGGTTCTGTAGCTTTAAGGCTCACAGAAGAGTTTGAAAGAGTGATGAAAAGGAGCTAAAGCTTTCACTGGGGGGTATCTGCATTGGGGGAGCACAGCTCTCTAGTGTCCCACAGGAGCCAGTTCATGCAATTACACTGATTTTTCTGTTACACCAAAAGGAAGATTAATATAAACTATTTAGGGAGATGTAGTGAGGGGAGGACTAGTTAGCAGAGTATATAGGGTACACTGTTTGGGGGAATCCAACTCATCATATACTGTGGAAAGGTTAGTGTGGATTTGCTATACTATGAGTGGGAAGGTTAGTGTGAATTTGCTATACTATAAAACCTTTGCTATACTCATTACCCATCATAAAATATATTTTACAACATTAGTTTGTATCGGTCTTAAGAGTCATACAAATGGCTTGAGGTTGCCCCTGTCCAGACTAAGAGCAGGAAATATTTGAAGCCACAGTGCCTTTTAAATGAAAAAAAAGAATGAAATAAAAGAAAAACATAAATAGCCCTGTTGTCTTTTCAAAAGCCAGAGCCTCTGGGGAAAATGTTGCAAGAACAAAATCTGCTTTCAAGCCTGGGGATACGGATTCTCTCAAAATTAAGGATTTAAGGTAATAAAGATAACGGTACAAATCATATACGTAGACCCTAGGCAAATCAACCAATTCAACTATTTATGCTTAGTAAAGAAAGATATATTACAATGAACCATTGGAACAGCATCGGCAATTACAAACAGTTTTCATCCAACTTTATCATTTGATATCTGTGAATCCTAAAAAAAAATAGGGACATCAGTTGGAATAATACATAGGGGAGTAAAAAAATAGGGAAATCGGTTGGAATAATACATAGGGGAGTGAACATTATTCTCAAAAAATTGTAATATTCCTCTCCTTCAAATGTCTCTCACATTATATTATCAAACTGGAGTTTATTGCTTCTATAGCTTATGAAATACAAAGAAGGAAGGAAGGAAGGAAGGAAAAGAAGGAAAAGAAGAATCTGCACTCATATAACCCACCCATCCAACTGCCAAGAATAGTGGAGAATATTTTCTTCTTGCTGCTATCCTCCATCTCAGTGAATGAGAGGTAGTTGAAATGGCGAGTGAGGCGTGGAGTGATGGCATTTCTTCCTCCACCAGGTGGTCCCATGGCACCAACAAAATTAATATCTACCAATTTCTTGAAGGTACCTGAAAAAATTGAGATAATAAAAGACTTCCGAAGATATCAAGGGCAGGGTATATATCTGCACCATAGGTAATGTTTTTCAGAACCATTTATGCCTCAGAAAGAAACTGTTTAATGTACAGAATCAAAGATCATATGACATACCAATTTGTTTCCTGTCATACCAGCCATCGTGATCCATCCATTGACGAAGAAGCTCAATGGGTGGCTGGGCACCATAGGTCTCTAGGGCTGGCATGTTGAGGTCATCAATGAAAAATATAAAGTATCTTCCAAGTGGAGGACCAAAGACTCCCTTGCGTCTGTATGTATCCAGAGAAAGGTAACAATTATAGATTGAAAAAGTTGTGCTTTAGTCAAGATCTTTAAAATATCCCAAATGTTGTCTACTCCATAGGCTACTTGTTGCTTCCCACATTTTAGTCAAGTGTTCTATAGCTTATGAAAAGGAAAGAAGGAAGGCCCACCCATTTCATGGTTAAACACAGAGTTAATTTAGTGGACTATAGTTTGCAGAATCCCTAGCCAGAATTGCCAGGCTCCCTTGTTAACTATTCTGACCAGTCAAATAGCCACTTCAACTTGTTACCAAGTTATCGTACAGTAAAGAAACATTTATTTATTTAAAATATTTATACCTCTCAATTTATGGGAACTTCTAGCTCAGTGTACAATAAATAATCTGAAACAAGTTAAAGTAGAAAGTCGAAACATATATTAAATAATATAGCAAGTCAAAACAGTTAAATTTTTCCACATGAATATGCTGAATAAAAATGTTTAGACCCTCAACATTTTAATAAAAAAGCCATGTCTTAATTTGGTGACAAAATGAAGGTGAAATGTTTGAAGAGACCTTGGATAAATTCAGAATGTTACAGAGCAACTTCTGTCTTCAGAAATGCAGGTATCTAATGGATTCAGTAATTATAATTATGAACAAAAATGAATGCAGTGACTGTGTTGCTTGCTAAGTAAACTGTGCATAACCCATTAACAATTATGGAAAACTCTTTAATATCTCACATGGAGAAAGTGCTATTCAGTGAAAGCTGAGAGAAGCTAGAGAGTGCAATAGCTGTCTGAATGACATGGTCAAATGTATTTCATATAAGCTTTTTACAATAGTTCAGTAGATAAATAATGTTGAAGGCTAAGATGGTAAACAGCAGTTTTGTCAAAAAGCTCAGTCAGTATAAACAGAACTGCCAGACTCAAGGTATGGCTCTATGAATGATATAGTAACTACACAAATGTTTCGCCTCTGGATTTGTGACTTTTTATGGGAAGAGAACAAGTGTGGTGTACTGGCTTGAGCATTTGACTATAACTCTAGAGTTCAAGGTTCAATTGCCTGCTCAGTCATGGAAACCCATTGGGTGATCCTGGGCATATTCTCAGCCTTGAGGGATGGCAAAGGCAAACCCCTCTGAGCAAATCTTGCCAAGAAAACACCATGATAGGTTTGTCGTAACTCAGAAAGAACTTGAAAGCAAACAACAACAAATGTCAAAATATCCAATGCATTCAGGAACAACTGGGAAACCCTATGGCTGAATCATTCATTGAACAATTATCTAGTATCCCCTGTATTCATTCATTTCATAAAGGGACCAATCAGCCAGGTGTCCCTGTTATTATTTTCAGGAGGGGTAAACAATTATAATTGCCTCTTAATATTTTAGTTTGTTCCTTGGATTTTATTCTTAATATCTTCAGAGATCTTTAAACAAGCAAATAAAAATGCTAAACATTACTATATTAGCTGTGAACAAAATATGAAATTGAGTAACATAGAGAGCTTTGCCTTTTATCCAGCTTGCTGTCAATGAGATCTTGAGTCTGATTAGCTGAAGTCCGAGCAGAGAACATGAGAAAGTGGCTGATGTATTCAAGTGGCAAGTTCTTCAGAAGCTTGTCTGCTATTGTGAGTGTCTTCCCAGTTCCTGTGGGGCCAATACAGAGGACCTACATTTGGAAAAGTCAGGTGTTATCACTGGGAGAAAACACAAACTGTAATCACACATTCACAGCCCCATTTGTCAACCAGGAGGATTTCTGAGAGTTCACTGTGACTGGGCCATCCTGACCACCATAGGGTTTTTCAAATGGCATCTTTCAGGTTTCTTTGATAACTAGTGGAGCAAATCGAACAAGAAGTTTGTGTTTCAAATGGAACTCAACAACAGCTGGAAAAACACATCGATGCAAGAAAATCCTACTGAGTAGTCAGTCTTCTGGCTGGTGCTTGCCTGATTGACAACAGATTGCTTACATTGCTACTGTGCAAGGTTAGTCCTGTTTGAAATTCTGGAAACATACCGGTTTGTGATTGGTAAGTAACATTTCCAACAGGTGTGCCATCTGGACAGTGTTCATTGTGGGAACAATAATGTCACAAAAGCTGGCGTCAGGCACCATGGTAAATTCTGCGGCAGAATCCATCCAGTTCTCCCAGCAAACCTAAATGGCAAGAGAATTTGACACACAAAGGCTTGAAATGTTCTGTAGGGTTTTTTTTTTTTCAGATTGATATTTGCAAATAACCAAGGTGCACTGCCTTGAGAAAACTTCTAATGGCTTTCTTACATTTAAGTCAGTAAGATAGCAGACCTTCACTGCGTCAAAATCAGTCATTGAAACTATGATCCTGATGATGCCTCCTCTATCTCAAAACTGGAGATCCCATCCAATGAATAGTCTAATCCGGGAAATATTTAAAGAGCCATACAATTTAGATTTTTCTTATGGCGAGCAAATAAGGTTTCACCTCTGCCTTAAATATTATGAGGAACCGATGACAGCAATTCTTTTTTCTTATTTCATTTTACTTCAAACATGTTCTGACAAGAACTATTTGGAAGAGAAACAGCAGCCAGAGCTCTATTCCAGGGGACGACACCACCATCACCCAGCACTTAAAAAGAGAAAGAGGGAAAAGAGCTACTTCTGCTAAAATAGTTCTAGTGTATGCCCCAATTCCTACATTGCCAAACAATCATCCTTTCAATTTTCTTCTGTAAATGGGACAGCAGACTGGGGGGAAACAGTTGGGGACAGTGCTTAGAAACAAATCGAACATGTTAGTCATGACTGATGAATCTTGATGCCTTTAAAAAAGTGAGTGTTCTTGACTGACTTTAGCTGAATGGAGGCAAAGGATTTTGAAATGGAAATAGGTTATCTATTTCCCTGTAAACTCCTTTGCTAGTTTGAACAACCAGATCACCTACGTAGCTTTTATGAGCACTTAAGGTGAATTTATTAACTGTGACCAAGTTTAAGCCTTTTGTTTTTATGTTATATTTTTTCTCTAACAGCTCCTCAAAGTACCTCTAGCTAAGCTAGCTATCTTTGCTTTACTGCACGTGTTTGGAAAAACCAAGGTAAACTTTTCTTTAGACTACACTGTATATGTTTGTGTGTATGCGTACTTATATATCGTGAAACATTCAAATAATGTTTGTTAAGGCAATACTTCTATTGTGAAGGTATCACATTTTCTCAGGAGTTGAAACAGCACTATCTTACTATACATACAGTAAGTAATAATTTAAAATGAGGGTAAGAATTATGCAGTGCTCCAGATGATTTTGGGCTACTCTCATCCACTCTAGCCAACATAGTCCATGGTTAGGAATGCTGGCAGTTGGCATTTGACCATATGGAGGTCTGATCCCTATCCCTGCCCTAAAGGTTTTATGATGGGCTGCTCTGGATGGGGCAAACATGTTGGAAAGTTACAGTATCTGTTGTGGTAGTTTTTTTTAAAAAAAAAATCAAATAATTTGTCTTTTTCTGGACTATTTTCTTGGCAGCAGATGCAACATTTCATTCTCACCATTGAGGAAGTTGGATTTTAATTCTGATACACATTGGAGCAAAACATGTTTATTCACCTTTCCCTCTCTCTCTCTCTCAATCCCCCCTTCCTTACTTTTAAAGTCTTTTATTTTGATTATATCATTATACATCTAGAGAATTTAGAAAAAAAACTAGGGGAAAATTTCCTTTCAAATTATAGGATCACTGCAGGATGCTATGTCTCAGTTTTTAAAAACACCTTGTGCACATACAAGAAATCACCACAAACAACCCCCCCCCCCCCAAAAAAAAAGAATAGAACAAAAAAAGAACAGAACAAAACTTGATGCATTCCAAGGAGTTAGCTCACAAGAACTCATGCTTCTTTAGATTGGTCTAGAAAAGCGCTGTATGAGGGACTTGTTCAAAGTGCTTAGAATACTCTGAGTGACCCTTACAACAATCATGTAAGGTACATCAGACTCTATTGGTGGGAAGAGAAAAGGTGTGAGAGATGCTGCATTGCCCAATGTGTGCTCTTGGCAGAGCGGATATTCAACAGATAAGTATGAGAAAAGATGGTGAAATAGTTTCCTACCAAAATCAATTTGACTGACTGAAAATTTCTGGTACATAATTCTCATTTTAACCAACATACTGTATCAGTCCACACAAGCCCTTCAAAACAGCAAATATGAATACGGCTGCACTTTTAACCTCCTAAAAATGTATCATTTTGAAGGCTATAATCTTGATATCCATATTTCATTTATTTGTTATTAAATTGCTAATATCATTATGGCTACCCCCTTTACAGCTCATTCGACAGGATATCACATTTTGTGACACTAGATTAAGGTTAGTTCAAGAACAGAGCTAAAGAGGAAATTTGGTTTATAAAAGCATAAAAAGATTATTGCCCTGATTAAACAATTTTGATATAAATGTTCTGAGTTCCAATCCTTTTGAAAACTCAAAGACTGTATTATTAGTATCTAACTGGTAACAATGATAGAATCCCTTATTCTGTTATCCGTAGGCAGGCATGTAGCCGGGGGGGGGGGGGGGCTTCAGCCCCCCCCCCCCCGAAATTCTCATGGTGGTTCGCGAAAAGGTCTTACTGGTGCATTATTTAAACTGTTATGTTTATTCATATCATGATCTGATCACCATACTCAATATATCCCATATGCATGGGGGTATTGGGGTAATGATACAAAAGGTTTGCTAGGCTAGACCCTCTTTCACCCAGACTCAGCCCCCCCGAAACTCAGCCCCCCCCCGAAACCCCCCCCTGAAAAAAAATTCAGCCCCCCCCCCCCCCCGAAACGAAATCCTGGCTCCGGGCCTGTCCGTAGGGATAACCAAGTTAGTCTACTGGGTCAAAAGTAAGAAAGCATTCTGTGACATTAATATATTTATTATGTCACAAGCTTTGATGGACTGAAGTCCACCTGAAAAATGATTGGGAAGTGATATTCCAAAGGAAAGCAACTGGATTGGCACACAGAATTGGAGTAAAAAGTAAATTTAATCAAGAAATATAATAAACACAAAAACATAATAAAGTGACACTTATACATTAAAAGATGCTGACCATAATCCTGTATAGCAATTATGAATGTGTAACCTGGAATTACACATGTGCTTTTCTTACATTTTCATGATTACTATGTAGTCCCTAGTTGAGGGGATGTGGGATAACAAAAGTCTTTCAGTTCTCACTTAACAAGCAGCAGCAGCAGCTGCAATCAATGAAAATCTGTTTTCCTGGCATTTTGGAAGCGGTTGGCTGATGATCCCCTCCCTGCATGCAAACAATCTCCAGCACAAGGGAGAATTGTAACAAGAACTTTTTCTGCCTGTTGCCCAGAAATTGTTCACAGGAGGAGATAAAGAAGCAGCCAGTTGCTTCCCCAGTGACAGGGGAAAAGACCCTTGTTGATTGCAGTGGCTGCTGCACAGTAAGTGGGGAACGGAATGGAGTCAAGCCAAAATTCAATGTAGCGTAATAACAACGATGCTTACACATCTACACAGAATTCCAAAGTATGTTAACAAAGTATCACAATAACAAAAAATTGCATCAATAAACAAGAAAAATACTGTTAAATGACCAAATCATATTATAATTCATTTTCAATTATTAAATGTTTATACTCATTTTTATTTATTTTATAATGTATAAATTGTATCTTGCATCTCAGTTTTGTGTGGCAAACTTAGATTCTTCTTCAGATGCAGACTCTAGTTCAAGGGTGATTAAAGTCTAGCTGCATTTAGCCTATGGAGGTTATTTTGACACATTCCCCCCAGGATCTTTAGCTGTCCAAACTATTCAACCCCCCCCCCTTCCCAAATGAGTTGGCTCAAAATTGGATTAAAATGGGCAAGGCCTATAGTAAAACTGCCCTTCTCTACCCACACTCCCTCCCCGCTTCCCGGGGCAAGCATTCTGGAATGGTGTGGAGAATTCAGGGGAAGAAAACCCTGAAAACTGTGGGAGTGACTGGCACGGCATGACATTTGCTTCTCTCCCAGTATGGGCAATTGGCCCTGTGGCCACAGCTCACTATTCCTACCTCTTTTCTAGTCCATAAATGGATGTTAGAATAAATAAATGTATTAATCTTTAAAGTGCAAAAAATCTATTGTTCAAAAATTGTCTTTTCCCATGGAAGAGAAGCATTTTCTATGTTAAAATGTTCAAGAATGAAAATGTGAACCAAACATTTGCTGATAATAGTCACATAACATTCAGCATGAAAAGGTTTTCTTTCCGAAAATGACAGTAATTTATTAATTTAGACTTAAATGAGAATATAACCTGCAAATGGATATGTATGCCCATCGAAGACTGTCCTATCTTAGGACCTCTCTATTTGAACGTCACCTGTGTCACTTAATACAACTTTAAAGAGGAATATACATATTACAAGAAGTAGATATCCCTAATAAACTTACAAAAATGTGTCACATATATATTTGCCCCACAAACATTGCAAAGTTAACTCTCCCAATTTTATAGTTGTAGGGAAGCCCTGTAGGAAAATATATTTTTGAATAGAAATGGGGGGAGATCAGCAAAGTTTTCATTGGCTAATTTGGGGTTTTTTTTACATGATGTAAGAATTAACCATACTTGTAGAAACAGGATAATCTTGATTAATATGCTACTGATCACAATAATACTGACTGCTGCAGAAAAAGATAGTATGTGATTGTTATGATCAATATTATAGTAAGAACTGATACACACTTGGGCAGATTCTCAATAATGTGGATACTTCCAGAAGATTTAACTCTGTTGGCTCCTGGAAGAATAAGCAAGAATAATGTACAGTCCTTTGTCTCGGGGTAAACATAAATTATGCAAAGGACTGAGTGGGTGTAATTTTGTAAATTTGTAAATTTGTGTTATTTACAAAAATAGGTTTTTCCCCCCTTCAGATGATCAGAGAGCACAAATAATGAGAATATATTACCAAAATAAAAATAGGAACAGCAGCAGCTACTTGGAAGAACCTTTGTTCAGAAGTCAGATTTGGACAGCAAATAATGACTTTCATGTACAACAGGAAGCCTCTCTCAAATGCAGTTTTCCTAACCTTTCATCCTTTCTCTTTCTCCTCTTGAGATACTGTAACTAAGGCCCCTTCTATACTGCCATATAAAATCCAGATTATCAGCTTTGAATTGGATTATATAGCAGTGAAGAAGGAGGTTTAGACATAGTGCAACATCGATTTGTTCTCTAGATAACATTTCTCCCCCAGAAAGAAGACACATTTGCTAACTTCTATACTTAATACATACATCTGAACAAAGAAGATGTGTATACCCTAACACTGAAAAATATCAAATGGGAAGTGGCTCCAAACTGAGTTGGTCTTTACATTTTTGTGACATAATTCTAATCCTTGCAGTATGGAGCAACTCATCCCCATCTTAAAGGAGATACATATTTTCTGTATGTTCCCCCTCAGCTGGTCTTTCAACATGTGTGCAGAGGTATTAATTGAATCTTTCTACTGAAATCTCATTTACCTTTTTAATAACATCTTCATCCTCATCGTCTTCAGCACTGCTAATTCCGGTATCGTCCAGTTTATAGTCATAGACCAACCCCTCTTCTGGAAATAATATTTTAATCTGTGTAGAAGAAAACAGATGGTGAAGATTCATTTTGAAAGGGGTAATATGAAGCTAGGAATGTGGCAATCTCATAATGATTTCATCCAGTTATAAAAAATGTAAATTGTTACGTTTTCTCATATGATGCAAAATGATAATGCAAAAGTAATGTAATAATATTATGTGCTCAATAATAACTTCACCAACAATGAAACCACACATGATCTGGCAATGGAAGAATTCTGTAGTTGCTCTTAGGAACAGATGATACTCCTACTCCAACTTGCCTTCTCTTCTGACATCTTTGTCCTTAACCACGTGCTGAATAACACACGGCTTTGAGCATCCCCAGTTGCTCCCACACTCCATATCAAGGCAAATATGAACCAGGATTCAATCAGTTCACCAATACGGGCTGTCTTCTCTGGAGGAATTTTTTTCATCCCCTGAAGATTCAAGTGGCAGTGCAAGTTTAATAATCCCAGATAATAATTAAGCAAGATATTGAATCATTTGCAGTGCATCTAAATTCCCCACTTAAATTTTAGATATCTTTTTCTGGAAGAAGCTCACAGTTTGCAGATAGGAGGTCAGTTTCAGGCAATTTGATACAGATATCAGGTCTTCAGCCAAAATATTCACTATTATCACTCTGTTAAGTAAAAGCAATTTATTTTCTGAATTTTAGTTCTAAAACAGAACCTAAAATACCTAAAGATAACACGAATGAGAATAAATATTTATGTACAATTTATTTATCTGTCTGTTTCAAGTCTCCTTTCTGTTATTAATAAATTGATTTCAAAGCCTATGAATTTCTGAGTGCTTAGGTTCTTGAGGAATACAGAATTGTCTATGGCTATTACACAATAGTGATGAATTCTAATTCATTGATTCATATATTGCAGTAATTGCTACCCATATTAAAAAAATGATGTCACTGGTTTTTTAACCCTATTGCCCATTGCAGTTTAACTCTCTTGAACACCACCAGGACAACAATCCTACCTCAACTGGAATGAAAGGTTGAAAGAAACAATCCAGTAGTTTGAGAAGACTTCTTGCCAGGTTAGAATCTGTGGAAGCAATGATCTCTTTCACAGAACTCCGGACAAATCTGATAGAATCCTGAAAGAATTAGAGAGATCCAAACATAACTGTTTCCAGATTTATTTACAAAATTGATGAGTTTTTTAAAAAGCATCTTGTTCTTTTGAAATTGTGGTAGTTTCAAAGCCTACAGAGAATGAACATCAACAGTTGAGAAGACTTACTGTTAACAGATTTTTAAAAAGGAAAACCTGTAGCCGACTGGCTGCTCCCAATTTTGTTGTGAAGCAACTACATTAAAGTAGCATACCACTTGTGAACTCTCAAGAGAAATTTCACAATTTTGAAATTAACAAAAGAGGGTAGAGATTATTGGTTTAAATCTATGCACCCCTCCAAAAATTATCAGGACCTCTAGGATGCTGGGGCTCCAGGAGGAGTTAAATATGAATTATCATTCTTGGATAACTGCATCAGCAATCTACACATGCATTTTCCCCTTGTGCCAACTAATCAAGACAGTATCTTATTTTTTTCTGTTCAAAGCATTAACTTCACTCTCTCGCAGCTCAGTTTAGTTATAAAACCACATTACAAAAGCTTTATTATATTACTCAAAGTAGGTTGGAATTGCTGAAAAGCTTTATTTTGTTTGATACCCCAAGTGGGAGGGGATTGCTCATACAGTCACTCAAGAATGATCATTCATAGTGAGCATCAATCTCTCATTCCCTGGATGGCTATCTGAGCAATCCACACTCACGGGATATACCCATATGCATATTCATGGGCACTGTCACTGATTACTGCTTGTAATACAGTTCTTCCAAATGCCGCCTGAGTGACTTTATATTTGTCTAACTTGCAATTCCTCATGAAAGTGGAATTTTCCTTGCAATTTGCTGTCTTCCAAAAAAGCAATCACCTGAAAGGCTCTTGTAATGCCCATGGATCTAGTTGAAAGAGTCACACATTCTTGCCTCTATACCTTTGAGAAAATGCAAGCTTTAATCCAACTTGTCAATGTAATTTTGAAGCTTTGTTTCCCATAGTGTTGAGACGAAAGGAAACACAGGGTTTCTATATGTTGTATTTGACCTGCTAATCCTATAATCTAAGGAGTGCCACTTCTTCTCCAGCTAGTGGTTTACTTTCAGGGAAAAGGTTGGCAAGTTTATGTTCAAACCTTTCATATATAGACTTTTCAGAATAATCTAAAGCCAATGTCATCTTGTCCTCCACAAATCCGCACAAAGATGAGTTAACAAACAGAGAAGCCTCCTCAGACAGTACTCTTGATGAAGCAATTGCTACTAAGATGCCACTTTTAGTAACAAAGTCATCAGAGATGTCTTATGCAGTAGCTCAAATGGAGGTTTTATCAATGCATTTAATATTAAATTTGAATTCCATGATGGGAACCTGTCAACCAGAGGAGGGTTTTTCAAAGTATGTAATTGTAGCTTTCTAATGTGAAATTTTGTCCATGGCACTAGCTATATGATAGATATTAGCAAATATTCGATTTATGCTAAATGCATTAAGTCCATAGCCCTCAGTTGCATAATTTGTTTATTTTCTTGCTTATTTTGTGATTCCCCTTTTGGAGAGATACATATATCATATTTTGTATTTTTCTGAGCTCCCAAATATTCCAGTTGGCTTTTTTTCATGTTTATCAGAAATTCATTTTCTGTAAACATTTCAATTTCTTCTCTAAATTCACTTTGACATTGTCCCTTCATAATGCCTTCTGTTAGATATGGGAATAACTAAAGCCCTTTCTTTCTTAAATTTATGATCAACATCACTTGCAATTTTGTGATGACTCTGGATGCAGAAGACAGGCCTAAAGGAAGAGTTCTGACCTGATAATGTTCTTTGTAATAATTAAACTATAGGTATTTCCTGAAAACCTTTTAAATCTGAATGTTTAAGTAGGCTTTCTGAAGATCAACTGAGGCCATATAGTCTGAGGCCATTACATGTAAACATTACATGTAAACATTTCCAAGATAGTTTGTAAAGTTTCCATCTTGAAACACTGAACCTCACAAATCCATTCAAGTTCTTTAAATCTAGCATAAGCCTGTAAAATCCACTGTGCTAGGGTACACTAAAGAAAACGGAATATATTCCGGATTTACCTTCTCTATAGCTAAGGGCTGTAAAAGATGTTGAATTTTCTTGCCTGAGTCTGAATGTTGGTTTTTTTAAGCTTATTCTCAACTAAGATTTTCTGACCTTTTTCTCCAAATAAAAGGCTTCCTCTAAATAGACTTTTGCCAAAGTGGCTATAGATTTCTGATCCACCTCCCAGCATGTCATTTTGAGCATTTGTCATATGTTAAATCTTATTCAAAAAGTGATGCAATGCGTGTGCCAGTAAACCTTCAGCACTGCTGCTCTTGAAAACATTGAAACAGCAAAGGAAGACCTGATACTGCTAGAGCAGCTGCCTCACGTGTATTTCGTAATGCTGCAATCTACCCAGCATTCCTCTGGTTCTTTCAAAGTCATGCCCCCTTCCTTAGGAGCCATAGATCACAAAATCAAACCTAATATTGGAACATCGCCAGAAATACTGATATAAATTCAATAAGCCCGAAGATATTTCAGTATTTAACACTTTCTCATATTCTAGATATATGAGATCTTTCAAAGAACTCAAGATTTGGTAATTCAGCGGGGTGGAGTGTATTCTTTAAACCCATAGACACTCTGATATTATAACTGAACATTTTATTTGAAGGCACATTATCATCCTGACTCATTTTTGTTGTAAGTACTTTCTTTAGAAAATTTTAAAAATTCTGAATCCCAAATAATCTGTCAAAATTTCTTTCTGTGTACATCTCTTTTTTCACTGTTCATTCATATGTCATCTAAATTTTCCTTCATAAAAGTTCCTCCTCTGAATCAAAATTGAAATCATTTTAAGAACATTTACTTGCATTTTAATTGTTTTTAGAGCTAGATAAATATTTGACCTTAGTCAGACATTTCTGTCTTTATCATCTTTTACATCCTTTCCACTATTACCTTGCTTTAATGTTTGCTTATTTTGAGAAGAGGTCTGAACTGATCCTGATGATCTCCCAAATCCACTGCCAGCATTTGTGTATCAAAATTAAGTAAATGTGTTGAACTCACTAAATAGTCTGTTGCTCCCTGCTGTGAAAACTTGTTCAAAATTCATTAAATCCATTAAGTTTGAATTCATTTCATTAAAATTCCTTTGACTTAATTTACTTTTAAATTAGTGTTTATATTAGTGTGCAACACAGATATGTTTTGTTCATCTGTGGACCTTAAAAACCTGTCTGTTGGAAAATCCTTATCAGCTTGAAGTCTTTCTCTTATTTTCTATCCACTATTTCTTTAATTATGTTTCCTATTTCAGATATGCCTGCTTCCTATGACTAACGTACATTAAGTTGCTGTTGTTCTGCTGTTTTTCCCAAGGCAGGTCTCTGCAATTGCTGTTCCTGCTGTGTCTGCAAGTGTTTCTGCCTCTGTCGCTATCTCCCTGTACCTATGGGAATAACCAGTGGAGTGTTTGCTACTATCAGTTTTAAGTAAGACAGGAACTCCATTTGTGCCTTTGCAGGGTGGAAATATGCACTTGTTGGAGGAATCCCTCTATCCAATTGAATAGTTTGTTCCATGAATGCCCAGGGATCTGTGTGTTATCATTTCAGCACTTGTCTGCCTTTGTGGCTTGAAGCAGCTACTGGTGATTTTGTTGCTATTTAAATGACCCCCAACTGTTTAAATGACCCCAACATGGCATCTCTTTTAATTCACTAAGAAAGTTAGTGAATTAGGAGATGCCAAGTCAGTTAACGGTCTCTTTTACTCTCCCTAAACAATTCCCCCACACTTTCATTGGGTTTACCACTTCTGTTACCTTCTCCGTTATTTTATTCATTTCAGTGCAATTTTTCTGTATGACAAGCCCGTCATTTAAAGAAATAAATATCTTGATTTAATAGCTCTTCGAAGCAATTATTTAATCAGTTTTATTTTTATCTGTTTCCCATTTTGAGACACAATTTGATGCAGTCAAAACAGCAGATTTAGAGAGTGGCTCTTCATCTGTTCACCTCCTAGTTTGTATGAGAGCAGACACATAACTTCCCATTTGAGAATTGCATTTATAGCTTTTCTTTTCTTTAAAGTACAACAAGATATTGATGCAATTTCTAAATTTAAATACCTAGTTATGAGATTTGAGAAATTTGGAATGTAGAAATGTTTCAGCTAGAGAGAGAAAACCTTTACAAGCAGGTCAGACAAGATTTTGTAAACTGATTTGAGAGGTAGTGGATTTAACATTTTCAAGATAAAAGAACTTTGGACTCCTGTCTTGATCAGTTGGCATGAGGGGGAAACTCATGAGAATACATACACACACACACACACAATCCAATTCACACCAGCAATCTACCTCCATCTGCACATATACAAATAAAGTCATATTGGAGTTTTCAAACATAGCACTTCAGCACAACATGGGCTATAATCTGGTAACAAAGTTCATGCATTAAAATATGTCTCAGGGATTAAATTAACTGCTAAATAATAAATATAATATAGCAAGGTTCAGAGCTACATATACATTTGAGACAACCCCACAGAGGAACACAAATATCACAAACTACAGAAGTATTCCATGAATAGTCTTGAGGTCCTTGTGCCCTCCTAAGAAAAAGAAGGGGAGGAAGAGGAGGCTATAAGTATATCCCTTTTAAAACCTCAGTAACCAGTCTGCATTCCTGGAAGCCTCCCAAAAGTGTGATTTCCCTTAAAAAACAAAATGCACTTTCCCTCACTTATCGCGGAGGTTACATTCCAGGACCACCCGCAATAAGTGAAAAACTGAGAAGTAGGGATGCCCGCTCCCCTTCCCTCTTCACCCTCTCTACATTCATCTTCCTCCTCATTACCACCTGGGCCTTGTGCCGCCGCTTGGGGCCTGCAATTGAGGAGGCGGTGAAGGTGTCACGGGGCCCAAGCAGTGGCAAGAGGCCCCATCGGTGGCCATGAGGAGGAATAGGAAGGTACAGAGGGTGAGGAAGGAGGAAGAGCCGTCCCCTCGCCTTCTTTACATTCCTCCTCCTGGTCGCCTCTGGGGCCTCTTGCTGCCGCGATTGAGGTGGCGGTGGAGGCGGCACGGGGCACAAGTTGTGGCAAGAGGGCAAGGCCGGCGCAGCGTACAATGTTCCCTCACTACACACACACACACACACACATATAAAACCGCAAAAAGATGAGTCCATGGTAAGTGAACTGCGAAGTAGTGAGGGAACACTGTACCCGCACTTTGGTTTAAAAGACAATTGTGCATGTGCATGTTTTACCAATGTGGCTTCATAGTATCAAATTTCAACACTAGGACACTAGAAGTGAGGGTGAATTTCTTAGTTGGTTAGGAGTTGCGTACTCTTGTCACAGAGGAACAAAACCTTCAATTGAATACATTTTGTATGGCAAAAGGATATAGGCTATGAGCATTTTTGTGTGCAGTATATATTGTCATTGAACCTCTTTCCTGTAGAAGAGGAAAGTGTTCCTTCTAGACAATGTAGATTTTATGGCTTACATTACAAAATGTCAGAAACATATCTACTTTAAGCTTTAGATGCCAAATGGCAAAATAACCCTTATGAATATGTAAAACTGTAAGAATCTCAACCCTTCTGTGTGTAGAAATTCTGCTAATCTTGAATTCAAGAGACATATGACCGAATTCATAACAGACTTTCCGACTGTAATCCCAAATAAAGTCCATTGGAATTGTAGGAGAGTTTAGCTCTTGCAGAGCACACAAGAACCTTGTGTTATCTGATGAACTGTGCCAACTTGCTGTCATAAAGCTGTGGAAGAAAAATGGGATTGTACTCTGGTTGGCTAAACCCTGGACTCTGTTAAAGATTTTACACTTAATAAAACAGGAGCAATACGGTAATAGTTCACCTCTAGAAATCTGCTGAAAAGAGAATCCAGCTTCTCTGAATATGGCTTCATAATATCTGGAATCTTCTTCAGCCAACATTCTGTGAAAGGCTTTAGTCCCAAAATGCTGGGTTCAAGATATACCATGCCACACCGAGAAACAGTGGCAGGAGAGGCAACAGCTAAATCCTGTACTTCAAACATCATGGTCATTGCCTGGGAACCAGAGTCAAAAATTCAGATATTTCTCTCAGATTTTCACAAAAGATGCAAGAATTTCCTATATTGGGAGTACAACAAGGTGGAAGATTCCTAAAATTTAGCCTCTACAACTCTAGGGAACGAAGTCAAAATATAAGAGAAAAACCACTGTGAAACCCAGCAACATCTAACAGAAATAGTCAAATTGCAATTTTAATAACATTTATTCAGCCATGATCCATTAAAATTGAATTGCTTCATTTTAACCAACATGTCTACTCTCTCCTGGAGAAACACAAATTATGCATTATTTAAAAATTATTTAAAAATTCCTCGCTCATTTTTTTTTATATCCTGACTATCTATATTGCTTAGTACAGTCTTTTAGCTTTGTGACCACAAATATATCATGCAATATTTTAAAACATAATAGTTTTGTTCACTATACAGTGTGTGTGTTTGTGTGTGTAGAGAGACACAGAGAGAGAGAAACTGTAAAAGTGCAAAACCTCTCACAGAAGAGGTTGCCATGATGCATGTCAGTGGAGCAAGTTACTATAGGGGGAACTTGTGAAAGACCTTTGTATATTGAGGAGTATCAAATTGTTCCATACATTCCTATCTCCTAAAAGACCTTAAGGTTAACTCACTGTTAAGGACTGTTTTTGTTTTAGGTTCAGAACCGATCTTGATTATACGGCCATATAATGCAGGAAGATACAACAATTAGTAAAGCTGGCTGTTGTCCACTTGCTTTGGACTTATCTTCTAGATCAGTGGTTCTAAACCTGAGGGTCCCCAGGTGTTTTGGCCTACAACTCTCAAAAATCCCAGTTTACTAGCTGTTAGGATTTCTGGGAGTTGAAGGCCAAAACATCTGGGAACCCACAGGTTGAGAATCACTGTTCTAGATGGTACAAGAACATCATCAGAGAAAACCAAGTGTGATTGATTAGGATGTTGTCTTGGATCATCAGGTAGCACCCTGGACTTGCATGATATAAGAGACTTTGTAGTTCAGCCTAAAATGCAGGCTGACACCAGAAAGGTGCTGCACACTGGCCAAGACTGGGGTAATCATCGTTGTTGTTCCTGGGATTCCTGACAACTGATTGGGGAAGTTAACCTCCTAGGTTTGTATTTCTCTTCTTTAATACTTTTGCCTGCTTTACAATAAAATTGTTTGAATTTCAAGCTACTTGGGTGCTTGTTGCCTCTGAATCTGAAAAGAATCTTTGCTTTTGGGAAAACAATGACTCATATCAGGATACCCTCCTGCACTTTTAATCACAAATATTAAAAAGAAACATGTGAATGTGCAAAGTATGTGTGAGTATGCTTGTGTCAATGCCTGGAGAAAAAGGAAACTAGAAAGATACCTCTGTTAGCTTAATAATTTCTCCAGAACTAAGGCACAACTTCTTGTTGTCGTCTAGCACAGTGTTCATATTTTCAATCCAAACCGCATCAACTGGACCATCAAACATGTACCATTTTTTGTTGCTATCTGTGGCTACAGCTCCCACCCGAATGAGAGCAGGAAGAATCCCATCTGTCCTATGAGGTGGGGAGGGAGATATACAGAAATCAATCTAGTAGTTCCACATGTTATAACAACATCATATAAATGATCTTAAAATATTTGCAGTACCTAGATAACAATTATAGAGTAGAATCTGATTTTTAAAGAATGGATTCTCCCATTTCATGCCTTGGTATGAGAAAGGAAGCATGATAGTAGGTGATGATTCATTGTCAGAAATGCAAAGGCACCAACAGCTATTGGAAGTAGTCCAACATTTTATCTCTTTTAGTAGATCACTGCCATCAATGTAATGCTATTATAATTATCTCCCCTTGCTTTTATCTAAACAGTGAAGATGTGCAAGGTCTTTTTTACAAGATCAAAAGAAAATAAGAATCCTCTGAAGCCCAACCAGAGAGAACAGATGGTTTTATGCTTGTGAACAATGTCTTTTGGGTATTATATTTTTTCTGACACAGTGATGCATGTATATGCTCTCTTTTCAGCAAACATTGTATTGCAAATAAGCTGTAGCTGTTGCAATTAACTAGAATTTGCTAGGGGAAAATCTTTCTTTAGCCCAAATTTATGAAGCTTCAGGGTGAAATGCAGATGTTTACTTGGTAGCTCTTCCTTTGTAAAGTTATTTTTAATAATTATAATGGATTTATGGAATTATGGAACGCATTGTTTGATTCCTCCAGCAAAGGATCACCGCCTTGTCGGGGCGCTGGAGCTTGAGCACCTCAATGATGTCATGAGCGAAACCGTGAAGGGCCACCCAAGACGGGACGGTTGTGGCAGAGAGGTCAGACCAAGCGTGATCCTGGGGAAGGCAATGGCAAACCACTTCAGTATCCTTGCCAAGAAAACTAAATGGACCAGTACAACCAGAGATATGTTGGTATGCCATTGGAAGATGGGACTCCCAGGTCGGAAGATGGCCTAAATGCTACTGGGGAGGAGCAGAGGATAAGTTCAACTAGCTCCAGATGTGATGACGCAGCTAGCTCAAAGCCGAAAGGAAGGCTAGTGGCCGACGGTACTGGAGTGAACGACGAATCCGATGCTCTAAAGATCAACACACCATAGTCACTGGAATGGGGAGATGACTAGGGCAATTGACAAGATCGCTCCGGAACGTCCCCTCTCAAGTAGCCGAGCTAAACCAGCTCCTTGGTTCACTGAGGAGCTGGCAGCGATGAAGCGAAGGAAGAGGGTTCTAGAGAGCGTGTGGCGCTCGGACCCAAGCGAGCCAAATCGAACACGGTTTGTGTCCTTTCTAAGGGCATATGCCGCGGCAATAAAAGCCGCAAAGAAAACCTTCTTTGCGGCCACTATTGCGTCTGCAACAAACCGTCCGGCGGAGTTGTTTCGGATTGTCAGAGGTCTTTTAACTCCCCCTATCTCTGGTGGGAGCCCTGACAATTCGGCAACGCGCTGTGAAGCATTTGCTCGGTTCTTTGCAGACAAAGTCGCTTTGATCCGCTCTGGGCTGGACGCCACTTTAAATGCAGTCTCCGTGGATGTGACACAAGCACCTGCTTGTCCGATTTTGTTGGATTCTTTTCAGTTTGTGAAGCCCGAGGATGTGGACAAGATACTTGGAGGAATGAGACCCACCACGTCCATCCTAGACCCCTGCCCATCCTGGCTTCTGAAGGAGGCCAGAGGGGGATTGGCCGAGTGGGTAACGGTGGTGGTTAATGCCTCCCTTCGGGAAGGCAAGATTCCAGCGAGCCTAAAACAGGCTGTTATAAAGCCGCTGTTGAAGAAACCATCACTGGACCCCACTAATTTGGACAACTTTCGGCCTGTTTCCAATCTTCCCTTCTTGGGCAAAGTCATGGAAAGCGTGGTGGCCTCACAACTCCAGGTATTCTTGAGAGACACGGATTATCTGGATCCGGCACAGTCTGGTTTCAGACCGGAACATGGTACCGAGACGGTCTTGGTCGCCTTAGTGGATGATCTGCGCCGGGAGCTAGACAGGGGGAGTGTGTCCCTGTTGGTGCTCCTGGACCTCTCAGCGGCCTTCGATACCGTCGACCACGGTATTCTTCTGGGGCGCCTTGCAGAGATGGGTCTTGGGGGCACTGCTTTGCAGTGGCTCCGGTCATTTCTGGAGGGCCGTACTCAGAAGGTGTTATTGGGGGACTCCTGTTCAACGCCACAGCCGTTGACCTGTGGCGTTCCTCAGGGCTCCATCCTGTCCCCCATGTTGTTCAACATCTACAAGAAGCCGCTGGGTGAGATCATCCGGAGTTTCGGGGTGCGGTGTCATCTGTACGCAGATGATGTCCAACTCTGTCACTCCTTCCCACCTGCTACTAAGGAGGCCGTCGAAGTCCTGAACCGGTGCCTGGCCGCTGTGACGGTCTGGATGAGGGCGAACAAACTGAAATTAAATCCAGACAAGACAGAGGTACTCCTGGTCAGTCGCAAGGCCGAACAGGGTATAGGGTTACAGCCTGTGCTGGACGGGGTCGCACTCCCCTTGAAGGCGCAGGTTCGCAGCTTGGGTGTGACCCTGGACTCATCGCTGAGCCTGGATCCCCAGGTTTCAGCGGTGACCAGGGGAGCATTTGCACAGCTTAGGCTCGTGCGCCAGCTGCGCCCGTATCTTGGGAAGTCTGACTTGGCCACGGTGGTACACGCTTTGGTCACATCCCGCCTCGACTACTGCAACGCGCTCTACGTGGGGCTGCCCTTGAAGACGGCCCGGAAGCTTCAGCTAGTCCAGCGCGCGGCAGCCATGTTGTTAACCGGAGCGGGACGCAGGGAGCGTACAACGCCCTTGCTGTCCCAGCTCCACTGGCTGCCGATTAGCTACCGGGCCCAATTCAAGGTGCTGGTGTTAACCTACAAAGCCCTAAACGGTTCCGGCCCAAAATACCTTTCGGACCGCATCTCGGCCTACGAGCCCACGAGGACCTTGAGATCATCTGGGGAGGCCCTTCTCTCGATCCCGCCTGCCTCACAGGCACGTCTGGCGGGGACGAGCGAGAGGGCCTTCTCGGTGGTGGCCCCCCGGCTGTGGAACGCCCTCCCTGCTGAAGTTAGACAGGCGCCCTCCCTGATGGCCTTCCGTAGGAGCCTGAAAACATGGCTCTTCGAGCAGGCCTTCAATTGAGTGCAACATTGGAACGATATTGGAATGGATTTGACTACGATATTGACTGTGACCCCTGGATTTGACGAAGCGGATTTTTAGTATATGTTATGTAGTAGTAGTTTGGTATGTATTGTCATGATTTACTGTATACTGTCTTTTCTATGTTGTTGTTCACCGCCACGAGTCGCCCTAGGGCTGAGAGTGGCGGTCAATAAGTGCAAATAATAAATAAATAATAAATAATAAGATAGACATTCTGGGGGTCAGCGAACTGAAGTGGACTGGAATGGGCCACTTCACATCAGATGACCACCAGATCTACTACTGCGGACAAGAGGAACATCGAAGAAATGGAGTAGCCTTCATAATTATAAGAAATTCGCTAAAGCGGTGCTTGGATACAACCCAAAAAATGACAGAATGATCTCAATTCGAGTGCAAGGAAAGCCTTTCAACATTACAGTGATCCAAATATATGCCCCAACAACAGCTGCTGAAGAAGCAGAAGTAGATCAGTTCTATGAGGATCTGCAGGACCTACTGGATAATACACCAAAAAGAGACATTATTTTCATTACAGGAGACTGGAATGCCAAGGTGGGAAGTCAAATGACAACTGGGATCACAGGCAAGCATGGTCTGGGAGAACAAAATGAAGCGGGACGCAGGCTGATAGAATTTTGCCAGGAAAACTCGCTTTGTATAACGAATACTCTCTTCCAACAACCTAAAAGACGGCTTTACACATGGACCTCACCAGATGGTCAACACCGAAATCAGATTGACTACATCCTTTGCAGCCAAAGGTGGCGGACATCCATCCAGTCGGTGAAAACAAGACCTGGGGCTGACTGTAGCTCAGATCACGAGCTTCTTATTGCCCAATTTAGAATAAAACTAAAGAGATCAGGGAAAATACACAGACCAGTTAGATATGATCTCACTAACATTCCTAGCGAATATACAGTGGAAGTGAAGAACAGATTTGAAGGACTAGATTTAGTAAACAGAGTCCCAGAAGAACTATGGACAGAAGTCCGCGACATTGTTCAGGAGGCGGCAACAAAGTACGTTCCAAAGAAAAAGAAAACCAAGAAGGCAAAATGGTTGTCTGCTGAGACCCTGGAAGTAGCCCACGAAAGGGGGAAAGCAAAAGGAAACAGTGATAAGGGGAGATATGCCCAATTAAATGCACAATTCCAGAGGTTATCCAGAAAAGATAAGGAACTATTTTTAAACAAGCAATGCATGAAAGTGGAAGAAGACAACAGAATAGGAAGGACAAGAGACCTCTTCCAGAAAATTAGAAACATTGGAGGTAAATTTCAGGCAAAAATTGGCATGATAAGAAACAAAGATGGCAGGGACCTAACAGAAGCTGGATCAAGAGAAGGTGGCGAGACTATACAAAAGATCTGTATAGGAAGGATAATAATATTGAGGATAGTTTTGACGGTGTGGTGAATTAGAACCAGACATCCTGAGGAGTGAGGTTGAATGGGCCTTAAGAAGCATTGCTAACAACAAGGCAGTAGGAGACAACGGGATCCCAGCTGAACTGTTTAAAATACTGAAAGATGATGCTGTCAAGGTGATGCATGCCAATGCCAGCAAATATGGAAAACACAAGAATGGCCATCAGACTGGAAAAAATCAACTTATATCCCCATACCAAAAAAGGGAATGCTAAAGACTGCTCAAACTTCTCCCTTATTTCTCATGCCAGTAAGATCCTGCAAGGAAGACTCCAGCAATACACGGAGAGAGAGTTGCCAGATGTACAAGCTGGGTTTAGAAAAGGCAGAGGAACGAGAGACCAAATTGCCAATATCCGCTGGATAATGGAGAAAGGCAGGGAGTTTCAGAAAAACATCTATTTCTGTTTTATTGACTATCCTAAAGCCTTTGACTGTGTGGATCATAATAAATTGGCAAGTTCTTAGTCTATCTCCAAGCCACCTTGTCTCTCTCCTGAGGAATCTGTACAAGGACCAAGTAGCAACAGTCAGAACTGGAACAACAGACTGGTTCAAGATTGGGAAAGGCGTACGGCAAGGCTGCATCCTCTCACCCAACCTTTTTAACTTGTATGCAGAACACATCATGCGATGTGTGGGGCTGGATGAATGCAAAGCTGGGGTGAAAATTGCTGGAAGAAACATTAACAACCTCAGATATGCAGATGACAACACTCTGATGGCCGAAAGCGAGGAGGAGCTGAGGAGCCTTCTAATCAAGGTGAAAGAAGAAAGCGCAAAAGCCGGGTTGCAGCTAAACATCAAAAAAACCAAGATTATGGCAGCAAGAATGATTGACAACTGGAAAATAGAGGGAGAAACCGTGGAGGCCGTGACAGACTTTGTATTTCTAGGTGCAAAGATTACTGCAGATGCAGACTGTGCCAGGAAATCAGAAGACGCTTACTTCTTGGAAGGAGAGCAATGTCCAGTCTCGATAAAATAGTCAAGAGTAGAGACATCAGACTGGCAACAAAGATCCGCCTAGTCAAAGCCATGGTATTCCCTGTAGTAACCTACGGATGTGAGAGCTGGACCTTAGGGAAGGCTGAGCGAAGGAAGATCGATGCTTTTGAACTGTGGTGTTGGAGGAAAGTTCTGAGAGTGCCTTGGACTTCGAGAAGATCCAACCAGTCCATCCTCCAGGAAATAAAGCCCGACTGCTCATTGGAGGGAAGGATACTAGAGACAAAGTTGAAGTACTTTGGCCACATCATGAGGAGACAGGAAAGCTTAGAGAAGACAATTATGCTGGGGAAAATGGAAGAAAAAAAAGAAGAGGGGCCGACCAAGGGCAAGATGGATGGATGGCATCCTTGAAGTGACTGGACTGACCTTGAAGGAGCTGGGGGTGGTAACGGCTGACAGGGAGCTCTGGCGTGGGCTGGTCCATGAGGTCACGAAGAGTCGGAGACGACTGAACGAATGAACAACAATTGTTTGATTCACACAGAAAATTAAAAGGCAGAAGTTATTAAATGATGGTGACATATTTGCCTGCATTTATTTTATGACATTTCATAATATGGGGTATGACGAACCATGACCAATTGAATTCTTGGATGTGGAACCTCTGGATCCAGAGGGCTCATTGTATGCCACAAATATAGCATACATTCCTGGCATGTTGGGGGAAAAAATACTAGTCCATCATATCACATAGCATGAGAAGTACTGACACAGAGGACACCAGACATATATGAAGTCCATCCGAATCAGTATTAGGAGCTGGGTTTTTGGTAGATTTCAGTGCTGACTACCTGGTTTATGTTACATATGCAAGCTAAAAAACCAGAAATCTGATATTTGACATTCAGAAGAGAGACCATGGCCCAGCCAAAGTTAAACTTTCAATATCCAATAGATATGGAAAGGAAACATGGTGCTTAACTTTGGGTTGGTCATACCATTGTATCTTAATTTTGTCACTAAGACTCACAAGGAATTATACAGTTGAAACTCATACAATGTTCTTATTCCTATGGAAAAGACAAGAGCAGAAAGAAGGAAAAATTAGAATTTACCATTCATGTGTTAATAAGTCAAATTCTCCATACAGCTGTCCCATGGTAATAGATTTGGGATTTAATATATAATAATTGACAGCTTCATAATTTCCACCACTGACTGAAGGCCGGCCTTTCAAAGACGTCATTGCCGCCGCTAAAACTTTATAACACTAAAGGAACAGTGTGACAGAATGAAACATCTTAGCATGTATTTTCAGATAGAAAACAAAGCCAGTCCAAACTCACCATGAATCCACTTATAATGAAGACTATAAATTAGTAACAAAATACCTTTCTCAAGGGTTTGGCATGATTTTAAAAACAGGATTATAAAGCAGAAGCAGAAAAACAGAAATGTGAAAGACATTGGTACTTTTCAGAATGCTGATGAACGATCTGGAAAATCACACTGCAGAAATCCTACTAAAATTGTGGAAGCTCAAGGTTGTCCGCACCTACCTTAATGAGACTCTCTCACAGTACACATAAATTCAATGTATCCATTCTAAATCCACTGGTCTTACTGCAAATCTCTCCAATGCAGGATGCTGCTACGGTTTACAAGAAAGGATTTTCTGTCTCAGAAAAAGGAATCTCTAACCCCATTAGATTAAGCAAAAGAGGACTGGAAGTGCTTATACTATGGGTGTTCGAGCTCAGGGAAATCTCTAGCTATTTCCAGTGTCACAATATATCTTCCAAAATACTTACCTTAGTTTTTCCAGAGCCTGTAGGTCCTACTAACATGAGGCCGTGCCGTACCACAGTAGTTTCATACAGCTGGATACATTTTGTCACAAACCCTAAAGCAAAAAAGATTTATAATGCCTGCAAGTCTGTGTTTTCAAACATCCACTGTTAGTAGAATGACTTCTGCACTTACTAAAGATGGTAACTGATCCATGATCTATAAGCAGCAACCCAGAAGAAAAGATGAGTTTATTCTTTAGACCTTCAGAGAAAGATGATAACTTAGTCTACTAGGTTACTGTATCTCAGTACTTTGATTCTTACCACATATTTTTGAATCATGGGAATATACAATATGTGCACAAATTCACATGTAAAAGGGCTTTTTTGTGACAGTAAACCAGTTTTGGAATTCTCTCTAAGGAGGTCTGCTTGATGCTTATTTTGTTTTTTCCAGTACCTAGCGATGAAAACATTTGCATTAGCTGATGCCACTTAGATCCCACAAAACATTACTAGAGTGCTCATAGGGAGGACATTTTGTGGAGGGAAGCGTGTCTGTGAAAGGCAGAGTCACACCCAGGACTTTCTGCCACACTTCTCTTTCTTCTTCCTCTCTACTGGCCAAATGGACTGCCAGAGAAGAGGCAACCACTCTTCCTGGGGATCTAATGGAACACTAGAAAGATGTTTCTGAAATTAGACAATGGGCCATCTATACCCCTGGATCCACAGACTGTCCACCCCTTAGAGAACCTGATTTTTAAATCATTAAAATTATTACTTCCTCCTATTATTTTAATAATGTTACTGTTCATCATGTTGTTATATTAACATAAGATACAATAACAGTTCTCTCTCTCTCTCTCTCTCTCTCATTTTCTCTGTTATGTATACGAATGGTTCAGGCCCAATCTATCTATCCGACCACATCTCCTGATACGAGCCTGCCCAAACTCTAAGTTCAGCTAGAGAGGCCCTAGTCTCAGTTCCACCCCAATCTCAGGTGCGGCTGGTGGGAATGAGAGAGAGGGTCTTCTCAACAGTGGCTCCTCAGCTCTAGAACTCCTTCCCAAAGGACATCAAAATCCCTCCCTCCCTGTTATCCTTTAGAAAACAAATAAAAACTTTCCTTTGGAAGGAAGCCTTTGGAGAAGACTGGGTTAAGTACAATGGTTGTGGAATACAGCAATAAGACGGAGGCCCTTTTTATTTTAATTATAGATGGTTTTAATATCTTATCTTGTATTACTGTATTTAAATTAGTTGTATATGTTTATATGCATTTACTTATATGTACTTTAAATGTGATATGCTTTTTGTGGAATGGTATCGAATCATTGCCGTATGTCAGCTGCTCTGAGTCCCTCAACGAGGGAGAGAGGGTGGGATATAAAATAAAGAAAAGAAAAATAAATAAATATATGCACATAGTCAGCAGCACAAATTTTCAAGAGCTCAATATTCTTCCTAAAGCTACTATAAAAAGGATCCAGATACAGATATGAGAAAAAAATATTTTTTCCGGTTTTTACTTTTCCTATGAAATATAAGGTGCTTCTTTCACTGCTGTGACTTGTTTTGCACTTTTTCCAATAAGAAAGTGTTTGAAGGCTCTGGTACATCATTGCATCCAATTAAAAGGGATGTCCATAGAAGGAAAGGTTTAAAAAAAATACTAAGGCTGTAAGCCCCATTGAACTTAGATATAATTTTGAGTATAACACTGTATGACACTGTTATTTTATTGCTATGTTTATATCCTGCATTTCTTCCATGATGCTCTAGGTAATGTACACAGAGTTCCCAGATGACTCCCAGCCAGACACTTGACAAGACCTTTCCTCACACACTGAAGGTTGAGTTGCAACCTCCAGCTGTAATGACAAATTTCCAAGGTCTTCCAGGGACAGATATATTTTTCAAAGAAGTCACTGTCATATAGTGTGAATGATATTTTGTTTTTGTTTTTTTAAAAAAACTTGCACAATGTATGATTTTTGAAAAGTACAGAGTGGGTATCTTCTTTTTTGACTTACCATCCACATCCTTCAAATTGTCCTTAAGGCAGCACCTGTGAATTGCTTCTTCTAGAATGCCATAGTCAATAGGCTCTTCTTTGATCAAGGGAAACAGGTCAGAAATTATACCACTAAAAAGCTTGAGATCATCCTGTAGGAACTTAGGAACATTGACATCCTTGATGGCCCTTAGACAAATCAATTCCTACAAGCAATTGAGAACAGATTCTATTTACCTGATCATCCTAAACAACTAACGTATTTACCACAATGGCCAAAGTCTTATGCTTTGAAGTGTTATTCTCCAGAACAGTTATTTTTTGTGTTTTGTGTTGTAGTAAAATCATTGGGATGACTCCGTTCAACTATATAATAAGGCCTTATTTCAAACACCTCCTAGTTGATGTGATTTTTAAAATGTGTGCAGGGAGAAGGGATTTCCTTGGGTGTTATCAATAAGGAAGAGTAATTTTAAAAGAAATACATATGACAAGTCAAACATCAGTTCCAATAAGGAGGAAAACAGGAGGTGTCTAAAGATTTAAAAGAATCGTGTACAAGAAATGGAAAAAGAGGAAAATCACCAAAGAAGAATTCAAGCAAATAGCCACATTTGTAGGGAGAAAGTTGGAAAAGCCAAAGTACAGAATGAGCCCAGGCTTGCTTAAAAAGAATAAAAAGGGCTTTTGGGGTTATTATATCCATAGCAAAAGGAAGAACAAGGAAATTGTAGTACCACTGCATAGAGATGATGGTGAAATGCTACAGAGGGAGCAGAGAAAAGGCAGAACTACTCATTACACCTTCTTTGCCTTAGGTCCCTTCCACACAGCTGAATAAAATCCCACATTATCTGCTTTGAACTGGAATATATGGTAGTATGGACTCAGATAATTCAGTTCAAAACAGATATTGTGGGATTTTCTGCCTTGATATTCTGTGTTATATGGCTGTGTGGAAGGGCCCCCGGTGCTCTCCCAAAAGGTAAAGATTTCTCAACTTCGGGACAATGCAGTAGATGTTGCAGTAGGGGAAATGCAGCACAGAATAAGTAAAGAGGTAGTACTGGAATGTGTGGCTACTCTAAATGAATTCAAACATCCAGGGCAAGATGAATCACATCCAAGGTTACTAAAAGAACGGGCAGAAATAATTTAAGAGCTTCTGAAACACTGGCAATTATCTTAAAGAATTTCTAGAGAACAAGAAAAGTTCTAGCTGACTGTTCTCCCCATCTTTAAAAAAGGGGGGCGGGGGACCCAAGCAATTACTGCCCAGCCAGCAGAAATCAGTATCAGAAAAGACAGACAGGGTTCTTTCCTGGGCCCAGTGCTATTTAACACCTTTATCAATTACTTGGACAACGGAATAGAAGGCCTGCTCATCAAATTTGCAGATGACACCAATATGAAGAGAAGATAGTGTTGTTAAGTGCTGTCAAATCAACTTTGACTAATGGAAACTCAATGAATGAAAGACCTTCAGGGGCCCTTTCATACAGTCCTATATCCCAGAATATCAAGGCAGAACATTTCATATTATCTGAATGTGGATTCAAATAATCCAGTTCAAAGAAGCTATTGTGGGATTTTCTGCCTTGACATTCTGGGATATAGGGCTGTGTGGAAGGGCCCCAAGTCATCTTATCATCATGTCTTCAAGATAAATATAGGACATTTATTACATAGTTATATAGTATACATACAGATCAATGAGAAAGAGCATAGAAGTGAAAAATATAAAATTCTTTCCCTGGTTATTTTTATGAAGTGGAAACATATCTCAATGACAATGGACCACTGCATAAGGATTGAATCATTCCATGTAAGATTTTCATGGACTTGCCTCATTCATTGTTTGATTTTCTCTTTTGAGGTTGCCAGCAGCTGAAATCACAGTTTTCACAGCTCTCATTCCAAAGTCATAGTGATCCTGGAAGAGAAGTATTGGAAATGTCAGTTGCACAAATAGAATCTAAGCTAGAATGGAAAGAATTTCATTAGGAAAGGAAAGGGATTTTGACAACCTTCCATTTCATGTTAGTCCAGCCTTTCTAAGCAAGAGAAATGAAAACGTTTCCATTGTTAGCTTGATGGCTCAATATCTGTATTGTAATCAAGGGTAAAGAAAGATTACAGAATGGCACAAAATAATGCATTGACAAAAATTAAGAAGTTATAGGAATTCTTTATTTCTATCCCTTTACTCTCATAGAGCAATTTCTTGGTAATAGTTTAAAATAAATGAAAGAAGGGCATGAATGACAACATTCATAAGATTGCATGAAATCCTGAACTGAGGAGGATCAACATGGACAGTTGCTGAAGTAGCATTCAAAATGAGAAGTAGACTTCAAAATATCAACACCATTTTAAGTTCTGACATGTACCCGAATTGAACAGCAGAAATTCGGTCTATTTTAAAAAGCCTGAAGGCCCAGAAATACCTACCTGGGAACTGAGTTGTTCAGAAGACAGCTTAAATGTGGTAGTAATCTTCTTTGCCAGAACTTTGGCTTCATTGAATCCAAAAGAATACAAAGAAATTTCAGCAATCATAGAATAATCTGGAACCATCATTGCCACAGGACGAAAGAGAGCCTGGAACATATGCATTCACATACATGAAGTGGGAAACTATCATGGACATTTATGTTTACCAATCCTTGCATATGACTGAGAGGACATTTTAAAGCACATGTCTAAAACAGATCAAGCAACACTACAATTGAAGATAGAAAATATAAAAACAATCACATGTATCCCAGATCTTTCTCAAAAATTTGGGATTTTGAGAAGAAATTTCCGCCGTGGGTGGGCTATCACAATATCTTCTTAATAAGTTTCAAAAGTATTCAAAACTCTTTCCTACTTCTAATATGTATAAAAACTAAATTTCTTATTTGAAATGTTCAACTTTGTTGGAAGGAGATGAAAGTTTTTGGATTCTGAAGTCTTTTGGAAATCCAGACTCAACAGAATTGAAGGCACCTGCACAAACATGGTGAATATATAGCTAGATTCTGGATTTTCATAGTAGAAATGGGACAAGTGCAGACTCAGCCTTCAGAGATAAGGGATACCTTTAGAATAGAGTTGTCTCCTAAGCATCCTGGTCAGTAACTATGAATGAATTTATTGTCGAAGGCTTTCATGGCTGGAATCACTAGGTTCTAGTAGGTTTTTTCGGGCTATAGGGCCATGTTCTAGAGGCATTTCTCCTGACGTTTCGCCTGCATCTATGGCAAGCATCCTCAGAGGTAGTGAGGTCTGTTGGAATTAGGACAATGGGTTTATATATCTGTGGAATGGCTGGGGTGGGGCAACGAGCTCTTCTCTGCTGGAGCTAGGTGTGAATGTTTCAACTGACCACCTTCATTAGCATTTGAAGGCCTGCCTGAGCCTGGGAAATCTCCTGTTGAGAGGTGTTAAGCTGTGCCTGGTTGTTTCCTCTCTGCTGTTTTGCTGTTGTAATTTTAGAGTTTTTTTAATACTGGTAGCCAGATTTTGTTCATTTTCATGGTCTCCTCCTTTCTGTTGAAATTGTCCACATGCTTGTGGATTTCAATGGCTTCTCTGTGTAGTCTGACATGGTGGTTGTGAGTGGTCCAGCATTTCTGTGTTCTCAAATAATATGCTGTGTCCAGGCTGGTTCATCAGGTGCTCTGCTATGGCTGACTTCTCTGGTTGAAGTAGTCTGCAGTGCCTTTCATGTTCCTTGATGCGTGTTTGGGCGCTGCGTTTGGTGGTCCCTATGTAGACTTGTCCATAGCTGCATGGTACACGGTAGACTCCTGCAGAGGTGAGAGGATCCCTCTTGTCCTTTGCTGAACGTAGCATTTGTTGGATTTTCTTTCACCAAGCCACGAGAGTAAAGATGAAGATCCACCCAGAGGAAAAGTGTTCCTGCCATGCATCAAGGGAACCACTGACCGCATAGGGAAGCTGATGAGGAAACATAACATACAAACAATCTACAAACCCACCAAGAAAATCCAACAAATGCTACGTTCAACAAAGGACAAGATTTTATATTTTATATTGTGCTCATTTGGTTTATTGTTTTGTTTTGCTATGTAATTATTTTTTTGATGTAAGTTTAGTTTTGTTTTGTTTTTACATTCTGTATTTTATTGTGCTGTAATGTGTTTTTTGGGCTTGGCCTCATGTTAGCTGCCCTGAGTCCCCATTGGGGAGATGGTGGCGGGGTATAAATAATGATGATGATGATGATGATGATTATTATTATTATTAACCTAAAAGCCATTTCATTGCTCTTTGAAGTGAGTTTCTCAAAACTGTTGAATGCCATATGAATTCTTAACAGCTGAAAAACTGGCTGAGATTTCTGGGAGTTGAAGTCCAAAACACACCTACTCAGCTTCAAGCTCTGCTATGGAATTGGAAATAAATGGGATTATTTGCTCCCCACATGAAGAAAAATTATAGAGTTTCGGATTTCTTACATTTACATCTGTAGACAAATTAAAATAATTAGAGCACAGGCATATCAATCAATCACCTTATTTATATCTCACCACTTTTCTAACAGTTGAACTTTTACTATTTCATGAATAGTACCATGAGTAAGTCATAATTTCTCAGGCTCAGAGGAAGGCAAAGACAAATCATCTGAACACATCTTGGTAAGAAAAGTCTGTGAAAAATTTGCCCTAGTGTTGGAAAAAATATGAAAGTGCATACAACAATAACCATTTGATGTTATATTATTATATGTAAGTGTTATGCATGAAATTAAGACAGCATCCTGCAGTGTCCAGCAGAATTTAGGTACCTTTAAATTATCTGGTAATTCAGTGCGTCCTGCATAGCCAGGATTCATTGTTATGAACACTGCACAAGATGGGACCAGTGGGATCTCAGCACCTTCAAATATGAAACGATCAACCTAAATACATCAAAAAGATGGTTATTCATATTGAATTATTTTTTAAAGTAAATAAGTGTATTTAATTCCACAGGGTACAAATTTGATTTTGTATCAAAACTTATGAAGTTAATCTCATCCAATTAATATGGCCATCCTAAATGATCTAATAGCAGATACGAGCTTTGACCAGAAACCCAGATTAGTATGTAACAATGTTCTTCCCTTACATAAACAGGCTTTCCTCCCCTATAATAATCAAAATGAATAACAGTTTTGTTATAAAGAAGAGGTCATTTCTTCAGCTGTAAAGATCCTAGCATAATGAATAGCAACCAACAGAATGATTATGTGACGAGTTAAACATAGAAAGAGTTTAATATTATTTATTAAATGCAGCTGTAACAATAAACATGCTACAAAAGAGATACAAACAACACAAGACTGCTTGAAATAAGAGTAACTGTCTCATGAAGAGGGTAAGGCAGTTTGGTTCTTTGTTGTCTAGTATGTCTTTAGTATACATACAAAGAGCTCAGAAATTGTTCTGTCACTAGAGTTAAACTTATCATGGGTTAAACATTAATAACAGTATCAATTTCTTGCTAACTGGATATTATGGTAACTTAGGATAGTGAGTAGTGGTAACACAGGATAAACATTGATTGCTAAATCCCTTTGTAGTGTTTTTAGTACCAGTGAAGCTATTCTGACACTTCCATTAAACAGTGGCCCTCTAAGACAAATACTGGCAAAATGAGGTCAAAGTCTTATAAACAGCCTGGAAAAGTTAGCTTTTGGGACTACAACCCTCAGAATCCATTTTGTCTCAAGCTGACAACCAAGTGAAGTGATATCAAAGGAGGAGAAATCAGAAAGCACCACTTTCACACTTCACTGACATGTTTTCCTAGACTTGTTCCCACCACTTACTCTCTGCTGTTGCGCCTTCTGAATTGTTGTGATCTGCTGGGCCACTACAGACAACACTTCAATATCAATGCGGTTAAACTCATCAAAGCAAGCCCAAGCTCCAGAACTGAGAAAATAAATAGAAAATACTTTCAAATGCACAGTAATTTCTCACTGGAAATGATGGAAGTAGTCATGAGAATGACTGTAGCAATCCCTGCAAAAAAAGGTTTAAAAAGCAATCCAAGTATTTTAATTTGCATATGTAGAGTACATATCCCTATCCAAAATATAAGCAATAAAATTTAGATTGCCTGTTGTGTTTAATATATATTTAGACCATGCGTGCAAGATGTATAGTAAACATAATAGACACTGTCTCTTTGGTTTATGCATATAGGACTCATCGTTAAGAATTGGGGTGAGACAACAGGAAGTGAGAGAAATCTATGCCTAGGAAGAGAAATTCACTCCTGAAAGAGTTATCATAGGTGAAAGGTGTCTCAGCTTAAGCTTTATCACCAATCCTTATTTCCACAACAAGCCAAATTTTTCAAAATCCAGTTATCACAGGGGCAGAAAATAATATGAAATCTTCTGAACAGGGGTATAGACAGCAAAACAAACACCAAAGGGGTGTTACCTTTCCCTATGAAATCCAAAGCTTATATACATATATATTTGGCTGGAATTACATTTAACCGATGTACCTGGTCCGTCTTACATACACATTCAACTTGAGAACAAACCTACAGAACCCATCTTGTTCGTAACATGGGGACTACCTGTATGAGGTTTTTTTCTAGTTGTCAAGCCTTATGTAGTCTTCTTGCCTATAAATGGATTTTGTAGCACTTTGAGACTGAGTGAAAATTTTTCAGATCCAATCTATCAGTAGAGTGAATCTACAAAACCTTATGCAACAAACATATCTCAGTGTTGTCGAAGGCTTTCATGGCTTTAATGTGGATGTTTGTTTAGATTTTATGTTATTATATAATTTTGTTTGACTACATGTAGTTTAATTTACTGATGTTAAGCTTTAATTTGATGTTAGGTTTTAATGTTATTTTCATATGCGGAGTTTCTCTGGCATTTTATGTCAGTATTTGTTTGTTTTACAAAGGCATTGAATGTTTGCCGTTATGTCGGAATCCACCCTGCCGTTATGTCGGAATCCAACCTTCTTCTTCTTCTTCTTCTTCTTCTTCTTCTTCTTATTATTATTATTATTATGTTACTGACACAAAACAGTACGTCACAGCAAATGTGATCTATATGCTGGATTTCGTATAAAAAAATCACAAGTCGAACACTTCTCAAGCGTCGAGGACTGTGTGATGTATTTTCGAATGATGCGCACAGATCCAAGTAAGGTGGCCTTTTGCAGTTTACAGATAATGATTTTGTCAATGTTTATTGTTTCCAAGTGCCAGCTGAGATATTTTGGCACAGCACCCAGTGTGCCAATGATCACTGGGACCACCTGTACTGGTTTATGCCAGAGCTTTTGCAGTTTGATTTTGAGGTCTTGATAGTGGCTGAGTAGTAGTAGTAGTAGTAGTAGTAGTAGTAGTTATTATTATTATTATTATTATTATTATTATGGCTGGAATCACTAGGTTGTTGTGAGTTTTCCGGGCTATATGGCTATGTTCCAGAAGCCTTCTCTGGAACATGGCCATACAGCCCGGAAAACTCACAGCAACAGCAACATCTCTCAGTCTCAAAAGTGCTACAAAATCCCTTTATATACTATTACAGCATAACAGAGGCTCTTCCAAACATGCCTTTAATCCAAGACCTGTCTCTTTTATCTCAGATGTCCTAATGATACCTCAGGTAAAACCGAATTAATACAGAAAAAATTAGATTTCCCAGTTTGCTCCGGATCAATAAAACACCTGGAAAGATCCGGACTTTAAGATAAAGTCTGGATCTTTCCAGGCATGGGCCCTGTGGGGATTGATTCCAAGGACTACTTCTGCGGTCTTAGGGGTCAATCCCCACAGCCATCCTGGAAATCCCTTTTCCCTCATTTTCACACATCAGGAGTACTCTGCAGAGGGGTCTGCATTGGCAGCAGGCTCTTTGGGTAAGTTTCTTTTGGGGGGAAATCGGAGGCTGGAGGGGGGCTGGATCTGCCCCCCCTCCCCGAGGGAAAGCCTGAGGTTTGGATTGAGGACAAAATCTCAGGAAGAACTGGGTTAAAATAACCCAGTTCCTCCGGAGATACTTGTCAATGTAAAAGGGCCCAAAGCCATGCCTTTAAAAAGTCTTCTTGGTTTTTCCTGCTAAAAGCAAATGTAAGTAGTTCAACATCATTTACTTGCATAGATTTAGATTTGTATCTTACTATGATGTCTTTAAGAGGCTTATAATGAAACAAAACAGTGTGAAATAATAGTAAAATGTATTGAATAGCATAATTTATAGGATTAACAGATACACTGAAAGACAGAAACAGAATATCAAAATCAAATTAGACGTAGGCAGCTTGACAGAAATATCTCCAGAAACATCATGTGAGTAAGTCTGCCAGCTCCTACTATGACAACCATACACAGACGCTACCTCATAGATCATTCATTATATAGGTGATAGTGATGGTATTTAAATAAACATTATTGGAGAAAGGTATGTGGGCATATGTAGTTTACCTGAGTAATAAAAGCAGTTCCCATCAAAAAGCTCAGTTGCATGCCAACTTGAAATGGTACCAGTACATGTTAGATATAGGTCTACATGAGCAGTCTGCCTGTTGGTGCCTGCTACCTATTGAGGAGTTATTTGTCTTTGTGTAGGTTTCTTCTACACACCTCGTTAATAGCAATTTGAAATGTTATATTGAACATGCATGGCTTATGTCTTTAGTTGCTTTATACAGATAATCCTCAAAGTTTTTTTTTTATTTATTATGCCCTCTTTGAGACAGGCAAGACATTTAAATTAGTGCTGGATCATAAGATGACTTTGTCCTTCAGCCAATGAAATTTGGTTGTTTCCATTCTCTGGGGTCAAATATGATAACATCCCTCTGTGGCTTGCCCAACGGATAATGTAAGGAAACTAATTTAATTAATCACTAATGACGATGTTCTGAATCTTCATAGATCTGATTTGCTCTTTAAGAGATGCAGTAATGTCCTGATAAAAATATTCTTATAATTAAATTGTTCATTCTCTTTAGCTACATGTCAAGATTCATACCAATAGTAGCCCATTCAGATATAGCATTGTATTTTAGTTTACCTGGCTAATCCTTTCAGGAATTTTCCCATTGCCATGAAATCAAGCTGATCAGAGCAATTAAACACCACAGTCTGGATAGCTAAAGCTTTCCCCAAATCCTTAGTTGTCTCTGTTTTGCCTGTTCCAGCTGGTCCTGCAGGAGCGCCTCCAAATTTCAAATGTAGTGCTCCAGTGAGTGTCAGGTAGCATCTATTGCAAAGAATCAAATAGTTGTTCAAGTTGGAAGCAATCTCAAAGTCATCCAGTTATTTCCATCACAGCAAGAATCTATAATTAGCATTATTAATTAACTCATTAAGTTAATATATAATATGAATATAGAATGCAGGAAAATAGAATGTAATATTTCAAGCTATAGTATACCAGTATTGAAGAGTAATATGATCTCTAAGACATTCAGATTTGTAAGAGTGAGGCCACCTGTGGTAAACTAAAACTCAGTTCTAAGACATGCAGATAACATGTGCACACATATATATGTATGTGACTTCGAGTCACCTGGCAATTATGACAACCCTATGAATTTCACAGTAAAAAGAAAAAAGGGTTCAATATCCTACCCAATCTAGACATCCATTTTGAATGAGATGTTAGATAGAAAACAGTCAAACAAGGTTCAGCTGACAAGACCTTTGAGAACAATTACCATGGGAAGTCAGTAATCAATTGTATATCCCATTCCCAGCTGGGTCAAAGCACCAATAATCAATACTGCTATGCAACACCAAGCAGTATAATGCAGATCTTATACTATTATTCTCCAGGAGCTACTTTAACCGTACTCTTTAATGATGAACATACATCATTCCATATTACCCACAGAGGACTATTTGCTTAATCTGCTTCCATTACCATTAGAAAGAACTAAACAGCTACATCCTTGTACAATCCAAGAAGAGTCAATCTATCTTCCATGAATATAAATAACAGTTACATTGCCGTAATTAAAGAAGCATATCTTAATACTGGTTTACATCCCAGTCTAATTAAAGCAAAAGCTCTGTTCAAAGATATGCCTCACACAGGGTTCTCATATAAGATATATATAAAAATGTATATTTGCCACAAACACTTTGCTGCATTTGGCATATGCAATTGTGACAGGTGTGCAGACACTGCAGCTTCCCTAATGAAATCAGTCAGATTCAAACTGAGTTCTATGTTTAACTTTATTCCTGCTTTCCCACTGACTCCATAAAAAAGCATCTCCAGCCCTTTCTGATCACACAGTTCTAGTGCTATGATCCCAGTTTAAATGCCATGGCAGTATACTATGGACTACTAGGATGTGCAGCTAAAAAGGATGAATGTTTAGAGAGCAATACTGCCTCACTGAGGCCCCTTCTACAGTGCCATATAAAGTCCAGATTATATGCTTTGAACCAGATTATATGGTAGCATAGACTCATATAATACAGTTCAAAAGCAGATAATGTAGATTATCTGCTTTGATAATCTGGGTTATATGACAGTATAGAAGAGGCCTGAATTACAAGCCCAAGATTCCATAGGATGTTGTCATGGTGGATAAAGTGGAATCATAGTGCTATTACTGTGCACTGTGAAAGGGCCCTGGTTTATAGGAGCTTAGGGGTTGACAGTAGGGCCTGGTGTATCCTCCTTCCTCAGTTCCAGCCCCTTTATCAGGTTCTCCCCTTCCTGTATTGCAATTTCAATCTACTACCACTGACCTTGTCTTATTCAATATAAATTACAATTCCAGTATAATCTGTTTTTTGATGACTTTTTTCAACAACACACAAAAGAACCAAGTTACTGCTGCCATGAACTAATTGCAAAATACTTTTCACTGATCTTGCTAGGGACAATTAAGTTCCATAACCTGTCCCTGACAAGACACCCTTCACATCAATAGCTGATAGATTTGAGCCACGATTAAGCTCTTGAATGAATTATTTATTTACATTTTAAACCACCTCCTAAAATTAAGATTATAAAAGATATGAAACTAATAAGAATGAAAAAAATCTAGCTATCCTTAATGAATATTTTTCAGGATTATTTAGATTTCTTTTCTATTTCATAATTATACCTGTCAGTGAGAGGGGTGATCACTAGGCGCCCGCTATTGCCCAAGTATTCATAGCCATAGATAAATTCAGCATTAACTGCACGAATATACAAATCTTCTCTTGTCCAGTAGTATCTGATGATAAAGAAAAAGACAATGGAAAGTGACTATCACAACAAAAATTAATCATTTCTTAGTATATCACACATATATTATCTACCTGCTTTCCCCCACTATGAAAACTCAAGATGGCTCACAAAAGAATTACAGATACAACTAAAACACATATTATAATGTTAAACCGCAATTAAATGTATTTTATATAGTAACAAACAACAACACAAGTGGCAACAACCATTTTTTTTAAATCTAAAAAAAGATTGATGGACTCAAGCTGGGTTTTTTTAATATATCGCAAATCCATAATATCTTAAAGTTTGATGTGTTACATACAAATCCTCCCATAATTTCTCCTTTGTCCTCACTATTAATAATATATCATCAACATAAGGGAAGAGAAGTATTCCTCTCAGTCTCAAATATGCCACCAAGAGTATCAGTATTTTTTTAAATACCCTTGGTGTCAACCTGAGACGAAAGAAAGTGCTCTGAACTGATAATGCTTCCCAAGATATGCAAATCTCAAGAATTTTCTGTGTTCCTTTGCTATCTGTATATGCAGATAATCCCCTTTCATAGAAGCCAGGAAGTCTCCAATTCTCAAGTTTTCTTTTATTGTTCCCAAAGTTTCTATTTTGATGCTGATGTTGTTTATGGATGAACAGAGATAACTCATCTTGAATATCAGATTATGTTTCCCGTTGCTTTTGGGAAGAGTAAGAAAAGTTGAGTGAATCCCTAAAAAAATGACTTTTCTGGAATCTCCTCTATGGCCACAATTTCCATTAAATGCCTAATTTCCTGACTAACTATTTGTCTTCTATCATTGGTCACCTAAGATCTTGTAATATTTCTGCATGCGAGGACACTGAAGCTGAATTGATGCTTTAATGCTACTGTTGTTGCTCCATGAACTTTTTTCATGGCCATTTCTGTTCTCTTATCAACTTTTTTTAATTGTCACCTTTATGAGAAGCTATAGGTATTGAGATGGGGGTCACCACCAGAGCATCTACCAGAGGAACCTTTTAGTCATCCATTTCTGACTCTTGAAATGTGTAAAGCTTCTGACAATTACCTTTAAAAAGTTTTGTGCTTACAATGCTTGACAATTCATTCTCTATCTGCTCTCTAAATATTTCAGACCTAAGAATTTCTGTCAATGAATATGTTAGCTTTCTCATAGCTGATGATCTTTTTATTCTTTTTTACTCTGATGGTTTATCTTATTTATCCAAATTGAAGTATTTAAATCTCTTCTCAATATACATTATAATTAAACATCATATTGTACCACATAATATTCACATTTCCCCTGCCCTCCCCCTTTGGCCAAAAAAATGGGGTGCAACTATTATGCAGTTAATTGTATTGTCGAAGGCTTTCATGGCTGGAATCACTAGGTTCTTGTGGGTTTTTTTGGCTATAGAGCCATGTTCTAGAGGCATTTCTCCTGACGTTTCGCCTGCATCTATGGCAAGAATCCTCAGAGGTAGTGAGGTCTGTTGGAATTAGGACAATGGGTTTATATATCTGTGGAATGGCTGGGGTGGGGCAAGGAGCTCTTCCCTGCTGCAGTTAGGTATGAATGTTTCAGCTGATCACCTTCATTAGCATTTGAAGGCCTGCCTGAGCCTGGGAAAATCTCTTGCTGGGAGGTGTTAATCTGTGCCTGGTTGTTTCCGCTCTGTTGTTTTGCTGTTGTAATTTTAGAGTTTTTTAATACTGGTAGCCAGATTTTGTTCATTTTCATGGTCTCTTCCTTTTCTGTTGAAATTGTCCACATGCTTGTGGATTTCAATGGCTTCTCTGTGTAGTCTGACATGGTGGTTGTGAGAGAGTGGTCCAGCATTTCTGTGTTCTCAAATAATATGCTGTGTCCAGGCTGGTTCATCAGGTGCTCTGCTATGGCTGACTTCTCTGGTTGAAGTAGTCTGCAGTGCCTTTCATGTTCCTTGATTCGTGTTTGGGCAATGCTGCGTTTGGTTGTCTCTATGTAGACTTGTCCACAGCTGCATGGTATACGGTAGACTCCTGCAGAAGTGAGAGGATCCCTCTTGTCCTTTGCTGAACGTAGCATTTGTTGGATTTTCTTGGTGGGTCTGTAGATTGTTTGTATGTTGTGTTTCCTCATCAGCTTCCCTATGCGGTCAGTGGTTCCCTTGATGTATGGCAGAAACACTTTTCCTCTGGGTGGATCTTCATCTTTACTCTCGTGGCTTGTTCTTGGTCTTGCAGCTCTTCTGATGTGTGAGGTGGAGTATCCATTGGCCTGGAGAGCCCAGTTGAGGTGGTTCAGTTCATCTTGGAGGAGGTGGGGTTCGCAGATTCTTTTTGCACGGTCTGCCAAGGCTTTAATGGTGCTTCTTTTTTGACTTGGGTGATGGTTGGAGTTTTTATGAAGATATCTATCTGTGTGTGTGGGTTTTCTGTAGATGGTGTGACCCAATTGTTGATCTGGTTTGCGGATGACTAGGACATCTAGAAAAGGCAGTCTTCCTTCATTTTCTTTTTCCATGGTGAACTGGATGTTTGGGTGGATGCTGTTAAGATGGTCCAGGAACCTGTTGAGTTCTTCTTCTCCATGGCTCCAAATGGTGAAGGTGTCATCCACATATCTGAACCATATCGTGGGCTTTTTGGTTGCTGTCTCCAGGGCTTGTTTTTCAAAGTGTTCCATGTAGAAGTTAGCTATGACCGGGATGAGAGGGCTCCCCATAGCTACTCCATCTTTCTGTTCGTAGAATTCATTGTCCCACTGAAAGTAACTGGTGGTGAGGCAATGGTGAAACAGAGCCGTGATGTCTTCTGGGAACCTCTGGTTGATGAGTGCCATGGTGTCTGCTACCGGGACCATGGTAAATAGAGATACCACATCGAAGCTGATCAGTTTGTCGTTTGTATTTAGCTTGAGATTGCTGATTTTTTCTATGAAGTGGGCTGAGTCCTTGATGTAGTGTGTAGTGAGCACAATATGGCTTTGTAACTGTGCAGCAAGAAATTTTGCTAGGTCGTATGTGGGGGATCCAATGGCACTCATGATGGGTCTGAGTGGGGTGGAGTCCTTATGGATTTTTGGAAAGAAAAATACTGTGCAGCAAGAAATTTTGCTAGGTCGTATGTGGGGGATCCAATGGCACTCACGATGGGTCTGAGTGGGGTGGAGTCAAGCTAAATGCCAACGACAAACTGATCAGCTTCGATGTGGTATCTCTATTTACCATGGTCCCGGTGTTCTACTTAATTATATTCTGCATCAGATCTATATTCTTCTAAGATTTCATTTTGCCAGTCATCCTCCTCATGGTTACTATTTTTTTTCTCTGTATTTCATCTTTTTTGGTTCATTTCCTTGGAATTTCCTGTACATCCCCGTTAGAGTCTCATACTGGTAAATTTCTCTTTCTACCAGCCTTCTCTGTCTGAATGTTCTTTTGAATGTTTCTTTGTGGTGATTTTTTATTTCATTCTCTGGACTAATCAATTGTTTATACCAGGAGTCCCTGTTGGTGCAGTGAGTTAAACCCCTGTGCCAGCAGGACTGCTGACCAAAAGGTTGGAAGTTTGAATCCAGGGAGCAAGGTGAGCTCCTATCTGTCAGCTCCAGCTTTGCATGCAGGAACATGAGACAAGCCTAGGATGGTAAAACATCTGGGTGTCCCCTGGGCAACGTCTTTGCAGATGGCCAATTCTCTTACACTAGAAGTGACTTGCAGTTTCTCAAGTTGCACCTGACACCAATTTTTTTTATTTATACCAGTATTTTTTCAATTAATCACTTTTTAATTAAATCTTGAATGTTAAATACATGCTTAATATATTTACAGTACATTTGTGGGCCCAATCTGAAATATTTGCTTCATCTAACACATCCTGGCCAGAGGTTTTTGCACTGATTTTCTTGTTTCTTGTTGCACTGATTTTCTTGTTTCTTGTTTTCTTGTTTCATTCTAGTAATTATTAACAGTCCTTGTAAATATTCCATGAACTGTGAGTTTAAATTCTGGGTTGGACTGAAAACTCTCTCTGCAGTTTCTTCTGTATTTATAAACACCGCACTAGTCTTTCCCTGCATGTGGCATCACTTGTTTTGGATCCAGGCTGAGGAATCAAACTCTGACACTTCACTTGACTTGGATTATGTTTCATAAATAAGAACGGGGGAGTGATTTTCACAGACACACCTTTGTTTTCACCCTCATTAAATGCAATGGGACTCAAATGGTGGCTACTGTTTTATGCTGGGAACTTCAATTAAGCTTCATTATTCCTGTCAAACATCCTCATTTGAACAGATTTTTAAATTTTAACCTCCATTTGTAAATATATTTTATTTCCATATTCATTGTTGCTGTACTGTGTTTAATTTCAGTCCCTTAGCCTCAATTTTTATTTTCCTTAGCCTCAATTTCGCTTGCTATTTTTTTCTGAATTCCTCGTTTTTCTGCAAGTCATAGCTGTGCTTATTAGTGTACATCTGTTCTTTTTTTAAAAAAACCTGTGACTTGCTTGGTAACAGTTGACTGGGTTTGCGTATTCTTAATTTTTTTTCCTCCTCCCTTGATTGGCTGTTCCATCGACGAATTTTGACTCTTAAATTTTATCTCTGCTTTATATTTCCAATCCACTTAAACCTCTGAACTATTTTTTTGCCTCTTAATTACCGGAGTAGGTTGGCAGACATGGTTCTAAAAACTGAAGCAGCAGGGCAGAGCATTAATGGAACAAGTGAAACTGAAAAATAATAGTTCTGTCTGCTCAGATTGACACAAGGGAGAACTCAATTGTGGCGGATCCTCCCATTGCATCTTGAGAATATGGTCCTTGAGACAGAACTTTATAGGTCATAACCAACCAGCTAACAGAGTCATCAGAGATATCAACATTCATATCACTTTACCACACTATGATCCTAATCATCTAGCTGAATTTTATTCACACCAAGCAATGTTTATCTTTGATAAAAGCTGCATGTTTCACCTGCATTCTTTAAAAATGACCATATACACAACTGGGACAGGTAGAATTTAGTGATTTAACAAAGAATTCCTACAGACATGATATTTCAACAACTGACTTGTTAAGTCAGAAGGAAAAATATAGTATGAAACTATCTCAATAAGGGAGTGTTTTTGGTTGGAATAAGGATATCTGAAAATGACTACAAACAAGCAAAAACGCATGATGGTAATGATGGTGATATAATTATTTTCTTCCTTTAAGGTTCACCATAACACTTCCTAATTGGGATGCGGCACATGTCAGTAAAACCTAAGTTAATAACACTGGTAGTAGATAGTCAGAAATCCCTCACCTGAGCTGGGAAATCCATTCAAAGTCATTCTCACTCATGACATTCTCCTCAATAAGTTTAGCTGCTACATCTTTGGCATGCACTTCAATCACAATGAGAGCAGATAACACTGCCCGCTGCATTCGAGACAGCTTCCCTCGTACAAGTGCTACCAGATCACTGAGCTGTGCAAGTAAAGTAGAAGAAGTAAGTCCCTTGCCTGTTGAAAATAGCTCAGATCTACTTGGTATTCTTTAGCCAATAACAGTCTGAAGCATAAAAAATAATATATCTTAAGAGAAAAAAACAACAACCATAGATGTTAATTTAAGATTTACTTCTTTATATTTATGTCCACAATATTTTTATTGGTGGTTTACTGAAAAGGAGAATCAGATGGCTGGTCCTCACTTGGTAGCATGTGGTAGGAGACAGTGTGTTTGAAGATAGGAGTTTATACTCCAACTATTATAGAGAGAACTTGGGGGAAAGCACAAAAGCACAGCAGTGGAAAGGAAAAAAAGCTTAAATAGGCAGCTAGTGGGGAAAGCCCATGACCATTGGTGTCTGTACACTAAAGGTATCACTGAAACCTGGTAGGATAAGTCATGATTGGAATGTAGTAACTCATATAACCTATTTCTGAGAAATAGACCAAACAGAAAAGAAGGGAGTAGTAGCATTACATGTCAACAATTTTGACAACTGTGAGGAGAACCCTGACTTAAATCCTGAAAGCCAGGTTGAGAGTATCTGAGTACAAATTGAGGGAGAAAGCTTGGAGAAGAGAAGGTTGAAAGGGGAAACGATATTTGGAAGGATATCATTTTGAGGAGTGGACCAGTTTGTTTTTTGCAGCTCTGGAAACTAGGACATGGAGCAATGGATTCAAATTGCAGGAAAAGATATTCCACCTAAAATTAGGAAGAACTTTGTGACAGTAAGAGCCATTTGACAGTGGAATATGCTGCTTTGAAATGTGATGGAATATTCTCTGGAGATTTTTAAACAGAGGATGGATGGCTATCTGCCAGCAATGCTTTGTGTATTCCTGAATTGCCCTTATGACTGGCCCCTTCCAACTCTATGATTCTATGTAAGAATTACCGTATAGACAGACATAGAGTGGGCTGGTGTAGAGAAACGGAAATCAGAAATCCAAATACTATTTCCTCTCTCAGCTCTTCATCCAGCCAACAGCTCTATGAGTGGTCTGTCAATAACACTTAATGTCTTAAAATCCTGCTACTAAATGCCCAGGCCAAAAAACAGGAAGATATCTTCAGCAATCTATAATTTAACACAGGGTGAGCATAGGGTATTTCAGAGTTCCAGTACAATTACCAAGAATAGCCTTTCTGTCATGCTTACCCCATGAAACAAAATCATAGAAATGCTAAGGTAGATAACTCTATTTAGTTTTTAAGGTAACAACAGTTGGTCTAAGGCCACATATGATTTATGGTCCAAGAGTGTCAATTTAAATTGATCCTAGAAATGGGGCAAACAGTGCATTTAAGAAATGATCAGAATTATATGCTTCAACCCTTGTATGCCAGACAAATTTTGAACGTTTTTGTTGCGTTCTAGGAGCAATTAAAGTAGACAAAAAATAGGTGAGCTAGAGAGACAAAAAAATAAATAGAGAAACTGTCAATATCAAGAATGACTTCTCTCCTTTTAAATAATAATCAGCCTATTTTCTAACTTTTGCCTGACTTAAGGTTGGGATTCTAGTGCTGTCTTGTTATTTTCATGTCAGTGGGGCAGAAAATCTACCCCACATTCTAGGCTACACTTTAAAGGAGCTATCTAATATACTGAGTCTATCCCCAAAATCCTGGAAGTTCAGACTAAAGCATGAGTGCATTCATTGTCACAGTGAGATGGAAGTAACCATGCACCACTAGTGCAGAGTGCTTGCAGATATTCTGAACAACAAATCCCACCATCCCCAGGCTACATGATCAGAAAGTCTAAAACACCTGGGACCCAAACCTAGGGTGGAAAAGTTTCTCTGGGGGAGATTTCAGTGCAAAAAAAATTAATCCACAAATCCAGTTAAATGATGTTTTTACCTGAGCACTTAGCTGGGGAAACAGCCTGGTAGACAAATCTTGAGCTTCAAGGGCTTCAGATACCTCCTTTGTCCAGAATGTCTGACATCCAGCAATAGTCACTTGGCCTGGCCAATCTAAGACCCAGGTAGTCCGTGGTGTCTTTATTAAAAACACATTACCTTCATAGTTAATACAACAGATAACTTTCCTTTTCTTTATTGTTCCCTAGGCAAGATCTAATCAACTGTATATTAGATGGCACTGGTTTCATCAGAGTGAAATATTATATTTATGTTGACTTTTATCATACAGTGTTGCAGTGTACATGAAGTGTCTGTAAGAAACGATCTGGCAACAGGTGTGAGATTTTTTAACTAGATATTTTTGTAAGTGGAAAGAACATATTTGTACAGTCAAAACAAATTTACTTTTTTTGAAAATAAATTTGCTTCACTTAGATAATTACAAATATAATTTGAAAATAAATTTGCTTCACTTAGATAATTACAAACAACATCATTTGATATACATCAATGTCTTTCAAATGCTAGTCAGGTGGTCCAGACTGAAAACAAATCGAGACAATGTTCAAATCCAGCAAAGATCTTGTGATCCGGACTACACAGGAATGAAGAAATTTTCACCACCAGGTTTTACCTTTCTCTAGTAAAGCAAATGTGTAGTCTTAAATGGCTTCCAGCAGCCAAAGTTATAATTGAGACTGAGAAAATATTTCATGTTATAACAATACTGCAATTATTTCTGTCTGACTCAGCAACGGCCATTCAAGACTTTATATCTTCACAGCTACATTACTGCAACACCATCTGCATGGCCTTGTCTGTGTTTAATGACCATTCACAAGACTTAATAGTTACAAAACCGAATATCACATGGAGCAAACCATTTTGCAGTACTTCAACATTATTGTCAAGGAGTTGCCTATGACCTCATTAGTTCTGGTCCACAGAATAGTTACTGTCTCCCACTTTTCCTGGTTTTCTAATTTGACTGAAATGCTCTTCTGCCATTTGTAAGCAAAATTAAGATTAAGGACATAGAGGGACATTCTTGATGTCTCTTTGGCTGAAGCCTGCCACACCCTAAAAATAAAAGATACTAGCACAAGACCTGCTCACCACTGCACCAGGGTTATGATGGTAAGAAATAAAGTGGTATGGGACAGAGGTTTAATAAACTGAAAAGAAAGGTTTAATATTCATTAGATTGTCTAAATTTCATTGCTTTGATTTATTCAACCATAACCCATTTCAGGCTATCTGCTATGGCTTCCCTTTGGATTACTTTTGGTACCCCCCCCCCCCCTTTGCACAGAACATTTGAAAAATAATTAAAGAAGCTACAAATAAAGCATGTAACACTACAAGGCAGAAATAATGACACAATCATGTGTGCTACTGAGATCCTAGTACACTGTTGAAAAGTCAGAAGGTTAAATAAATGGCACTCTGGTAATCGGTCAAGTAGCAATAATTATCAGTTCTTCAGATGAAATATCCCTCCAAACATTATACTGAATAAGTTATACTGAATAACTTGCATTTCCCACATTGAACTAGCCAAAAACTTACATGTGGATAAACCTTGATTGCCCTTTCAATGTTGTCTCGCACACTAGCCTTCATTATCTTCTCAACTTCCAGCAGCCAGTCTTCCACATTTCCCGTGGGATAAATAGAACGAACAAGTTTTACTTCTTCCCCTTCTGCAGAATACATGTGTGTAATCTTGAGATCTTCCTGAAAGAGCAACTAGTGACAGAAAGCACAGCATGAGATGCCAAGTAGCAGGCATGTAGCCGGGGGGGGGGGGGGGGGGTGGGGGGGGGGGGGGGGGCTTGGAGGGCTTCAGCCCTCCCCCGAAATTCTCATGGTGGTCCGCGAGTAGGCCTTACTAGTACCGTATATTATTTAAACTGTTATATTTATTCATATCATGATCTGATCACCATGCTCAATATATCCCATATACATGGGGGTATTGGGGTAACAATACAAAAGGTTTGCTAGGGTAGACCCTCTTTCACTCAGACTCAGCCCCCCCCCGAATCAAACTCAGCCCCCCCCCCTCCGAATCAAAATCCTGGCTACGGGCCTGCCAAGTAGGAAATTATTGGGGTTTTTTCATCCTCATGTTAGCACATCCTCTGTCTTAATGGGTCAAGAACAAAAAAATTAAACAATTTTTTATAAAAAAATGCTCTGCAAATATCCCTAAAAAGATTCCCTAGATATTTATTCAGACACAAAGGATATGAAACACACAATATAACGACAACATTCATATTACAAATCCCCCGCACACACACATATATGAATTACAATTCAGTATACAAATTATTTGCAAGTCAAAACAAATTTTGCTGTGTCAATAGTGAAAGATACTGGACTATAATTTGAGGCCTCTGAAATTAATGGACAAAAGCAACCCTAATTGTATTGTTACATTTATTTTGTGTGTATGATTCATTTTACAATTGCCTCGAACATAATAAATATAGTAAATAAAGTAACAATACTCAAAAGCAGGGGAATTCCAGACAAGAAACAATCAGGGCCAGCTAATCACCTCCAAACAAAGGATTCCCCCAGACAATAAGAAGCCAAACCTGGAAACAGAGCAGGGAACGAGGCCCTAAGATCCACCACACTTGACTGTGAAAAACAATCATTTTTTATTGAAGAAAAATGGTTACAAAATAAAGGAAAAAT